AGCAAGTTGATAATAAGCAGGACAAGTTCTTCTCAGAACTAATATCTTCTAAGCAGTAGTTATTACCACATGGTGTTACCGCAAAACCGAAACGATAGCCAGCTGCTGTTATATCATTGATTGTTTCAAACTAGTACATGCGCTGTGATATTGTGGGGCACACAAACACAGCATAAAAGATACGCGACGGTAGTCTACTTGTAGCCGCTTGCTGACGAGGCTTGGCGTCTGTGATATTCGCGCAGATTCGGCGATTATTTATGCAAAACACAACTGCGTCTTGGTCTCGAGATGTTCTGACCATTCAGGGGCGTCTTCTATCCGGTCTTCCGTAACCCGATTCATTACACAAACATGACAGCCAGTTTGATCAATCAACAGCTTAGTTCACATTTCTGATCGAAATGTCGTCGCAGATTCTACAGTCGACTCCGATTAGCGGGCGCACGGGGTCGCATAACATTTGCATGCTCAGATGGTCGTGAAAGTGGCTCTGCACACGTACATTTCTGATCCTCGGACTACGATACGTGTCACTTGCAGGGTATGCTCTCTCCCATGCATGAATAATCATGCACGAAGTGACATCCCACTTTCAAGTGTATAAAGAGTATACGTCTTCAAGATACCCCACGGGAAATTTAAACAACCCACTCAACTCAGCATGCAAAACTGCAGCAACAAGCTCCGCTGTGCACACAAATCTTCCACGTCCGACGCAAAACAATTTGGTTTTTATTCCCAAGCGGGCTTTCCCCATAGTTTGTGGTCTGTCTGTAGTACTGATAATGCTGTCGACGTGGTGAACACCATTCGAATCCATAACATTTTGTGTTTCTTCTTTCTCTTGTGTCCGACTTGTACTTTTGTAATATTTAATCATGAAAATACAAGTAATCATTGGTTTCTTTTTTTGGGGGGGGGCGCTAAATGACGATGTTTCCATTCAGGAATTTATCCCAATACATAATATAGAATTGTTTTTTAGTTACCTAAATCCTATTTTAAAAAAACATTCCCGTCACGTGATATCGCTCAGGGATTGATATTCCAACACAATTTTGCGTATAAAATTATTAAATATCACATGGATTCCGAAGAGGGTGCGTCCAACGCCCCCTCCCCCAGTTTTTGAATCGTCACAACTAGTCATGGTTCTCCCCCCCCCCCAGCTCAGCCCAACCCCACCCCCAACAATGTTGAAAAGAAAATGATTGCCACTGTTTAAGACTATCTGGAATCCTTCTCGCAAACTCATACCTTATACTATAATACCAACCATTTAAAAATGGTACTTGTTGTTAAAGCAAGCCGCATAGGAAAAACCAGCCAAACGGAAAGGATAAAGCGCTTATCAACCTAACAACTCCAGAGTGAGCTACAATGTTTTGAGGTGTTATATGCATGTACATGTACACACACTGGGCAAATCACCAACGGTTAATGCCATTCAGACACCTTATACAGTGTTAATCTAACACTTAGGCCATGCAGTGATGTGAACAGAGACAATATCAAACGTTGCTCCCAAGAGCAATGCGTAAAGATAAAGTAAGATGTGTGTCAAATGTAAAAAGCTGCTGTGTCAGACAAAGAACAAACATGGTTTTACAGCATTTTCTCTGTAAAGGTGTAGGGTATTGTGTGGATTTCTTGTGATCCACACATTTGAAACGTGGTAAGTAAACGCTCGAAAGCATTAAATTTCGATGATTTGCGGGCGAGTGTTTACCACCACTGCCGCTGCCCTCCTATACAAGCGGAATATAATATATCTTGCTTCAGGCGATCGCGCGTGATATCGCCTTGAGTAGCCTCCCTCCTGCTAATCCGCGGATGAACAATATCTGTGCATGACCTGCCTCCTCTCAAATCCAGGTTCATTAAACTATTGCATTAAAATGAAGTCACGTATCAATCATTGCAATTCAAGATGTCCTGCACTCACACGAGCTCCACCACACCTCGGCTGGTGCCAGTACGGGATTGATTGGCAAATTCGAAACCTCTAATGCATTTCCCTTTGTACCCCAAATCTATGGTTACTCTATTGAGTACGTACTTCCAAGTCTAGGTAACCAAGGCAATGCTACACCCTTGTAAGTCAGTTATTCGAATTTGTCAACATAACTCTATTCCTAGCCGAAACAAATACATCTCGGCTTTTCCCCATCTCGACTATAGAACACAGAAACCGGGCGATGTCACGATGCTTGAAACGTACTTGAACCATCACGCTAACTACGTTGCTATGTTAATCGTGGTATCGAATGGTCAGCACTCTCCCCCATCCATTACCCTACAGCGGCCAAGGTATATTATTAAAATTGTGGCATTTATTCTTCATCCGAACACGAATTGGGTAACTCGTGTCTAATCTGCAAGGGTAGTTTGGGGAACGAAGTGCATGGGTTTGAAATAAAAGAGAAGTTGTTGTGTTACCTTTCCTATAATAAACCTTAATCCAAATACGTCATGCGCGCTTCGTTTACATTTGCACTTTCATGGGAACTCGTGGCTCTCGTCCCAACTGACTGCCATAGAAAAGCGCACGTGTAAAAATGTGATGTCATTGCGATTTAGGTCTGTTGTGAGCGTAACCCCACTTAAATTTTGAGCAAGCAAGTATATTGTTTCAAACGAAAACAGATGCACAGCAACAAAATGAGCCTTTTCATTTAAGAGTCGATTGTGCACCGTGTTGCGCACAAAAGACTAGCTGACGCGACAGCTTCGAGTCTCTGCCGTTGTACTATGATTAATGGACATCTACAATTAATCCATTCAAAACATCCATGTCTTCAAGACCCTTTTCGATCATAAGCCCAATAAGCTTGCGCTGACAGTTTCAATGAGGACAACCTTTCCGGATAATTACGCATGCAGACAGATTGAGGGATGGCATGGGCTTTTGCAGTATAAGATTGAAAAAATTACAAAATCATTGTTTTCATCAGTGTAGAATCTGTCTCAGCATTAAGCTAGTTTCACTTTATTCAAATGACGTTACTGCACTAATGCACCTTTGATGACGTTTGAAAGCATCTCTGAAAATTTAAAGGATATATATTTTTTGCTGTTATTCAACAAGATGTTTTTACTATTCTTCAGTCTCGGAATATCAAATGATGAATGATTTGAGTTCAAAGACCAAAATCTGTCTCGGAGTAGTTCCGAAATTTATGAAACAATATTTTCAAATAATTTCCCGGTTTTGTTTTGGACATTGTTAATTTCGGACATTTTTATCCTTTGGCGACCAGAATGGATTAGATTCCAAATTAAATCAAGGGTTAGATAATTCTATGCCGTTAGTGAACGTCTGACTGATGACAGGCATCATATTACCGTGGTCCCGAGGCTGAAGATCTGTCTAGCCAGTGGTTTTCAAGAACTCTACTCAACACGGTCACGAACCGTCACAAAGGACCATCACGGCGTTACTTGATATTGCCAACTAGCTCGCTGAGTAAAGCTGCTTTTCAATTAGTGGTGGTGCCCTTACATACAGCGCGTTCAAGTACTATTATAACGCCTTGTGAGAGCAGAGAGCGTGTAGTGTATGTCTGAGGAAAATGTTCTTGACGGTTATTATATCACATCGAATCATAATGCGAACACACGTTGAGTGCTTTGGATGTAAATGGCCCATAACTCCTCATTTCCCCCTCCTAAAAACTCTCCGGATACTGCTTATAAGAGCAGAGCTGCGTCGATGCATGTGAATTAAAGGGGATGCAATATATATTTTTTAAGTGCAGCCTCCGTAAAAATGCACCTTTGTAACCAATCTATCCACATTTTCAATTTTCACGTTGTCGTTTTCAAGGATGTTTTGTTATCGTTTGGTGTTTTGATAATGCGGATTTCAAAATTGCGTAATTCAAGGCTTAAGCCGTTTCGTTGAAGCTGTTCAGCACTATTTTCGTTGGGGTTTTTTTTGGCCGTGATAAAATGTTCCGGTTTGGGTGGCCCATTGTTGTTTCAGTACCGTAGTAGGCCTAAGTCATTAATGTTTTTTTCAGTGAGCAAATTTTAGGGTTCACACATTCATTTGAAAAAAAGTAAACTAAGGAGTGGACGCATTAAATCACATCACGGCAACAGCTTTACCATTAATGGTTGTCTCGCAGTTTATACATTTCAGAGGACTGGATAATTTCACAAATATGTTCCATATTCAATATTCAAATTCCATATCATGAATGTGTTACATGTTAAAATCCATGTCACGCACGCCCTCTTTAATATCGAAAAGCAATTACCACTTGATTCGATTGAATTTTAATAGATATATACGAATAAACAATGTTTTTCCCCAAGACGTTCACAATTTCTGGTTCACACAAAACATTACACTTGAAACAGCCAAAGACAACAAAGTTGCAAGCAAGTTTTGAAAATGGCAAAATGGTAACTGAAATTACGATTTAAGTGTACAATGCGACTCTTTTTGAAAATAAATTCGATGATCATTATTTTCCTCATGATTGTAAAATATAAATTACCTTGTATGCCTGAAGTACAGTCACGTACGTTCTTGTCGGTCATTCGTAACCACGCTTGCACGAATTTCTACCCTACTTCAAAATTCACACCTTGAAGTGCTTGGGGATAATATTTCACTACAAACCGTGTGTACTAAACAGATGTTTGCATATATTATGTAAAACTTCTCTTTTTGTTTACTAAAGAAAATCGAAGGGTGTATAAATTCAGGAGCATAATAGCAAAGGTATTTTCCCTAGGAAAACAGTTAATTACAATATTTTAATTTTGAGGGGAAAAACTGATGTAAGACTTACAATTTTTCCAAAACGTTAAACAGAGACGATTAAAATTAAGGTTTTTGTGTGTATGGGTGGGTGTGTTCGTTTCTGCATTCAATAGGGGACGTTAAACAATAGAGGACAATAGGGTCCCCAATTCCCGAAGGTCCCCAATTTGGCGATCGTGTACAAAACATATGGAAAAAGTTAGTACAAACAAAAGAGGGACAGTAGGGGTCCCCGATTGCAGGCAAATAAACACTGTGTGTGTGGATGGTGTGTTTGATGATGCCTTGTGGAGACGCGGGTATAGGCCCTAATATACAGAAAAAGATAATGTAAAGGTCGCCACAAGGCAATTTCTAAAGGTGAATATGTCTCAACAAGGATTTCCAAATATACTTATCCTTCGCAAATTAAAGTATTTCATGTAAGGGATATGTGGTCGGAATTTCAACCCAGGAAAGTAATTCTGGTTAAGTAGTTTTGCATTTTGAAAATAGATTTCGACCCACTCACAATTTTGTACACGAGAAAAAAAGCGATGGCTCCACAAGGATGTATGTGTTCAGTTTTGAACCGCTGGTTAATTATAGATATATTACCTGTGCCTAAAGGGTTCGACTTTTTCCTTTGAATTATAAATGTTTCTGTTAATTTATTTAAACGAAAAACAAAAACCTTTTCCTATGTTGGGAGTTTGCAACACTCTGGAACAAGGTTTTGTTTTTTGGTTGCTTTGACGTTTCATTTTCACAAAAGATAATCATGAAGCCTGCATTATTGTTGGGCCGCAAATGCTTCGAAATTTATAAAGTAATGCTTCAACAAGCAAAGTGGGCGATTTTTTTTCGTAAGATGTTTCATCTATACGAGCAGTAATACCGGCAACATTTTATGCGAGAAAAATAGCGAGGGGAAAAAATACATTGAGAGTTGTTCAGATGAATTACAGTTATTGGCGTTACGGACCACTAGCAGTTCATAACGTTAATGGTATTTTTGGGAGACACGGTGTCGCCATTAATCATACCTAAAATGGAGGCACCGGACATGATTATTGAGAACGTCTCCATAATGTCACAGGTCATATTAAAAGGCCAATTTGTAGCGTCGCAAATAGGCTAGATCGATTGCTCGTGGTCCAAAAAATAAATGTACCGACATTTGTGGGGGTAGGATAAGGTAAAATCGAGGTTAGGTTACATTAAAGTTGGAACAATTTTGGGCACAAGTCCAGGGGAATGTTTCCCACATGACCTATTTCCCGTAACAACTGATACGTCATATCATTCCATGTACAGCTGACACATCATCTACTTTCTATACAGCTATAACAGTTGTTACAAATTGGCTTTATTTATTTCTACGGATGCCTGTTTTTGACATTTTGTCCCACATTGTCTTTCATTTCATTAAGCTATAAACCTATAGCAGAAATTCACTTGAAACAATGGCAGTCATTGTTTTGGTCAGCAGGCAGTTTGCTTGTATCGAATCATGCGTCTACCTTCATGAAACCCATGGATTGTAGTAGATATGACGTCATGATCATGGGAGTGGCTTGGTGAGTGGGCATTGTGGGCGTGGCCCCGGCGCAGGCATAGCCACAGACCCCGTCTGAAGTCTTTGTAACACATGGCGTAAATGAAGGGGTTTACACACATGTTCACCAGGGCCATGACTACTGTGAATCGGTAGAACACGCCGCTCCTGTCCACGACCCCGCCCATATTGACGTAAAAGTACATGATCTCATTCGGTCCCCAGCAAACGAGGTACGTTAAAGACACCAGGAAAGTTGTGATGATGACATTGCGTGAGGCCTGCCGTACAAGGCGTCGCCTGGCCCCACTGCTAGGCATGTCCGCGTCAGCTTTACGCCTGGCATGCCGGAGTTTGCAAATTATTCGAGAATACACGAAGGCCATGATGCACAGAGGGATGACGTAATGATCGATCAATGAGAGGAAGCCGATGGCGAGGCCCATTTGCACCGACGGCCATTGCGACGTGCATGTACCATTGGTCACGTGGTTGGTCAGTCCCCAGCCTAACTCGTGGATGGGACCAACAAACCATGGTATGACGCAGATAAGCCGAGCTTTACGCAGCGTGAACTTTGACCGGTAGTAGAACGGATGAAACACAGCAACGTATCGCTCTATCGTTAGGTACACCAAATTACACGTTGAGCTCGTCCCCAGGGCCCAGATCACGTATTCCGATAGCCACACCTTGCATAGAAAATTAGCAAAAGCTGGGTCAGAGGGCAGGTTCACTTTGGGTCCGAGGTTGATGAGGACGAATAGCACACTCATGGCCAGGTCTATGGCGGACTGATTACACACAATGGAACTGGTAACATTGCGCAGGAACGAGGGTGAACGCATGTAAACAAGTATAACAAGACCATTACCGATGATACCCAACGTTCCTATGACGCCATACACAACAAGTAAAAATACCGTTTCTGAATCGGCATCATATTCCATATCCGCAGTCAAATTCACATCAGCAGCATTTGTGTCCCGGTCTCTGACGTTATCCATGTTGAAATCACTTTGGTTCCATTCGTTATAATATTGTTCAAACGACGAAGGTTCTGATCTCAGCTCCCCTGATCTTATATTTGTCCATAGTCTCTTAACTCAGACTTTTGTAGCTACATCCAGCGGCCATAGCAATCTAATGTAGTGATGCGCATTATATAATACAGTTTCACAATAATCGTGTCCCGCAAAAGGTGCAGCACCATGTAGCACGAGCGAAAACAACCCGATCTCGTACGTGCGGGTTACAAAAATTCCTCCGGCACCCGGAGTCTTGAGGCGCTTGATTTGTAATGCTCACGAAGACACTCGTTAGAAGACACGCCTTGAGACCTGCGATGAAAAAACACTAGTTGATATGATGTTGCCGTGTACATTTTTTTTTAAAATCATTTTCAGCCATTGTGTACCTGTGGCGCCTAGGCTATTTTTCATCATCCATGATGAAGTTTGTGATGATCTGCCGATTTTGCCTCAACCGCATCAAGATGTGATGATGTGTCATCACCCAGGGGAACCAGTTGCCATGAATACACTGTCCGATACACTGAGACGCTCCGTTAGCAACGTGTATCATCTAGATCGCCTTGTTGACTACATACACCCGTCTTCCTTTCTCATTAGCCGGAAGCCTTTCGAGAGGGCTTTTTGTCTCTGTGATGCAGCTCAGTTAAGTAGTTGACAAACAGAGACGCTGTAGAGGAATATGCGATGTGGAAAGACACCGACCGCTTTCCATTTTGCTTAATAATGATATATAATACCGGTAATGATGATGAAGTCACTGAGGGGCTCACCCCGGGCAATGGAACACCGCGTACGTGGCACACCTGCCGGATCGCGTATTAATGTATTCCTAGGATGGTTAAGGCCAATTCATGAATAATTCAGTCATTTCGATGGGAACATTATGTTTATTCACGAGAACAGAAACAATAACATCAACAGCATGTTGTTATTTAGTCATCCAGTAACATTAAAGCATTTTAAAGAACGGTTGTCGTCGAGCTACACGACACAGTAGTAAGTGGATAGCGAGATGAGCTATGGATACAAACATCTCTGGTTCGAATCCATGTCGTCGCTGCTCATTTTCATCGACTGTTTTTCTTCTCCAAATTCATCGTTGAAAATGGCTGATAATTCTAATTTGAATAATTCATGACATTGAGCCTAACCCTCCTGGGAAAAGACGCTGCCGGATCGGCTTCATGCAGACGCCGTACCACTGCCGTTTGTAATAATGATTATAAACGGAACCGCTCTTCCCATAATGGAAATATGATTAACACATTATTATAAAAGAGCGTCGTGTTTCAGTCTTCGAACTGCTACCGTACTGAACATTTTCAGTTCGGTAAGAAAAATGCTAACGAAATGAAAAAAAAAGTTGTACGAACTCCCAAACCTCCAATGATACTCCTATAGACGAATTTGAATTGGAATTGAAACCTATGCTGTCATTGCTAAGCCATTGTATGATGGTGACCTTTTCTTAAGGGTGCAGACCAGTAAATCGGTCCGAAATTGCCTGCGCCGGCCAAATCGCGATTTGCATGCCCTCAAAATCTTCGGTATTTGAGCATGCTGTGGGCCATGAACTTGAGGGTTTGTAAAAAATATGGGTGGAAGCCGTGCACAGGACTGGAAGCTTGCAGTTCTGTGTAAATTGGATGTAATTTGGACCCTAAAAGCGCTCTATTTTGCAATGGAGTGTAGGCATCGTTTTTCAAAATGGCGATGGGCTTCAGGACTATTTTCAGGGGTGATCGTCTTCAGATTGAAATTTCTCCTAAAAGTCATCAGTTGACCCCCGTAAATCGAACAGAAAATGAAAGATGATGAAATAAGCTTTAATTTGATGTGTGTTTCGAACACCTTGGAGAGTTGTGAGTATTTTTTCCGAATTTTTGAAGTGGGAGCATTTACCATTGGGGTCTATGGAAGTTTATTTACTGGTCTGCTACCTATAATCCTCTCAACAAAAACTGATGTTTTTGGCTTAAGTGCCAATTTGAAATTTGTCAATGGTTCTCAGAAAAACTTCTCACTAATAGGACGTAATATTGAGGTCATCATTCCAATTGCTAAAAGTCCTAATGACGTCACGCTTCGTTTATTTCTTGGCGTGCCCCATGCCCCCCCCCCCCCCCCAAGCACGCCGCTGTTTACATAAGCGATATCTTAGGAGAAGCTTTAATTTAAAAAATAAAAATAAGCACTTATGTAAACATAGGGTGACGTCATCACGTCTCAGGTCTATTACAGTAATTAATGTGAACCTATATTAGCGCACATAATGACGTGACTTCAATTTAAAACATGAACAAGAAAAACATTCTTTTGATGAAGTATGTAGATAGGTAGGCCTGCTTCATTTGTTAGGTTTCTTTAATTTGTTCATTTCTTATTCATAATTTGTTATTTCATTATAATTTCATGCTCACTGGAAAAATATTATGACCACTGCCATCGTTACACAATTATCGTTAATACTGTTGATGACATTGTGGAAATTTATGTTGAGTTGATGTTACTGAAACACAAGACGTAAGTTTCATTTGTGTTTTTGTTCTTTGTGTTTAATTAAGCGTGTCTGTCCTTGATGTGAATAACGCCGTGGCGACAGCCACCAAATTCGCTTTAGGGCCGGCTCCATAGTAAATGAACAGTCCTCGAACGCACTAGTCTTATCAGGGACCGAGGGTCTCTAAGCCCACGTCTTTATACTCATGTTTACGTTACACATTCCTTTGTTTTCGTGTAGTTAAGAAAAACCTGTGAATCAACTCATTTTACTCACACTGTGAAAACTCTTTCAACCCACTTGTATGATTCCCTTTAGTGTTTCTCTTCATTTTGCCACGGATAAACCTAACCCCAAAATGCCTCTAAACCTGCTTTCCAGAGAGGGGGAAACATTGTGTGGACGTGGGCAAGTCCACGTAACGTCGCTGCTACCTGGTTTATGTGTGCCTCTTTTGTTCGGAAGTCCACACAGTGAATGTAGTGCTTGCACACCCATAGACGTATAAGTCCACGCTCTTGAAATTGCTATCACGACCCCAGTAATTATGTGGCGCTGTCCAGCATGCTAGCAGTTCGTATCCTGGATCCGTGTTTATTAAAATCGCAAAAGGATCTGTCACTAACAATTTCAACTAAGAGAATTAATTAATTCCACAATGTTCGTCCGTGACATGGCGGCATTATGTCTTGTTTGATTGCCGTTTCTGCTTGTCAAGAAACACAAATCGGGGAGTAAAATCCATCAGCTGTACACGTGAAATACAAGGCCTTTTTGTTACCAATTTTTTGATACACTAAAGGAACGAACCAAAACAGATATGAATAAATAAATAAATAAATACACATGTGTAACAAAGGATTGAAATATTGGCAAAGTACCAAGGGACATTCATTATTTTGTTATTGTCCGATCCCGTACTCTTATTGATTAACATTAAACGATTTTTGGGTTTAGTACCCCTGCCTTGCCCTGGGTGGTAGTTGTTTCCTCGTTGCCTTATATAGTCCACCTTTGAACACAAAAACAAAATCGATATTTTTTGTGCCGCTCCTCTCGATCGCGTTTGCTGTAGTCTTCGGTTGCACAGTGCGTGTTTCTGGGGGATTGTAAGCACTCCGTCCCGGCGATGTTTGCGGAACTTGGCGACAAATGGTTTGAAACGGACTAGGCTAAGGTCTTATTCTCGGCAGTTTTTTTTTCTCCTGGGAGATGCAATGGAGGTGATGCAAGGAGGAATCCGTGTGTTTTTGATAAGTGAGTGACTTAAAACTCATCCGTTTTATTCCGAACTGTTGTGTCTTTGTTGGGTTTTGTTTTCTTCAGTAGAACCCCTCGTTCGCAGGAATAGTTTACCAGGTTTTTTTTTATAGATGTTTGAAGATGTTAACTTTATTTTGAGAAGTTAATCACACACGTTAATTGATGTAATGAATGTTGCCAACGTCTAGTCGCCAAGTTGATACCTTTTAGGCATATCTGAAGAAAGATCTATAAAAGTCAAAATTTTACCCCATCTTTTCTTTTCTTTTTTGTTTTCCAGGGATTTTATTGACATTAACCTCAACAACAGGTGAGTTGGAAAAGAATCCTGTTCTTCAATAAGCTAAAAGTTCCTTGAAAGAGAATTTATGAATGAATTTGTTTCGGCATTCAAATTGACAAACCTTTGTTCAGATATTATCCCTAAGTAGATTATTATTATAAACCTGTATTAGACGTGTGTTTAAGTGTCGTTAGTTACTCAAATTTCGGGACTGAAGTCAAGGTATAATTTTCAAAGTTGCTTTCTTACCAAAAAACATGTGGGCTATATTTACTCTAAAATGGTTTGGTCGCCACTCTTTGTTTCACTCTTTGAAAATTAGAAAGTAAAACTTGTATGCGTCTGTGGGCGGCTAAACATCTATATTTGATAAATTTCCTCCTGCTAATGATCGGAAATAAAACGATTTTTGAATTATAAAATACCCTTTCTTATGCGATGTCTTATTGGAAAGCACATTATCTTATCCAATACTTAAAACAATTACTTTGGGGGATGTTTCGCCAAAAAAGGCAGTTTACTTATCATCTTAAGTAAGTGCATAATAACTAACCTGTTGAAATTTTAGCTCAATGGCTGCTTTGCATATTTTTGTACAGAAAAACGTTATGTATCATTTTGGGGTCTTATATTGGGTTCCGTTGCTGACGCTGCAGCTATAACATAATTATAACAGGCCATAAACACCAATGGTTTTTTTTTATTCATTCAATCGAGACCTCACTACTACCTGACGAAATAATTTCACAGGGTTGAGCATGGTTTCTCATTAAACTTTGGACATGTGTTCGGGTAATTACACATTTTCATAAGTGTCTAAGTAATGATATTAATATGAAGGTTGATTATATTTATATATATTTTTGATGGCAGTGTGATTTTTCCCTCCTTTACGTAATTATCTGACACATTTTTGTCTTCTTCGGATCAGATGCCATGTCACAATGCCGTAAGGACTGGAGTCAGTATGGCACGCAGTGTTTCTACGTGAATACCCAGCACCTGAACTACGCCAATGCCAAGGCGCATTGCGAGTCCTACGGAGGCGGGTCAACCATTGCCAGTATTTCCGACAGTGGTGTCAATGGCCATATACAATCGCTTATATCTGGCGTCTCGAGTTCCACGGCCTACATAGGTGAGTGTGGGCCTTTAAAGGTGCATATCTATGAATGCTCTTAAAACAATATTTTGTTTGATTGTTTTTTCTCTCCTAACGAATTTTCCATTTTTATGTTAGCGAAAAAATATATTCTGACGGGCGTATGCAACACTCTAAAAACAGGGCTTTCGTTTTGTGCACAAATAGCCCGCCCTGCGAGCGTGCGATGAACTTGACAGCCAGTTCGCACTTTGCGAAAAAAATAACTTAATAAAATAATAAGTAAACGCTGGTGGATTTGTTTTGCTCAACTGCATGTTTGTTTGTTTCATTCAAAAATTAATATATTGCTAGAAAAATGGCAATTGAAAAAAAAATAATCTTTTTTTTACGAGTTGAAACTTGAAACACTGGAAGTACATCTTTTATTAAGGTAAATTGAAATGATTCTCTACTTTTTCGTGTGTATTTAATTCAGATATAAGATATAAAGCCCATCACAATTTTTACCTCAAAGTTTTCGGAGCCACCAGTTGCTTTTTATGTGTATACCGCCCTCATTCGGGTCAAATAAACTGGCCTGACAAGAGAGGGCGTAACAGCGCGGCATATAATTTTTTTTTAGTTGGGTTTAAATTTGTCATTGTTTGTGCTCAACCTGTTCCTAAATTCTATTTCGAAATTCGATGTATATGTAAGCAGCAACATGAATTCCTCCATGGTAGAAACAGTGTTAGTGATGGGTGTGGATATAGAAAAAAATGTTGCAACCTGACGCTACTTAACTTGTTGTTTACAATTGAAAATGTTTCTCAGTTCCACTTCCAGTGATTCATGTTCATTATGTTTTGCATTGACGGACCTTTGATTTGGACCTTCATTGATTTGATATATGAAGAAAAAAGCAGCGTCAGGTTGCAACATTCTTTCCTAGATGTATTCCAAGCCAGTAAGAATGGTATGCAACTTAGTTTATTGATATTTACACACAACATGCTGTCAGGGTCTGTGATGTGACACTGTTGTTATTGTTGGCTTACGCTCAGTCATGTCAGTTCAGCAGGGTTTTTTTTTTTACTTTTTGAGAATTGTCACCTCAGTTTGATTTGATTTTGTTTTGTTCAATAATATAATAATCTTGTAATTTATTTTTTAGGGAAAAACGTGATCCTTATCTTTACAGGCATGCAACTTTTCCTCGGATCAGCTGATTTCCTCTTTTTTAATTCTCATTTCTGCCATTCAAAATTGAAAATCACTGTACAATTACAAAGTCTTCTGAATTTAGGAATTTCCTCTTTTTTGGTGAGTTTACAGTTGCATGCCTGTCTTTAGGACACCTCTATAATACAAGTTCTGATCAAAACTGACTTTTGCAGATGACTGTCCAGTACCAAAGTGACTTTTGCAGGCTAAATTAAAAGCTCCTTGAAAGCAGGGAGGTTCTTCAGATAAATCATAAAGTGATAAACTCATGTTTGTTGTAATTTGGAACATGTTGAAAGTACTTTCAAAGAAAATGTGACTTTCCTAGATCTCACAACACGAGCGAAAGCCCAACACAATGAAAGCCCAATGCTGATTGGCTGCTAATAAAATAGATAGAATAGGTTTTTTTATCAGCCAATCAGCATCGAGCTTTCATTTCATCTAGATTTATATTTTCCATCTTGGTTTTTGACTTTAATTTTGAGTCCGTTTTCTGATTGTTGTCGTCGTCTTTTACCCCTTAATTTCCCTCATAAATCAAAGCCCTGCCCTCTTTCAAAAAGCCCAGACGAGAAACAAGGTTTTTTTTTACATGGTCTTGCATTCATTTCAGCTTAGAGATTCTCAACATTTGTGTTACGTTATTCCTGTCAGCTTTCCACGATATTGACAGTGATGGGACGTGGATCTGGGAAGATGGCGCTAGCGTCTCTTACACCAATTGGAACAGTAATGAACCCAACGGCGACTATACGAAAAACTGTGCCGGGATGTACAAATCCAGCGGACGATGGGATGACTTCTCTTGTACGTCCGAAATCGCGAGCGTCTGTAGAAGTAAGTGTCGTCATTTTTTTTCATCGCTTGCTTATGTTGAATCCAAAGATTACTTTTTTTACTGCAGTGGTATGTTAGCTTGTAAAAGGTAGAACATAACTGGGCAGCGAGAATGCCTTTTTTCATTTTGTCTTGGATTGCTAATATTTACTAGCACGTTCTCCCGATCCAAACCAACATTAAAATAAAAAACAAGAGTCTAGCGCCCCAGTTTCTGTTCTATTGCGTTACATGAGAGATTTACTGAGACGTTTGTCTGAAATCAGGCAAAAACATTGGCACTAAATCACCCCTGAAAATGGCAATATTACACGAAAAGTGAAAATTAACTTTGATGAGATTAAAAGTTACAATAATGTTTGTGCGTAAGAAAAAATTGTTAGTTGGGCTCTTTAATTTTTGTTTACCCTTCTGATAACTTGCCTTTTAACCTACTGTAAGTCATCTGACAGTGAACTTTGACCTTTCACCCTGACCTCACAGCTATCATCCAGTACACCGCCACCACCACCGGTTGTCCGTGCTCGTTTGATGCCACTCGCAATGACTGCGCGTGTTGTTATACTGGGGGTTGTCACTGCGGAGCGGATTATCCCGATCGGTGCGTCGCATGCGGTGGAGATTGTACATCAGATGATGCTGAACCACTTGAGGGTAGGGGCAATAGATATCTCTGATGACTGTGGATTATTTTACTGTACATGAGTACTTATTACTCAATGTAAGGCTGAGTCCCACTTGAGCCTCCAGAACTAGGCCGACGTTTCTTGTCAGCTTGTTTCCATAATGAATTTAACACTCGTTTTGTTGATCAGTCACAGACAGTCGAAAATTCAAATCCTGTTCCCTGACATGCCTTTTACACAGGCTAGTCACCAACAGTCAGATCATATTTCTATAGGCAATATGACTAGTCAGATTCCATCAACAGACAAAATTAAGCAAGTAACTGGTAGGCTAGGCATGGCAGGCTTACCAATCTCCTGCAGTCAAAGCATGGCTATATCAGACAAAATTAAGCAACAGACAAAATTAAGCAAGTAACTGGTAGGCTAGGCATGGCGCAGCAGGCTTACCAATCTCCTGCAGTCAAAGCATGGCTATATCAGACAAAATTAGCAACAGACAAAATTGAGCAAGTAATTGGTAGGCTAGGCACAGCGGGCTTACCAATCTCCTGCAGTCAAAGCATGGCTATATCAGACAAAATTAAGCAACAGACAAAATTGAGCAAGTAATTGGTAGGCTATAGGCAGAACAGGCTTACTAATCTCCTGCAGTAAGAGCATGACTGTATCAGGTTTCATAACAATCACAGCCAGTCAGTGCTGTTTTATAAAAGCAGGGAGCACTCAACTCATAAAAACAGTCACTTGATTTATTTGACTGCTGGGCTGGCCTTGTTGACATTTCCAGTCAGAGAGGGATGGTGGATGAAGATCTCAACAACGGCCCGAAACAAGAGATGCAGGCTAAGCATCCTTAACACTTGCCCTTAATCATGAACCTACGCCTGTGTGCCATCCTGACTTCGTCCACAAAGAACTCAAGCCTAACCAGTGATGTTGTTAATATACTTCCACGCAGAGTGGACACTTGTCTTCAAGCACATTCGTTCCTCTGGGATTAACGTCCGGGAGCTGTGGCAGGGGAGCGGAACCTACAATGACGGATCGGACACGGCGCAGATTGTGACCTCAACATCTAACCACTACAAAGGCAGTGCTGCCAACAGCTATGATACCAACCAAATTCAGTATGTAAGTAGCACATCCACAACTCCCTTCAAGAGTATCCGCTCCGTTCACAAGTACCCCCTCACCGGCAAAGAGAGTACAGTTGGGGGTGACCGAACGACGCCATCTTGCCTGACTGCAATTCATTTGCTGCGAAGCGCGGCCACTGCGCGTACATAGAACAAATCCCCTGGTGTACGTGCGTGACACACAAGGATGAATGCGCGTCAACCAGCGAAATGTCCCACCTTTGGGATGTCGTTGCTATGTAAAAGGGCGCCCTCTTTTGGTAGCGCACAGAGCTCATAACGAGGTGATAATGCCCGAAGCCTGGTAAGAAATTCCAATCAAATAGATCCCTCCCACAAATTCTTGCTTTTTTTTCTAAAGGTCAAGTTTGCGTTCTATACCTCTGGTGGGTCAGAGGTCATGTCCATGACCTTTGACACGGCTAACACCGACAAGAATTCCTGGTACTCGATTGACCGTCTGCTCTACGCGCCGTATTCGGATATCTACACAGCCGGAAAAGGTTACTTTTCAATGGACGGGTGAGTGTGTACTTTTCTTCCAATTTTGTAAAAAAAAATTTGCTTGGTGAAGGTGTATTTGTGTACAGAATCCAAATTTTTTGTTGGTATTTTGTTACTGGCATTTTTGTGGGTCATATCTATTGATCAGTTCCTGGAGGTAAGTAGGGGCGAGACCATGAAGACATTTGTAGGTGAGGAGAAGAAGTTTGAAAACTATCCTGAGCTTGACCAGGAGCCAGTGAATGGCAAATATCGTCGTGTCTGTGCAACAAGGTCGTATCTCCTAAAACGGGCCGTACATGAAAGGCGAGTTTCAGAATGTCAAAAGATCGTATCTCACTTAAAATAACCTGGAAAGCCAATGGACGTCAAGATACAACCTTGTTGTACGGAGCGTATTCGCCAAAGATACGACTTTGTTGCAGAATGGATTTACGACCTTGTTGCACGGACTTGACGATACATGTCCTTTAACTTTCATTTATGTGTTTGTGGCCTATACAGACACTATGACGCCAGAAGGTGTTTCTTTGTTGAGTCTTATTACAACGGCTGTGAGGGCGACGCGGGCTGGGTGATGGTGAAGGACACTGGATACTCCGGTCCCTGTACGTACGACAACTACTACAGCTACCCGTTCTTCACGTACAATACCGCGAGCACCTTACAAGCGTTTCAAAGCGGTTAGTGAAAAAAATCATAGTGGTAGCGTGATTTTAAAAAAATATATCATGGCTTTTGTCCATCTCATGTGGTAGTCTATTTTTGAATAATATACCAAATATGAATGGGATTTTTCATATCCTAACACCTTTTGGCTCGGAACCATCCGCAATACTGCCAAATCCTCCAATTGCCACAGTAAACATCGGATTCAGCCTCAATCCTCCAAAATCATCCGTAATTTCTTGAATTTGTTTGGTGGAAGGGTAACCATTGACTCAATTTTTCAAAACCCTACAACAATCACTGTTAATGGGTTGAGGCAGTGCCGATGACATTCAGAAGCAGTGTGGATGATATCGAGCATAATGCAGGGCTCAATTATGCATGACTGAACGTAAACAATGCTGGGTACAACCTACAAACTCGACACAATGCATCCTCCAAAATCAACTGACAATTTTTTGCCATTCAGCCTCAATCCTCCAAAATCATCCTCCTGGAATGTTTTGTACGATTGAGAAGGTTATATCAACAAATTGTATGTACAGGTAGATTCACTTGTTGGATTTGTTTTTTACATTTAGGACGTATTTGAGAGTGCCTATGAGAAATTATACCTTTAAAATCATTTGGAATACATAGTTTCTTGTACGTAATATCACGTTCCTTTTTTTTTTTTTTTTGCAGGACATTTTGCATTCCCAGAAATCATGGCGATATTGTACAAGTATTACGGTAAGAATGGTCACTTTTTGGGGTTGATTTTCCCCCTTTTACCAGCATAACTTCATGATCATTCAGGACTGTTGTAGAGCCAGCACGAACATTTGACAAGCTTGCTCGGCGAGACAGTTGTAAGCAGGAGGTTGTGGGTTCGAGTCCAACCAAGCAAGATTGTGACTTTTTTTTAGCTCTGAGACACTGTTGAGTAGACAGTGCTTACAAAGTAACTTTGATAAAGAGCAAAACTTCATCAGAAGAAATCCTTGATCACTTTTCTTTCAAAAAGTCTGCCTAATGGACAAATCATATGAATTATTCATTTTCTCCTACAGACACTTCGACCAATACGGGTATCTGTGATGACAACTGGCATCTGGGATACAATGGCAGATCGTGTTACCGTGCCGTGGATTCCACCGTGACGTGGCAGGACGCGTTGGACGCGTGCCGCGGTCTCCGTAGTGACGCGGACCTTGCAAGCATTGGCACAGCCGATGAGAATGCGTTTGTGCTGACTGTGTCACGGTGAGATATTGGCCTGGGTTATGCCAGTCACAAGTCAATCACAAGTTTATTATTAGTCAATTACAAGTTATCGCAAGGCAATAACTAGTCGGTCAGAAGTTACCTCAAGTCAATCACAAGTCAGTGAGAGTGAATCGCGAGTCAGTCACAAGTCAATCACATGTCATCACAAGTAGTCACAAGTCATCACATGTCATCACAAGTCAATCACAAGTCAATCACAAGTCATCACAAGTCAATCACAAGTCAAACACAAGTCAATCACAAGTCAATCACAAGTCAATCACTAGCCCATCACAAGTCAATCACAGGTCAATCACTAGCCCATCACAAGTCAATCACAAGTCGATCACAAGTCAATCACACGTCAATCACAAGTCGATCCACGTGTGACCTAACTGGTCGTGGATATTCAAGTCAGGATTAGACCAGGCTGCTGAGCCAAAGCAATATCTTGTTTGAGGCAGTATCTGCCGGCAACCATTTAGACACGAGGAGAATAATTCAATAAGGCTGGTTACCTGTCTTCAGGACTATTCAAAGTTCACTCTCCTAAACCAATTGGCGTGTCCTGCAATGGAAAAAGCAAGATGAATTATAACGTCATCTTAAGTCATATTTTCATAACGTCATCTAGAGACCAAAGACAAGTTCTTTTAGAACTTATAGCAAGACTGTTCTTATCAGAACTAAAAACTACTTAGCAAAAGTTGACAATAAGCAGGGACGAGTTCTTTTCGGAACTATATATCTTCTAAGCAGTAGTTATTACCACATGGTGTTACCGCAAACCGAAACGATAACAATACTCCACCATGCAAAGCCTCAAATCTTATGTCATCTCAAACTCTAGGTGAATTCCAATATTAGTCTGTAAAATGATCCCATGGTCTTGTTATGCTCTGACTCTACAGCCGGACACTAAGCCACAATGAATACTGGATTGGCTTGAATGATTTCGCCGTGGAAGGTACTTGGGAGTGGTCCGACGGCACAAAGAGCAGCTACACTAACTGGTATTCCAGCGAACCAAATGATTGTGAGTAAAATTTAACAAAATCCAAACCAAAGTTCTTTGTAATCTCTCATCAGATTGTGTAGCATTGAGATGTAAGACAGCTGGATTTGTGGCATCCAGAAGCAGTATTAGCGAGGACCATGGTTAACCGTAGTTTGACTTTTAACGTCACTCAAACTCAGGATGGTTTGACTGCTTGATCTGGTCATCTATTTTGAACGAGAGCGTTTGACTACAGACGATCCCACGTTGGTATGAGTCACGAATCAGTCACTAGTTGACTGATGGTTCTTGCCCGAACGTGCTGCAGATCACAAATGTCTCTCAACATCTTTTACATTTTTACCCCCATCGTGAAGCAGCTACACTGGCTCCCTATCAAACAGCGACTATACAAACTTTCCACGATAACCTAGAAAGTGCTAAGCGGTCTAGCTTCATTGTACATATCAGAGCTTAGATGTTAACAGCTGTTCTGGTCGGTGACATTTTTCTCACAGGCTTCAAGAGAAGTATTGGAAAAAATATATACATTGATCATTCACAAGGTTCTTTGTCTTTATGTAATTATGTAAAAACTTATTGCTCATTTCTAAATGAGGTAGTTCCATATGGCATTCATATGGTCTTGAATTTCTATAATCAACTGCTATTTCGTGAATGTTTGCATCTTCAACATTTTTCACACAGGTTCAGAGAAGTAATATGAATAATGTATATATTTGTACTTTGTCTGGTTCTTGTCAAGATAGTCACCATTCATAACTTCTTGTTCTTCATTAATGTCTTGATTTTCGATAATCAACTACTATTTCATGAATGTTTATTTCTTTGACACGTTCCTAAATTGTTGGTAATTTGCACAGTTTATGTTATTAACATTTTCATAAGTTCTTGTTCTGAACGAAATAGTCCATTATGGCCTGGTACTTTCATACTCAATCACTATTTCATCAATGTTTATTTCTTTTAGCCGGCGGACAGGAGCACTGTGCTGTGATCCGATGGTCAACCGATGGAACTTGGAACGACGCAAACTGTGCCAACAGCAAACGCTACATATGCGAATATCCTCTCATCGCCAGTAAGTGTTACAAACAGTGATTGTTGAAGGCGTGTGCCTAGCACCCATGCATGGGTTGTAGATATCTGCAATGGACATCACACAAAAATGAACATTGGTTTCTGGAGGTAGTTTCAATTGGGAAGTGTGGCCTAGCGGTAAGGGTTCGTGACTCGTGATCAGAGGGTCAGGGGTTCGAATCCAGCTGCCAGCCATACGTTGTGTCCTTGGGCAAGGCACTTAATCCCCACTTGCCTCTCTCCACCCAGGAGTATAAATGTGTACCAGCATTAGCTGGGGAGTAACCTGCGATGGACTGGCATCCTGTACAAGGGGAATAGAAATATTCTCAGTCGTTTCATGCCAAGGAAACTGGAGATAAACGCCGGCCTGATGGGCCATATAGGCTCGGGACAGACTTTACTTTTTCTGGAGGTAGTTAGCCTCTTAGTCTAGTATTTTCCAAACTCTTTTTCCATTCTTTTTTTTCTGAATGCAGTATCCTGTGCGGATTGGAAGCGTCGTGGCTATTCCAACAGCGGGGACTACACCATTGACCCGGACGGGCCAGGCTTTGGCAACGATCCGTTCAAGATATACTGCGACATGACCTCCGATGGAAACACAGGTAAACGGGTCGCGACGCAAACGAACAAACTATCTTGTTTTCATTCGTTTGGTTTTTATGCTACTACGGTGCAGGTTTTGAACGTAATTCGCAACAATTTGTTTTGAGCAATTTGCGTGAATTGATCATCGTGGCATTTAAACACATACAGTAAGCCTTTTGCGAGTAATTACCTATACCCTTTGGAATTTACATTTGAAAAACATCTGGTACACTGACTTGCTCAGAATGCTTGGCACATTTTAACTTTGAATTCTCCAGACCAAATCACATGATTCGGGGCAAGCTCTTGCATAGTTACATAAGAAACGCTCAGCACACTCACTCACAAAAAAATATAAAATTACAGTTGCTACAAAATTTATATATATTTTTCTCAATCCATTTTTATTATTCAATAGGTATTGGTTTTTATTTCCAAAATAGTTTGGTGAAAGGCAAGCCTTGTAATAAAACAATTTTAAGCAAGTTTTAAAACAATTTCTATCTTTCATCACAGGTATTACCGTTATCAACCACAACCAGGAGATGCGACAATGGGTCAAAGGTTACGAGGGTGCTCGATCCTACGTCCGATCCCTCAGCTACAGTCCCGTCAGCGTCAGTCAAGCTGCTGCACTGGCTGATGTCTCAGGAGAATGCTACCAGCATATCAAGGTCTGCCTGTTTATGGGTTTGAATGTTTTCGGCTTTTTTTGTTTTATTTTCTTTTGATGTGTTTTGTATATTGTACATGGTTTTTAAGGATGTACGTAGCCTTCTGGTTGTTTTATTATGTAGTCACATTTGTTGTATTTTACTTGCCTAGTATTAGTGTGGAATTTAAAGGGAAAATACATCATTTGCTTTTGCTGTAACTTTCAGAAATGGATGAAATTGGGGGGTTGGAAATATATAGCAAATATAGTTACACTGACTTTTTTTAGGTTTTGGGTTCGAAAATGCTATAAAAACCAAGAAAAACAATCATTTTCCTGTAGTCTGGTCCCTGACTCCATATAAGAAGAAACAGAGCAGTTTACATACATTGGGGAATTGTAAGGTCAGGAAACCAGTCTAGCTGGCTTGTACCCGTTCATAGGTGTGTAATCGATTGCAAACAAGTGCGATGGACAATTGGGGCCAGTATTTGAAAAAAAGCCAGTTTTTTCCAACGCTGGTCGGCCGACCAGCATTGGAAATTGGTACAAAAATACCACTTTTCTTGAATATGACAGTATACCAGGTGCCATGATTTTACAGGATGCTTTACACTGTCATTCACTTACAGTCCAGCAAGGTATTTCAAAATGATTTGGTAGTTTTATATTTTGATGTTTGCAAATGTTGTATTTTCCCTTTAAGACATGTGCCTGGATCTGAGCCAAAGGGTATACAAAAGTAAACAGTCATTGTTATGGACATGACACGTGACAATTTAGACCAATGAAAATTGAAGTATCCCGGACACGACAGTGACCATTTTACAATTTCCGGTGTGTCGAACATGTTTGATGCCCCGAGTATCGTATTTCGCCAGAAGCATCACTGTTTATACCCAGAGTGTTCCATTTCTTGCAGTTTGAATGTTACGGTTCCACCATGAGTACTGGCTACTACACGGCGTGGTACGATCGCGACGGCAACATGGAAACCTACTGGGGTGGAGCGCCCTCTAGCACCAGCCTCTGCGCATGCGGATATGAGGGTATTGTCTGGCTTGAATGTCGCATTTAAATTGTCCTTTTCAACATGTTATTATTACTTTACTTAGTATGCAATAAGCCTTTTCGGAGTTCCAACTGCGCACATTCGTAACCTGTGACAACGCACATTGTTTGTCTCCAATGCCCTTTGACAGTACCCACAATGCACAAACAGCCTTTTTGTAAAGTCAGTGGCGCGATGTTGTCAAAGGCCAATTGAGACAAACAATGCGCGTTGTCACAGGTTACGAATGCGCAGTTGGAACTCTGAAAAGGCTTATACAGAGCCCTCATTTTGCCAAATTACAGTCAGCAAAAGGAAGCTAGTTTATTAAGCCCAATATTTTCATCGTAGCAGTACCAGGCAAAAATTGTCTTTTCCTATTGAAAGGCATATAGTATTATTTGATTGTTTCCCAAAAGTAACCTACCAAATTATTATCGAAAATCGTACTCGAATTAAAGATCGTACTGGTACTAAACATCCTGCGAAATTATTCCTACTATTTAAGTTCTTGTCATTTAGAAGAAATCAAGAAATGGAGCTGATTTCCAACGAACAGTCTGTTGAACGATCGTTGGAACTATAGAAACAACTATTTGTGACGAAATTATGTTTCGTGATCAAAAGGTTGAGCACGGTCTTCCACTGTTTTCTCAAAAAGTGTAATATCCACTGAGCTGAAACTTCAACAGGTTAGGTTTTCAACACACTTCTTTGGAGTTTGAGTGGTGTTCATATTGTAAAAACTACCAAAATGCATGAAAAGCAAATGATCGTATATGCCTTTACTACAGCACAGTGGATTTATCATATTTTACATTATTTTGATCACGTAGTTGGTGTCCTATTCTTACAGGTAACTGTGATGGGGGTTACTCCCGCTGCAACTGCGAGGTAAATGACTACACTTGGCGGGTGGACGAGGGTTTGCTGACCGATAAGGCTGACCTGCCGGTGACCGAGATCAGGGTAGGGGATACCGGGAATGGGGACGAGCAGGCCTATTACACTATCGGGCCGATGTACTGCAAATCCGATGAGAGTTGTAAGTTTATTACATACACATCATTGTTATTGTCAACATTATCCGGATCATGAACTTGGCATCAGTAAGGAATGACGTGGGGTCAGGCGACATGCACTTGCCAACCCCCCCCCCCCCCCCCCCCCCGCCCCAGAATTTCAGGAATAAATGAATGAGTTGTTATTGTTAAAAATGTATTGTGTTCCCCCCCCCCCCCCCCCCGGAAAAGTGGGCGTGGATGCCTCCTAAAAATGTGACTTTTGTAACACCACTGATTGTCAACTGCTTATATATTTTGATTTGTTTCAGTTGTTCTCACTGGAAGAACTGATTTTGTCCTCACGATGAACAGCGTCATCAGTCAGAACAACGAGGAGACAATTGACGACACAACAATTGCGGAATGTGCCAACGAATGTGTCGCCCGCACATCTTTTCTTTGTCTCGCCTTCGAATACAAATTCGAAACCGCAAAATGTCACCTTAACACTGTGACGGATGAAACAAGGACTCTTTCTTATAGCAGCAATACGGCTTTCTTCAGACGAACGTGTGCGTATGATTTCATCATGTTCCATTGACGTTATGTCTGTAATTTTATTTTTAAGTTCTTAAAAAAAAAGGGGAGATTTTATTTTTCATTAAAAAAAATTTCAGCTTAATTTGATTTACTCATTTTTGCAATGATTATTATAAGTTGCAAAGAGTTACATTTTTAAATTAAATGCCAAGATTTGTATTCCTGATATAATATTTGGAACTTAACAGAAAGCGTGTGAGTTTTGGCCATGATCTGTTGTACCTATAAGGGATGGTATCGTTTCGGTTTGCGGTAACACCATGTGGTAATAACTACTGCTTAGAAGATATTTAGTTCTGAAAAGAACTTGTCCTGCTTATTATGAACTTTCGCTAAGTAGTTTTAGTTCTGAACTTGTTTTTGGTCTCAATGTTTCGACTAGCCTGCTCTAGTCATCGTCGGTCACCTGACGATGACTAATTGATTTATATTTAAATTGCGTGAAAATTTAATTGTAAATTAATTGTCTCATTTGTGTTTTGTACAGTTGACAGACAGGAGAATCCAAACCGCGGTGAGTAAGAATTTCTCGCCACATTTTGCAAAATTAAATTTGACTAGAATTTCACTTAATAATCACTCATAGTTTAAATTCAATTTCAAAATCATATATGGCATCACTGGCTTGTTGAAAAACAGATTAAAACCTTTTCTTAGTTAAGTATCATTGGAAAATTGAGGAGTGTACATGCAAGTTTGGATCATTCCCGTCAGTTTGGTTTAATTGTAATCCGTTTCGGACTGGCAAGCCATAGTTGCACTGAATAAAACTTTTCTAAAGAGTTGAGCCAAATACAGGGGGAGTCAGAAACAGTGGCGCACCCAGGATTTGGTTTTTGAGGGGGGGGCTCAAAAAATGTTTTTTTACAAATTTGTTAAAAGTTGAATTTTTTTTTCAAAAAAATTTGCCCAAAATTTTTGGCTGCAAAAAAAAAAAAGTTGTTTTTTTAGGGGGCAGCCTATTTTGACGTTGGTGACACCACTTACACCCCTATTATACTACTCGAAAACAGGCCACATTCATGTCACCAAGGCCAAATCGTTGGACTAAAAAAAAGCAAAAACAAAAAATAATAAAAAATTTGACAACCTCTTGGGGGGTTGCGCCACTGGTCAGAAAGATGGGTACACTGTCAAATAGCCTCTTCTTTTCCTGTATACTTGAAAGAAAAGTATACAGAAAACTAAAGCAATTGAAATCTAGCCGACTCACTGACTGACTCAGTAGACCTGCTTACATCTCTCCTCAACCCAAAAAGTTGCAATAGGAATTACCCTGTGACGCCATTGAATGGGGTAACTCCAGGACATCGTATAGCCCACTAAGGGAATGACTGTACTGACATCGTATAGCCCACTAAGGGAATGACTGTACTGAATCAATGCTGGGTGCTCTGAGACAGCTTTACTCGTATTGCCATGACTTCTGTTTTCATTGCAGAGTCCAATAGCTGTCCGAGTGGGTGGGCGGAGTATAACTCCCACTGTTACTACGCGAGCACCAGTAAGAAGACGTGGTACGCTGCCGAGTTGCACTGCGAAACTGAAGGAGGTAAATGCTTTAGCCACACTTGACCAGTTTGCGTCTGGTGACGTGTATTACACGCAAAGGTTTGGCTGTATTTGGAACGGATGACTGGTATAAACACGCGACAAGCGAAGGCGGAAAATATCTGTCAGCGACCCGCTCGCAGCGAGCGAGGCCGGAAATATGAGTGTGCTGCCCAAGGGTGATGGCTTCAACCCGCCAGGCATTGAGGTCGAGTGAAACGTAATCCTGCGCCTCATTCCATTCTTGTCAAAATAAACCCGGCGTGAACTGGTCAAAATCCTTTTTTTCTTCTTTTGATTTTTTTACCAAAATTTTGTTGGGCATTCCGAATATTGATCATTTTGTCATCTATGAATCAAAGACATTTGAAATTGCAATAGCTAATAATGGGAATAGCCACATATGGGAACCACCGCATAATTGATTGGACGCATAGCGGATTAGCCTCAAATTGGATTTAGCATACATGGGATTAGCCAATATGGATTGGTCAAAAGTTGGATTACCAATACATGCACATAGGATTAGCCATAGATGGGGATAAGGCACAACATGGATCAATCATAAATGGGATTTCTCACATGGGATTAGCCTAATATGGGATAAGCCATATATAAACTAACTCCCATACTGTATTAGCCGCATAGGATTAGCCATAAACATGGTCGTTTTGGGGGTTCTTTTCAATTAATTAGAAGTAAACCCAGAGACCGCTTTTTTTTGTATTGATATGAACTTGGTCTCCAGACAGGAATTTCTTTGTTTGGAACTTTCAATAGGAATCATGGAGTGGGGGGGGAAACAACTAGAAATTATTGTCTTTTCTGTCTGTCCGCTTTCAAGGAGGCACCTTGGTATCTGTGGATGATGACGCAGAGCATGAATTCCTGACCAAGATCGGCCGCTGGGCTAATCCGTCGGAGGAATATTTCTGGATCGGAATCAACGACATCGAAAACGAAGGTAAACCAAGAGCGATCAACATTGGTTGAAGTTTTTCAAATCTCACTACGAAGCCAGTTGGAGACTAATCCATCCTCTCCAAATTGTCAATGATTGAAAGAATGAGCTTGTTGTTTTTTTTTTTTTTTAAATGGACAAAAAGAATTTGTCAATTTGAATGTTTAAATCAAACTAAGAACTCCATATCGTCTGGGAAAGAACTAGTGTAAGATGCTGTATGGTGATTTTGTGACTTTTCAGGCCTAAGTGAAATCAGAATGCGGTAACAGAAGTCTCAATCTGTTTTTCTTTCTTCAGGCATGATAGATTTTTCAGACTTTTTTTCTGAGTTCAATCTTTTTGAATTGGGGAGAAAGACATCAGTTTTGAAAGAAATGCATCTTTCAGACCTTTTATTAAATTTCAGATTTTTTTAAAAATCGACGATCACATCCCTGGTTTTGTTTTTCCAAAGGATCATGGGTGAATGTTGACCAATCAGACGCCACGTACAACCGATGGAAGTCGGGCGAACCAAACGGTGACCTGATTGAAAATGGTGCCTTGATGTCCGTCTACACCAACTACGACTGGATCGACGTCGGTGTGCACGGGAGTTACCAGTTCTTCTGTGAGACGGCGATTGGTAAGCAATACATACACTGGGAATTGCCATATGATTCGACCAAAAGCAACAGTGCATAATGTGAGTGAGATTTTGAGGCATATAGTTCAGACTATCCCAGCACAGAACGCCAACGGGCTTGCATAGACAAGCCACTGACAATGCTGATTTTCAGCCCTCATGATAGGCCCCACGAAACTAAGCGGTTTAAAGATCCGCAGTTTTACCAATCCAGGTTTTACTTCATCGAGGACAATAAAGCAATTTGGATTCCTTGAACTCATCTGTGAACAAAAACATTAAATATTTCGTTCATCAAAGCAGTTGAGTAGCTTTTAAATTTGAATCTAAAAAATTGAACATTATTTTTAAAAAGTCTTCTTTTCTTTGAGCTGTAGCAAATGTGTAAACTTACGTAAATAACCTTATAACTCGCATCTGTTTATATCCCAAAAATTGGTTGTTATCACAGCATCCTCATTTGCCCAGGAATAACACTGGTTGCTTATTTTCCCTCGGTTACCCTATTCCCGTCTTAGGTGCCAGCGCCATCGCTGCGCCGACCACCCATCCCCTCTGCCCCTCCGGTTGGCTCTACGATGACAGCAGTTGTTACTCCTTCTCCGGTGGTGCCACCAGCTGGGACAACGCCCGCACCTCCTGTGCGTCATCCAACGCCGACCTGGTGATCATCGACTCGGACAGAGAGTGGAACTTCCTGCTCAATCAGTGGCGATATCGCTACTCCACCGAGCGGTTCTGGATCGGGCTGACTGACTCGGCTAATGAAGGTGATTTTCACTCATTTGATGCAGGAAAATGCAATGATAAACAGATGGTAACTCCTGGTTTACAAGTGAAACTATTAAGAGTATTTGCCATAAATCTCATATATGCTGTACTGAATTATGATACAAAAGTACTAAACTGGTCGAAATGGAACTACTTCCAATGCCAAAGTGCATGCTAGAGAGGCACACATTTTTTATTATCCAAGTACACGAATGTCGGACATCTAAGCATGCGTATTGGACATTATTCACGGCTATGATTGGTCATGGGGCGGGGCTAAGTGGGGGAGTGTGGCCTCGAGTGTTTAGGGTTCGTGACTCATGATCAGAGGGTCAGGGGTTCGAATCCAGCTGCTGGCCATATGTTGTGTCCTTGGGCAAGCCACTTCACCCTCAATTGCCTCTGTCCACCCAGGAGTATAAATTGGCACAGACATTAGCCGGGGAGTAACCTGCGATGGACTGGCATCCCATCCAGGGGGAATAAAAATATTCTCAGCCGGAGTTAAACACCGGCCTGACGGGCTATATTGGCTCGTGACAGACTTTACTAAGTGGATCCGTCTATTCCAATTACAATTCCATCTTTACCAACAGGAGAGTTTCTTTGGATACACAAGGACAGCTTTTCCTTGAATGCATCCACGTGGGAGAGTGGCAGTCCGGACAACGCTGGGTCCAATGAAGACTGTGTGGAATTCAGTAATTACCAGAAGCTCAACGATGCCGACTGTGGTACCTCCCTGTACTATATCTGCGAAGATCACCTTTGTAAGTTTTAAGACTCTTGACTTAGCATATATATACATCATGTTTGGTTTTTTTTGAGTCTGTCACAAATCACAAGTCAATCATAAGTAAAATCTCCGATCAGCCATAAATCAAATCATAAGTCAAGTCACAAGTCCAATCACAAGTCAACTCATATCGTCACTGTCACCACGAAGTGACACTAACAGCGGAAAATCGATATTTTGTGATATCAATTTTTCTCCCCCTAATTGCTGATTACTTGCACATAATCTATGCTATGCACCCCTCGGGTGTTAAAGAGGTTGTGGAATGCTGAAAGTCGTTTTGTTTTTTTATATTTTGTTTTTGTAGAGTAGACCTATATATATCATAATGACAAACTCCCATTCTTTTGTAATGTGCATTTATATGTTTATAAAACTGAAATTCATCGAGTAATATGTTGGTCGGCGAGCGCATAATTGAAATCAACAGTCGTCGGGTTCTTCGTAAAATCAGAAAAATCGTGACGTAATAAACAGAACTTGTTTATACTACGCTGCATAGGGAGTCCTGTTTATTACGTCACGATTTACTATGTTTTGTTTGCTGCCCCCCAACGACGACTTTTACACAAATTGCATGTTCGGGTCGAAACAGGACCTGAAAAACAGCTCTCAAAAGTACCTTTTGTATTCATTTCATGACAGAAACAATAGTCGTTTTTATTTTATCACTCCTTAGGCTATATATACCCGAAAAATGACGGAAATGTCTTCGAGCATTCCACAACCTCTTTAAAAACGGCATATCTCACATCTGACCAGTCAACAATTCTTTAATGATATCTGAACTTTTATTAAATTGCAGATCCAGTATCGAGCCCAGAAAACTTAAACGTCGAGGCCAAAAGCACCAGGGCAGTTGAGATTACATGGGACGCAACACCTCTGTCTGGTTCCATGGATCTAGATATCACTGGACACAGGGCAAGTAGTGATTATTGATGTTTTTTTGTCGGCAAGGCACCTGACTGTTTGGCACCCTTGCTTGTTTTAAGTAATATTTCTAGTGCTTGGATTGGAATTGTTTTATTTGTTACATTAAGTCAAATAGTAGCATCGCATCTTTTTTCATGGGTAGGCCTATTGCTTCATAAGTTCGAAACTATATGCATTTAATATAATGAGATTTGCTTCTTGAAAATTACTTATCCTTAAATCTTGTTTGGATTGATGATCTAGGTAAAGCTGTAAAATATGCAATTTGTAAATTCATGAATAATTTAAAAAAAAATAATTTTCTGGATGTTAATGTAGAAATCTCTTTATGTTTTTCTTTTCTTTCTTACATTCACTTGAACTGATGATCCTAGTTTTGAAATTTGCAAATTTTAGCAATTTCTCTCTTAATTAATAACAAAACTTTCACTTTTATTAGTGCTAGTGATTAAAGGCATATAGGATCATTTGCTTTCCGTGTATTTTGTTAGTTTTTCAATAATAACACCACTCAAAATCCAACGAAACATTTTCAAAACCTAACCTGCTGTAGTATTATCTCAGTATTACACTTTTCAAGATAACTGTCTTTCGATCAAGAAACACCATTTTGTCATTAGCTTTCTTTATTTCCAAAAATCTGTCAATTGACTGATCGTTAGAAATTACCAGCTGTATTTCTTCTAAATGACAGCAAACCATGAATAATAATTCCACAGGGTGTTTAGTACCAGTATGATCTTCAGCTTAAGTGAGCTCTTTGATATTAATTTGGAAGGTTACTTTTAAGATAAATGCAAAAGATCCTATATATGCCTCTAAATCCCCTCAAGTTTGTCTATTAAAAATCCACTCTTTCATCTCTAGATCTATTATTGGATATCAGACCAAATGAACTCGACCCTCGCCAACGTTTCCCTAGAGGGCGCCAGTGTGCGTCGCTATGTCCTGACTTCTCTCACGCCCGGCACCAACTACGAGTTCACAATCGCTGCATACACCGACCAAGGGGAAGGGCCTAGCGCGGATCCACCTGTCACGGCTATGACTCAGTCAGCTGGTAAGTCTAGGAACCAGACTGCATAGCCAGGAACGTTTTAACAACTTGCATAATGACACCCACATGCAACTCTCAGTAAATTTTACCTGAAGGATTGTTTTCATGAGAAACCGCTCTGCTAAATGCCATTTTAGATCAACTTACGACAGCAGAACTAACAATTGTACTGGCACATGACTGGAAAACCGATCTCTTACCAGTAAACGAAGACCTGTAACGCCTCAAATTGGTTAATATTCATCTGCTGTTTTGATTCTTAACATTCATCTGATGGCATAGTTCTTAAGTATGCGTCTACATGAAATGGTGCCTGTTTATGCAGATGAAAATTATGCAAATTATTTGACCTTGCGTCAAAGGTCGAATGGACACTGAGCCATAGCCAGTCTGTGACTCTATAAAACGTTAAAAAAATTGTGTTAACCCGACCTACCTTGACTTTTTTAGGCCAAATTGAGGACATCAAACTTTTTATCGCCACATTTGGCCTAACTTTTAAAATAACATATATTTTAAAAATAAAGAAGTCTTCGCTATGCACTTTTTTGGTGTGTTATTGGTCAATTAATCTGTGTGAACAGTCAGGAATAGTGAAAAAAAGTAAGACTGCTGCAAACTGCTTACTGACTGGATGGACCTGAAATATATAAATCTAAAAATTAATGTGGCCTGACGTTGCGAACTTAGCAAGTTCTTCTTCAGAGGCTAAAACAGAAATGACAGAGGCACATACATTAACAAGGGGGTGCACACAAACATGCAGGGATGACAGAAGAAACACAAAAGGAGGATTAGGTGGGAAAGGTGTGGAAAGATGCAGGGGAGGGTGGATGAGAGAACAAAGAAACAAAGGGAGATGGCAAACCACAAGGGGTCTGGTATGAACAGGGGAGGGACCAGAAAGGGGAAGGATCAAAGGTCACAGGGAGTGGGGACGGGAGTCAGGAATAGTCACAGATGGTCGATAATCAATCATTTTTTCCACCTGTCATGTCTTTTACTCTGGCTAGTCGCCAGAAGTCTGATGACATTTCTAGTCATATTCCATCAACCAACAAAGGCAAGATTAGTAACTAGTCACAGTGCTTGCTTGAAATATGATCCGACTGTCAAATTCAGTCAACAGACAAAAGCAGCCAACTGGGAGGCACGGCTGGCTTATCAATCAACTACAGTCAAAGCATAGCTGTATCAAGTTACATAAACAGACACAGCTAGTCAATCCTGCTTTATGTAGGAAGGGAGCTCTTAACTGTTAAAAAGAGGCACTTTATTGATGTTGACTGCTGGGATAGCTTTGTTGATTTCTTTCTCTGATTTTTTAATTTTTTTTTATTTCATCAGTTATCAGGACAGATACCCAGCGTCTGAAGGTCTACGTCGTCCAGAGAGGTCAGCGCCTACGCCAACACTCCATGTCCGACCTCCAAATGGCTACCTTCACCCAGTGCACCACCGCCTGCACGGCCGACCAGAACTGCCTGTCCGTCAACTACCACGAGAAGTCCCGCAGCGCCCTCAAGACCTGTGAGCTGAACGCTGATACCCACACCGACAACGCTGGCGATATGGAGATCGATAGAGAGTACACGTATGCTTCTGTTGAAGGGTACTAAAATAATCTGAAAACTGTAAATTGTAGTAACAGTTCTAGGCCTTGGTATTTATCAGGATCAGTTTGCAGGTGAGCCAGTTTGCGATGAAACTTGCGAGTGCGCTGAAGTGGTCATCATGTAGTTTTGATTGATAGCACATGATTGGAGAAACCTCAGATATATTGGCTTTGAATCTGCCAGCCAACCCCAGCAAGCTTTTATTATTATTATTACCCTGGATTGGACATTTGGGAGACATCTCCATAGACTTGTGCACACAATTTTCCAAACTTAAATGTGCCCTAACCCAATATTCCCTTGTTTTCTTATTAGACCACGAGCAACAAATATAACCTAATTGCGACAACAAAATTGTGCTTTTAAAGGGGGGCTGTGACCTAATGACCGATGTCTCCCACCGTTCGAAGAAATTACAATACCGTGTCTCCATAATGGTATATGTAGTCGTACTATTATTATTATTATTATAAATTATTAACCAAGGATTCCTCAAAAGCGCCCTGGGCACTGTAGCTCGCAAGCCTGAAGAAACCTGTGGAGAGAAGACATTGAGAAATTATGGTTTTAGAGGTAGGAGAAAAACCTCAGAAGAATATTCTGAGGAAAACCCACGGAATCAGGTAGGTACTGAAAACCCAATCCACATATTGGCCCAGGCAGGAATCGAACCCGGGTCACAGCGGTGGAAGGCAAGGAAAGAACTGCTACACCAACCTTACCCAAGTGGTAAGATGTGTGCACTAGTATGCATGAGTCCATGGGTTCGAATCCTACCTGAGTGAGTTTATTAATAAAAAAAATCCTCACATAAGTCTTTGAAACTTAAGGAATTTTTTTCTCAATATTTATTAATTGGAGCTGGAAAGAATTAGCCTTTTAAATTGAAATTTTTGTATTGTGATTCTAGACATACTGTGTTATCTCAGTGACTTCTAGATTAACGCCTGGATAGATCGCCATCCATGCCCAAAATCCAATGTAAGTGTTAAAAAAAAGGTCTAATTTTCATTTGGTTGACATTATTTTTAGCCACTTCATTCCCAGCCACATTAAGTTATTGAAAATTGCTTTTTCATGTAAATATATAAATAAATTGAAGGTTAAAGTTAATGCTAAATACGAGTGATTTGTGCCAATTTTATAAAGATTTGTATCAATTTTGGACAACTAAAAGCTTTGAATATTTCTCTTTTTTTTGTAGAAAAAGTCTCTCTTTATTTAACATGGATTGACAGAAGACTAACTTAAGGCAACATGCTTTGTCAGTAAAAGGTTTTTAATTTTATTTCTGCTTTAATTTGAAAAAAAATGCATAGTAGGAAACTGAACAGTTAGAGAACCAATAGTGAATAGAGAACCAACAGGGATTACATAAAAGTTTGTTTGCTTCCAACATTTTCTAGTAATTTCAAGTTATTTTTACGTCGGGTAACCCTGTTAACTTCAGTTGTATGTAGTGTTTATCCAGTGTAAATATTAGTAAGGTGTATTAAATAATTAAAATTCTATATTATTTGGCGTTCGTAGTAAGCAATAAATTGGGAATTAAGCAGTTCCAAAATTGAAAAACAATTTCATTGATTGCGCTGTACCACCACCCTCTTTGTATGCTTGTTCACTATTTAGAAATTTGAAGTATTTTGTTGGTAATTATTTGGTATGCCCCAAAGAAATCGGCACCGTCATTTCTGTATTTTTGGTCAAAAGACTCTCGGTAACCCCACCGTTCATTGAGCTTTGATGCAAGAATTCGAGACACTTCAAATCGAAAGATTTTTTTCCCATTGAAACAACTAATCCGTAAGAATTCCCAACGACCGCGCTAAAGCAATTCATTCAAGTCAACCTAGGTAGCCAGTAGAGCAGTAATCTCCCTTTCACGTTAAAAATGCCAGGAATTAGAGATGTGCGCAAGTGTTTCGTTGCTTTTGCATCACGACTAAAAATCCAACATGGACGCAGTAGGGAGTACATGTTCAGTGGCTTCGTGTCTGGTGGGCATACGAGGGAATACTCCTAGGCTATAAACAGACGTCGCCCAAAGTATTGGTCGACAAAAGATGACGCCCTTTTACTAAATGAAGCTTCAAAGGAAACTGGATTCAGAAAACTGCGAACCGGAGATAATTTTGTAGCCAGTGATGACATAATAATGTGATTTCACCGAGAAAGTGGAACTCAATCGTGCTGCTATAATCCGACGGGGCTAGAATCGCGAAACACCGGCATACAATACTGTCGTGCCCCCGTCCGAAGTAGGGTTTGATGCTAATTTCAAGTTTGGCTTCGGGATGATAGGAGACACAACACTGACAGAGAAAGGGACAAGTTTGGTAAGTTTATGTTATTTCTTTTGCCCGATTAATATCCATTGTTTCATATGAACATTATTGTCCATAGTTGATTCGTATGGAGTGAGTATTGCTATAAACCTACTTGTAAGTGTACCGCACGCCACTTTGGTGGTTGTTCGGGGTTGTAATTATTGTACTCGGTTTTTTAAATTTTGGTTTGAAAATCACTTTCAGCATATTTGCAATGAATGCCATCCTTAGAGTTTTTACTGAATTGAGAATACTGAATTGTACCTAAAATATGAAACAAATGAGAATCCGTCCAGCCTTAAAAATTAGGCTTATTTTCACTGAACGACAACATCCGAAATATTGAACTAGTGCCGAAAATAAATTACCTTGGTTTTTTTGGCCTCTGTGAATCTGTTGCAATTTACCAGACTTGAGGTTGATTCCTGTAAGTTTTTGGGGGTCATTATTGATGATAAGTTAACGTGGAAAAATCATTGTCAGAAAGTCCTTACACTTATATCTCGCAACCTTGGTATTCTTAGAAAACTTAGATATTTTGTCCCATCCCGTGTTCTATTTTCAATTTATAATACGTTATCCTTGCCTCATCTTCAATATGGTATACTTGCCTGGGGAAATACTCATAAAACCTACCTTGATAAATTGCTCGTTTTACAGAAGAAATCTTTAAGACTGATTAATGGTTCTAGTTTTAAGGATCACTCTGCCCCGCTATTTGTTAAGTTCAACACCTTATCTGTATATGATCTTTATAAATATAAATTGTGTGCTCTGATGTATAATTTTGAAAAAAACATACTGCCTTTGAATATTAAATCGTTTTTTGTAATGAACACAGATATTCATCATTACGACACAAGATCGTCAAATAAGCTTCATCTTAATAAAGTTAGAACATCTCTACACCTCTCAACTGTACGACACCAGGGGCCCCTCCTTTGGAATAAAATTCGATCTCTCTGCCCATTGACCTCAATTAGAGCATGTAAATTGTATTATAAAAAACTACTTCTCTCTACGGTTAATGTCAATGGTGATTAAGAGCAAAATTATTACTTTATTGCCAAGTAAAATTATTAACAACACATGTAAAGTCAAGGATGGTAAATTTCCCTCAAGTAACTTATTCTTTTTTTTGTAAAGTTTTGCATGAGCTCGTGAATTTAATGTAATGTAATCACATATTATTGATATATCCTATGATTATTCATGAATTGTATAACTACACGTATTCTTTGTGAAGGGGGCAGACCTAGTACAAGCTTCGGCTTCTTGTCTGGCCTCCCCATACTATTATTTCAATGTTTCGTTAAAATGTTTACCTGATGTATATTATTCCACTGAATTACCTTATAGTATGGAAATAAACCTGAAACCTGAAAACCTGAAACCAGACTGTCAACTGTGACACCTACTAGATAGATCGTCACATACAACAGACTCGATCAAAAAACACACACACAAACACACACACCACAGACGTTATTGTAATATTTTTCTGCTTGGATGGATTTTATTACATCATAATGAATCATTCTGTAGCTTGTCATAACTTTGGCAGGGGAAATATATTTAAATTAATTGTCGAAATTGAGGGCAAGGTTTTGAAGTAAGTGTATAGAGTGAAGGTGGCCGAAGTCACTTTCTTCTGACTGCTTTGTCCCCTTTTTCAAGCCATTTTAAAATATCCCTCTTCTGATCATCTCCAATAACCTTTGGTATTCCAACCAACACATTCTCGTGATTTCTCCTTTTTCTGTGAGTTTCACGGGTGGGCGGGACACCGTCCATATCTTCCGTGACGTCAGCATACTTTGTAAAACTATCTAATAAATCTTTGATGCGCGGACCAATGGTCATAGATGTTCGGCGCAGGCGCCTTTGCGGCAGTGATGAACTTGGTAACACAATGTCTACAGCCGAGGGTTTAGCTTGCCTGTTGTGGTCCTTGTGGGGTTTGTATTTTGTCAAAGAGAATTCCTTGGGAACTCTCTCCTCTCTTGGGCTGATGAAGTTGCCGCTTCTTCCTCTGATTTCTGAGATGTCACAACAGAGTCTTGGCGTGTCTCTTGGGGACACTTCCCCGGGTCGATCGTTAAAGAGAGCCGCGTCTTTCCTCAGCAAATCTTTACCGAACGCTGCTGAGATATCTGGCTTGAAGACGTTCTCCACCGATATTCTGTTCTTGTTGACGGGAGTCAGGTAGCTGATGCCTCGCTCCGTGATAATGTGTCGGCCCAGCGCCTGCCGCAGCTCGTTCAGCCGGCGTAACTGCTCCATTTCACCGGCAGCTGCTGGCTGCAGTTTCGGTATCTCGCTGTCCTCGTCCGGAAAGTCTGCAAAAGTAACTTTCTTGGAGTTGCTGCTGTCCGAGGCTGGCAAGGAGGTCAGGCGAAGCTCGTCAGTGTCGATGTTGCTCAAGCTTCGAGCAAATTTGTCGGAGATATTGTCTGGTACCGGTTCGTAGGCCATCCTCTCACTTCAGGCTAATTCTTCGTCTATTCACCATTGAACACTCTCCATTTCGTTTGTTTTTTCCTTACCAAATTGATTTATTTCTTCTCCGAAAGACTCTGTCTCAAATTCATTCTTACAAACTTCAGTTCATGACTGGATTAATTACGCATGTTAAGATTCATCTTTCCCGTTTACTGTAATTCTTGCCATTTTTGTTGAGGCTTCAGCTTCAGTTAAGGAAGATCGTGAATTCAACAGCAGTTTAGTTTCCCAGATAACGAAAAAAATCTGATGTAGGCCGCCATTTTGGTCAAATTATAAAACATAATCTCCCATAACCTGGCCATGGGATGTTTCATTGTCGAAGTCTGCAAAAGGAATGACTTATTTATTAGGCGAACTTTTCATCCATTAATGCGGTACGGTATTGATTCGTGTATAGTTTCTTGCACACAGACGTGCGTGCCAAGAAACTTTTGGTAAGGATTATATTGATATTTCGTGCTGTGTAGCAACCATCACTAAGGAGTTAAAAAAGGACGAGATCGATCATGCCCAGAGAAAACCTTGGCTTATTGCTACGTCAGTCCAAAAAGTGAACGTAAGGGGGCGCGCTTTTGTAATTTAATTTTGAACATAAGAGGGCGACAAACTAGATACACATTTTCCCATCATGACTCTTCAGCACTTGGAGTTTTGGAAGCGAGGGACTCGACTTTGGGAGTTGATAATTCGTTGTGCAAAATCGGAAAAGCAAACGACCAAACTGTTTTGCTACTGAGGTTAATGTCGACAAAATGTGGGGTTATTTTGCACTGCCCCAACATTTCCTGGACACTGTACTTTATTTCAAAAAGCGAGGGGGGGGGGAGAGAACACATAGGTGGCGCTGTTTCTGTACTTTATTTCGAAAAGCCGGAGGGGGGGGGTAGAATACCATTTGACACTAGGTGGCGCTGTTTATGTGTATGCATAAACGAAAAATCCGAAGGGGGTTCATAATTAAGACAGGTAGGGCATCCCCTCAAAGATATTGCAGACTTCTTAGTAAATAAATTTATTTTGTGAAAAACAGAACTTAGCTTTCGCCACGGGCATCGCCAGACCAATGTGAATGGGGGGGGGGGGGAGGGGGTGACCGTAACAATTTGAAATTTGCCGAAACTACAGCAGTGTTCTAAGGTTATCGAAGTTGGGGTGGCTATACACTCTGAATAATGATGAATGCACCGTTTAAAAACTGCGCACATCGATTTTGACGAGAAAAAAAACTCGAGTTGAGGGTGTGGCATAATGTAATGTACTGATGTGAACATACCACGGACATCTTATAAGACGTCTATGGCGAATACATACATCGTTGCGTAGCGCCCTCTATATTACTTTGAAGCTGCCGGGCCCCTTGTTGCCAAGAAATCGCCATTGCTGTGGGTGTGACACCCCCCCCCCCACATCCCCCTGGTGGCGCCCTCGCTTGTGCCTTTCATTAATACAAGAAACTAAATTGATGCATGTAGGACTATTCGCAGTTTGGTAATAATGATGCCACATACATTTATTGCAGATTGAACATGACTTGTTCGATTATATTCGTTGGTTTTGTTTTCACTGACAATATAATTTGCCGTTTACTTTTGAAACGCTTATGAAACATGAAGACATTTTGTACAAAAACAAAAAAAATGCCAAAAAAAATGGCGGAGCTCCCTTGATCACGTGAGAGCCACGAGTGATATCCCAGCAGCCAAATCTTCGCTTGGGTCTCTCTTCAATCTTTCCACATCCTCCAACCACCGACTGATTCTCTCAACCATCTCACTGGCTGCTTCGCCATCATCCAGGTCGTGCCCAGGAGGTCCGTGGGAGGTCCCTGGTTCATAGTCCGTGGAATGAGACTCCAATGGATGAGATCGAGGATGAGGTTGCTGGGTGTGATCGTCTTCAAGTTGTTGCTGATTGGCTAAAGTTCCCGTTGGACCCTGGTAAATATTCGGCATGAATCCGTTTCGTCTTGGTCTCCGCAGTACCGTGTTATTCATAAACAGCCGCTCAGCCGCGATGTCGGCATCTTCCATGCAGTCGACAGTGTCGATCAGTCGATCGTCCCGCAGGTCGACATTGGCGGCAGCAGTGCGCGTGCAGAAATCGCTGACTTTGGCCGAAGCGGCGCGGTACTCCTTATCAGCCCGAACCCGCATATCCATCCGCTTGTTCTCAATCAGTTGTTCCGTATCAAGCCCTCCGCTGGTTCCCAACAATCCACGGTGGATAATACTCGGTCCCCGTTTGCCGGACTCGCCCTGGAAGGATGCACGATCGCTGGTACTCAGAGCCAGTCCTGGCACCGACATGGATCTCTTTAGGGTCCGCCTCATGGTAGCGGGCCGAATTTTGTCGATCGTGGGTGGGGAAGGCTCCATGCTCCCGCCGGACCGACCGCTGCGCATGGACCCGGTCGAAATCCGTCGACGTTTCTCGGAACATTGGTCTGCTGTCGACTTTGAGTCGCTGATCTTGGGCAGTCGAAAGGAAGCCATATTTGTTTTTCTGTTTCAGACAACTTTAAGTGACGTCATCATTCTGAGTTGATTCAAATCTTAAAAGATCAACGTTCAGCGGAATCAGTGACAACTTTTCAAATGGTTCCCACTTTTTGGACTCGCAAGTAAGAAGCAGCGTTCCATTGTCGATTAGCGTTTCCATGGATACTATAGGCGGTTTCCATGTAATTTCTGCACAAGAAACAAAAAGAAAGGAAACATGTTGCTCTTTGCATAAAAAATATTGCCACGCTTGTGTAATTAATTTGAAAATATGGAAAGAATGTAGTCATAATAGTTTTCGAAGCCCTTATACCATTAACAGTTACGTTTCAGTATAAATCGCCTGGCTCTAAATAAATATTAACAATTGGAATTGGGTTAAAGGCTTCTCAAAAGTTCTCAAAGCTTTTCCTTCGAAGCTTTGCATTGTGATATCATGGAGGAATAGTGATATTAAGAAAATGTTTTTAATTGCCTTAAGTCTCGATGAAGAATGATAACAACTACTTTAATTACATGTACATATAATTAGTACGATGCTATGATGATGTCTTTGAGGGTTGTTTTACACGGTGTAATGTTGTGTAGTCAAGCTGATTGATATAACTGAATATAACGGGATACAGTTAGCTTATCGATCGTGTTAGGGATTAACTTTATTGATAAGGCGTTACACGCTCTACACAACGCACACCACAGGATTATCCTTTATGACAGTGTAACTAGTATCAACCCCCCCCCCCCCCACCCCACCTGATCACATCTCGTCAACTGATGTAAGGTATTGATTATGATTGTCCCGAGGGTAGGGGGATGTGTGACGGTGGGGCTTGTCGAAGGCCGATTCGTCATTATATAGCAGCTGAATAATTTATTATGGAGAAACCTTGGATTGTGTCATGACGTCAGAGAATTTGCATAAAAACTTTGAAATCATTCGAGTGAATTCGCCATGTGAATGTTAATAGCTAATTTTTTTAGGAATGGACGAAGAATGAGCAAGCAACACATGAAATATGGTCTTTGGCGTATAATGGGGTTGACAAAATCATAGAGCAATAGCGGATATCCGATATACCCCCCCCCCCCCCCCCCCCCATTCAGCCGCTCAATGTTTTATACTAGTAAAATGGGGCCAAAAATATTATTTGACTGGAAGTTCCTAAATGTATTCACAAATTGATTTCGAATGGGGAAGGGAGGGGACAGGGGCACGCTTCACTCAAATATTAACAACCCTCCCCCACCCCTCATCTCCATGCGTTTTCAGATCCGCCCCTCTATAGTTTCTGTCCAAAACTGCAAGTTAAGGGTGGTCAGAGCGATGTTTGTAAAACACGCTACACGGCCAACCGTTTGGCAAAATAGGCCTACACTTTAAATCTTATTTCAACAATAATTAGTTAAAGACGTATATTGCTCTTCATTTAAGAGACGATTTTGGACGAACGGTACAGCTTTGTGTAGGCCTACATGAAAGATAAAAGTCCGAATTCATTCAGGGGAATATAAATTCGTAACTTTTTCAGGATCCGGAGGAGGTTAAAATTTGAGCCCCCCCCCCCCCATCAAAATACCCACTTCGTGTACTCTTGAACACTGTCCGCTTCAATTTGGCGTAGGTAGCTGAATGCAAATATTGACCGCGTATTGATGGGCGCACTTGTGAACAATTAACTTGCCGGGCCCTAAAACGTATTATATTGACTGGGCAAGAATGTTGTCATCGATTTGTAGACACCACTGTGTGTCTTTAGCTTTGTTCAGTCAATACCGCCTATTATTCCACGGGAGGTTTCCCCTTCAGTTTTGAGCTCGGTGTTTCAGTATACACACAAACAATGAGCAGGCAGAATAGCGACCAAAGCCTCATCATTTAATTTTTGGATGATGCTATCTTGCTGATCCTTTTCTTTATGAGTTATCATAATACTGAGGATATTATAAATTATATTGTAAATAAATCGGTGATAAGACAACAACCTTCAAAAAAGGAAAGAAAAGATATTGAGATATCAGACATTGTTTTCAAAGTTTATATGTGCTTATTTACAATGTGCACTTTACAGCACTTCGAAAATTTTGAAATCAAAATACGCGACTCACAGTTACGAAAACCCTATAGATTAGCGCAAAAGAAAAGTATAAGTTTCACACTAGGATTCAACACAGTGTTAGTTTAACACTACTGGTTGTATGGTGTAAAATCATTTGCCATGTTTGATTCAATTTGATTCGAGCTAGTGATTTGAGTTGACGTGTTTGATTCAGACGTTACCAAAATACACAACACACAATGATTACAGCTGACGAAATGGAAATTAGTTTCCAAATTCATTTTTAACACAATCTACAAGACTAACAACTTGAAAGTGTATCATTAAAACATTTCAAGCGATATTTTAAGTCCCCATCCATTCCCCCCCCCCCTCCCGGAATTAGAAGAAAAAGAAGAAAGAAAACACGGCCATGTATAAATCGCGATCAAAACATTTTCAATCGAACCCTCAAATTGCACATAGAACTACGTCAGTAAAATTTAATGTTAGCACATTATTTTGTTTTGTTACGTAGCAGCTTACCGTTTGTCTTTCATTCTCATCCAGCAAACGTTTTGTTTTGCACTTTTCCATTCCTCGATAGGAGCCCGAAATGTTTCACATTATTGCCGACTAAAGTTTCGCCAATAAAATGGTTCAGTGCTACTTGCCCACGACTCCTTTGGAATGCACAGAATGTTGCGTAATAATTGTACGCATAGCGCCCTCTGTTGATAACAAAAAGTTTTCTCCTATAAAAATAACGGAACTCTTAAGTTGTCGCATGATTCCATCTTCTCGACACAACGTTTATAATTTACCGAAAAGAAAGTTTTTTTAAACTCAATATGCGTCTGTACTGTTTGGGGCAAACTTATGTTCTTTAACGCATAGCGCCCTCTATTGATAACAACGAGACTTATGGCATGTTCCATGCCCTCCACATGTTTATCGCCTAATTTACCAAAAAATAACGTTTTTAAAGCTCAATTTGTGCGTTTATTTAGGGCAAACAAGTCTTCAACGCATAGCGCCCTCTTTTTTTATAACAAAATCTTTTCTCTTAATTCGCCTAATTTACTCAAAACAAAGTTTTAAAGGTTAGTTTTAAAGTTTTAAATGCGTCTATCTAGGGCAAACTGATATTCTTCAACTGATAGGCCACTACAACTATTCTAAGGAATATCTTACAGCCCTGTAACGGTTGTTTTTCAAGTCCCAAAATGTCTTCTTTTTTCTTGGACACTCAAAGGAATCTCAAATGCGATGTTTAAATTACAAATTCATTCAAACCACGATCTCCAAATTAGACACATATTCTGTTCGTTTTTGCTTGTTTGTGGTCATTATGGAATAGCATTCGATTGACTTGGTCCCTAACAGATAACAGAAAATATTGTTTTTCAATTCAATGAAGTGTAATCTCTTTGATCAATTTTTTTGATAGACGCATGGTTTCTTTTAAAGCGTACGAAAGGTATTGGAAAATAGGGCCCACACTCTAAGGAGTTCGTTAAAAACAACCATTCTTATGAATCAACATGCACAACGTCACAGGATCAGTAAGTACCGTGTCTTTTTATTGAAGACATGTTTATTTGGCACATCCATCTGGAAGACATTTTCGTATTCTAAGACGTTACACACGAAGGCGTCCAAGCTGTTTTGTACACATGATCGGAGGCAAAAATATATATCACTCTATCTGAACATGTTATTAGAGATACAGTAAAAGAAACCAAGTGTTTTCCCTTGAACTTTTCAAATTGACGACTCTATTCAACGTCTAGAATTTTACAATCTTGGAAATGTTAAACAAAAAAATCATTTACAACCTCTGGAATATGCACTCATTGTTCATAAGTGTGAAGTTGGTCTTACATAGGAAATTAATTATGGAATGCAGTACAGTTGTGCCGTAAAAAACTCCACCCTCTTCCCAGCCTTTCCACAAGGCCATCATCAAGACCCGTGCGGCAACAGCTTGAGGCGAATTGAGACGAGACTACACTGTGTATGTGCAAACGCAAAGTGACATGCCGTTCGAAGTCACACAGCGGTCGATACTGTGTAGTCTCTACTCAAGTCACCTCGCTTTCCGTCGTCCGGTCAATTTGTCGAAAAGTTAAGATGGGCTTGTCAAAAGGCTACACCCTGGGTAATATAAGTAACTAGACACAATTAATGAAGTAAATTCCTTCAATAAAATACAATGCATGAGAATTGTACACGTTCTTTGCACAAAAATGTACTAAACTTTACACCCCAATCATGCTGTGTAATTTGTAACGGATTAGACTGATCTAATACAAATGTAAGTCAACAGCTAGCTATATTGTGCTATTCACCCCAAATACAGAAATGGCACCAACTATAGTTGGGACTACTCCAATAGTTGAGGCTAGAGTCTATCAGCGTCTTATTTTATTAAAGGCGCCCTCTGCCCTCACCAACAAAGTAGCAGCAGGCAAGGTTATAATAAGTTAACATGTACATTCTCAATGTGCAAGAAAACATTTGCCAAAAAAAAATAAATAAATAAATAAAAACAGCAAAAAGGTTGTGGTTATGCTTTTGTTGTCCAAAAAGGACCAAAGATTGAAAAAGATGGTTATGAAAATGTAAATTGTTTTATAAGAATCACTGATTTCCCAATGTGAAACTGTGGCCTCAATATTCAATAGAGACCTCTCATCTAAATTATATTCTACAGTCCTTCTCATTTCAAATTTCAATATTTCTCTAAAATGTACAATATCTACAGATTAAGTCACCATTATCCGATTGCATAGTTCAAATTATTTACAAACATAAGGACATTCTTTAAATTCTTTAAAAAAAATAATCTGAGTAAATAAATAACAATAATCTGCTACTGAAAAACTGCATTTTCTCTTTACATCAAACATTTATATAGAATCACCTTTAAGTGTCGAGTTAGGACAAAATCTTGCATTCTAGTGTCATATTAACCCTCTTACTGTTTGAACAGTCACGGACAGTAAAAGTTTCCATCCCCTTCCCTGCCATGCCTTTTACACAGGCTAGTTGCCAACAGTCGATCATATTTCAAGCAAGCACTCTGACTAGTCAAATTCAGTCAACAGACAAATTAAGCAGACAAGTGGTAGGCACAGCTGGCTTATCAATCACCTACAGTCAAAGCATAGCTGTATCAAGTTACTGTCACAGCAGTTAATCCTGCTTTATGTAGGTTGGGAGCTCTTAACTGTTGCAACTTAACAGTTACTTGATTAATCTGGACTACAAGGACAACTTGGCACAGACTGTACAGGGTGGTTCAAAAAAAGGGACACTCACATTTGACAGCAATTTTCACCTATTTTTAAAAATTATTTTGAACTGTCGATTAGTGGCTATTAAAGTACTGGCCTTTAACTAAATGTGACCAAAAAATCGCTGCATTTGCACATTTTGTCGTTGAGCTATGCTAATTTAAACATTTCATGTGCAAAACCTGTTTGTCCACGGAGGTATACATTCCCTTCGCTTCACTGAGCTCAGCTATCGGAGCTTTATTTGAAAGGGCATGACATTTTTTATGTTATGTTATGTAATGTTATGCAACAATGAACGTAAGCCGACAGCTCATTGAGTAGATGATCTCAACACTGACATGAATAATTGGACAGCTTCAATAAAAGTTACCAGGGCAAAATGTATTTTGGTGGGAAGTTTTTTTAATTTTTATGAACTACGAAAATGTCCAATTTACATAGAATAACCTGTGGACAAGGCTGATTTTGGTGACTTGTATTCAAATTAGCATATCACTATTTTTGTGACTTTTACCAAGCTTTTTCACCATGTATGGTTTTAAAGGCCTTTACTACTTTGTGAAAAAAAATATTTAAAATAATTTCATTAAGTAGGTGAAAATTGCTGTCAAAAGTGGGTGCCCTTTTTTTTTTTAACCACCCTGTATGTTTGCATAGGAAGGTTTAATCCAGTTAGGTTGGCAGCTCCAACTTCCCTGAAACTACATGATTTTTATTTTATAATGTAACAAACTGTAATAAAAAACATGCTTGTTGAATATTGCTGAGATTGCTTATGGTTGACTCTGTACTTAAATCAGGGGTCACCTGTCACATATGACATGTATAATTTTATAATTCTGATGCTCTCCTTAACCTTAACTCCCTAGCATGATTTACTAGCAACCATACCCATCCTGGCAAATTCCAACACCATATGGGAAACTGTGCACACACATTTCTGACTTAGTTTCTGGAGGTGTGCCAACCCAATGTAAAAGACTGTCAGTTTAGGGGTACTGTACCCATCCAGACAGATTCCAACAATACATGCTTTTCGGGTTTGATGGGTTGAGTTCTGATAGGGTTAATGCAGTCGTCCTCCAAGAGTGACTATGCAGAGCAAACTACCTACCCTCAATATAAAATAGTTTGAAGTCATTCTTAATTGAGCTTGAATAACAAATTACAAAGTACATGTACCGAGGTCATGGTGACTGGAAAATGTCAAACATTGGACCTTACATTAATTTGTGGAATGCCCCTTTATACAATGTTTTTATGTTATTTCAGTATACGGTACAGGTTATGCTGCAACTCTATGCTTTCTGCTGCCAAAAGTGATCACAATTTTTTTATCACACAAGTTTAAATTTTGCCAAAGCCAGTTTCAAATAACGCATCCAAGGGAGATTTCCAACATGAATTTTTATCATTCATCCCACTGTGCCCTGTTATGACAGCCAGAAGATGTTACTTCTCGCAATAGAGCAAAACGTGGCTCTCTCAAACACAGAAACATTCCACTCCAGGGCCGAAGTTCATAGCGCTGCCTCACAGCCGATTATATGCTAACAGAGCCTTCGTCTATTTCATAGAGACCGTTAAGCAGTGAGCACAGCGAAAGCACGCTTAACCAAAAAGGAAAAAAATTACTGAAATCAGTGACGAAACAATAGAATCTCCATGCTCACGCAACCGTTAGCACGGCCAAGCCACGAAATAGTGCTAAGGCAGCGGCATGATTTTCTGCTATAGTAAGCACAACTTTTCTGCTAACTGTTCAGCAGCGCTTTGAAATTGGGCCCAGTACCCACGGCATGCTTAACTGCACAAGATCCAGTTAAATTAAATATCTTGTTGTGTGTTGCGCACTTTTGGATGCTTCAGTTAACAGCATTGATGAAGTATCACTGCATCTAAGCTGGTCATAGTGAGAGCTAATAATTCCTTCAACATCTGCTGCTGTTTGAAAGATCTCGTTCAACTTTTGCAAAATGTCCTCTTGGAAAATTTAGGTGGTTGGTGGATCTCAAGGCACTCAAGTCTTAACACTTTGAAGAAAAAATGGTTATTTTTTTTCACCAAGCAGGGCGGTAATGCCAGGAGAAGGGTTTAGGGCTTGAAGCTGAATTCTGTAGGATTTGACAATGACAGTGTTCAGGGAAATCCAAAGACGAGGATAAGCAAACATGTACAGGCGTCTCTATAAAATAAATATCTTCCTCCTGTTTTCATTTTGAAAATCTTCCACAAATGACACTCGAAACCTTTCCCGTTTCACTGTCTGAGAAGTTACTAAGTAATATGTAACGTTGGTTACGGGTACTCGATTCCATAACCTGGAACCGGTTCCCGACATCTGCAGTCGGTTACTCGAGTACGCGGTTCTGATGCACAGCCATAAACTTAATGTTATCTAAATGTGCACAACCCTTTAGCAAGTCCGCGTGAGCGTCAGATGCTATCAGCAATGCGCTCAGGAGTTCTGTAGCGGTCTCCCAAGCTTTCCTTCTGAAACTGTTTGGAGGGTACTTGTGCACTGACTCCTTGGGTCTACTCTCTCTGAAGCTGAGGCAATATATTGCCTCCAGCAGACATTGGTTCAATCCTTGTCTAGAGTTTTGACATCAGATCCAGACTGTGTCTAGGATGCCGTTGCATTCATCGCGTGTTACATATTCGTTGGTTTGACTTCATCTCCAACATGGAAGTTCTTCTTCTTTCGTTTGTCGGGTAGACAGATTCAGATATCACCTTGCAGTTGGGTCAACCATAATTTGGTCTCCTGGTCCAAGTTAGTTAGACCGTCTGCTCCATGCGGAGATTGGCAATGCATTGCGTCAAGCAGACATGGAGGTTAATTGGCGTACAGGGATTGGAAGTGTTGTCTCAGCATGTGAGGTGCGTCCAAAATCCGGCCCCTGAATTGCTTTGCCGTCCAGTTTCATCATGGTCAACATCTGCTACCCGGAAAAGACCTCGTGGTCGTCCCCGGCTTACCTGGCTAAAGCAGGTAGCCGATATAGTCCAGTTGCCCCCAAGCAATTGTTGGTCCCGTGCTTCTGATCGGGGAGGTTGGAAGTCACTACGACCCTTGGATGGTCTTGTGCAGCAGTAAAGAAGTAGCAGCTGTTGTATCCACCATCCAACGATCCACTGTCAAGGCAATGACATTTGAGTGAGATGTCCACGACAGAAGATTTCCCTTGCCGACTGCTTTCAACACAAATCCAGCGATTTTCCTCCACATCCATTTAAGCTTATATTACACGGCAGGTCTCTGGCCTTGATGCTGTCTTGCAGTACTTCACAAGTTGTCGTCTACGCCAGGGTACGGTGTTGATAATCTTAAGGTGGTGTTGGGCAGCGGATTGTCTGAGTAGTATTCTAACATTTCGTGCATGTTTGCGAATATGGGCTGGGAGTTGAGGGAGAAGTTGCTGATCTGTACAACAGACAATACGCAGGAAACAAGAAACGATTATTTTGGGGGAAAAAATCAATTATACACATTAGTAATAGCTGTCAACAACAGAACCCTGACCTCACCTAAAGCTACAGAATACTAATAGTAGTAAACTGTAGTGTGCAGTACATCAGCATGTAAGTGGGCACAAAACTCATAGTATTTTTTTGGTACGTGGTGCCTGCATACATAATTTTTGTAGTATTTTAATGTATTTTACATGTACAAATTCTAAAGAAAACTATTTTCACACAATTGTATTTGTGATGTTGTTTAGCATCTGAATTTGTCACCGACTGAAAAAGAAATTATTTTCAAAACGCAATATATCCATGAAATCTTCAAATGCAACTGACATTTGTTCCAGGCTGATATTCCATAAGGTATTTGGAGCGACTTGAGTCGACCCAAATAGAATGTGATTTTAGATAGGTGAACTTAATGCTCAGTTTTTTCTATTGATAATACTCTGGAGTCATTCCAAATGACTGCAAAAGTTGATCTGTCGACATCTAGCATACATTGTCCAATTTTTTTTTTAAATGTCACACTTAATTTAAATCTCAGGAATAATTTAGTTAAACGTGACTCTCAAATACTAGTCTGAATGTTATAGTCTTTATAGTTGAAGTTGCGACTTTACTTACCCCATTGCCGAAGATTTTGTAATGCTTGCACTGATGAAGGCTCCCGTTGTAAACCATTAAAACCTACCCAAAGAAGAAAAACCCAGAGACCAGTTGTTACTTCAATATCAGTGACTGCTTAAAAATACAAGGAATTCTCCATCATAAAGGTTTAACTGTTCCTTAGAAACTGATATTTTGGTTAGGGGGAGTTCTTTTAACTTAGAGGACAACTGTATGTCTATTGAGGCCATCAAGTAATTTTGCTGGCAACTTATCTGGGATATAATGAGACCAATCTTTAAGTAATTTTTTTTGGATTTGTTTCATACAAACCTTTCCCGCGTCTCCTCCACATTGGCCACTCAGCCGCATGAGATACATGCCATCCATACGGAAGTTGTACAGCAATCTACAAACAAAATATAACGCATAAAGTTATTGGTGGTGTTTTGCTTTGCTTTCATTCGGCCAGGTTTCCTGTAAACCTCATAACAACAGCTTACTTGCAAAGTAACTACTCTTGCCTTTTAAGCATGTGTCGTACTGATACTCAGCATATCACGATATACAACTTAAAAAGTTTAGGGTAGTGTTAACGCAACGGGAAAAAAATACACGGCTAACGTTTTGATCTAACAAATGAATGACATACAGCTGAACCTTTTGGTGAAAATATTTCAGGAATTCTGAATATTGTATTTGACTTGTCATCTTCAATTCGGAAGTGTGGCCTAGCGGTTAGGGTTCGTGACTCATGATCAGAGGGTCAGGGGTTCAATCCAGCTGCTGGCCATACGTTGTGTCCTTGGGCAAGCCTCTTAATACCCACTTGCCTCTCTCCACCCAGGAGTATAAATGGGTACCGGCATTAGCTGGGGAGTAACCTGCGATGGACTGGCATCCCATTCAGGGGGAAATAGAAATATTCTCAGTCGTTTCATGCCACTCATACCGGAGATAAACGCCGGCCTGATTTTCCAGCCAACTTCTGATATACAGCCAAACGCCACAAATACTGATTCGCAAGAATCATTTGAACAGTATTTGTACGATATTTCTTGCCGAAACCTCATGTTTCAATACTCCGGGGTCTGCACTGGAGCGTAAATTGTACAACAATAGGCCGTGCACAACGGCCAATTCAAGATCAACACACGATCGCCTCCACAGACTTTGTGTGCGTGTACAAAAGACACGAGGGACTAGCGTGTTTAGACGTCACCCGGAGGCGAGTCGAGGCAATCTTGACGTTTAAACCCGTCAGCTAAGTCTGAGTATAAAAACAGCCAGTGCGTGTTATCACGTCCTCCGAAGCAAACTGATTAATAGATTTACTCTTCCATCTTTTTCTTTCATCTCTTCCCTGTTTTGTTTTAGATTCAGGAAGATTTCCTTTATAAAAATGTGATTAGATTTGATCAAGTAATATCTGAGATGATGAGTTCCTTACCCCTCAGCTGTTCGCTTGTCTGACGAGCCAAACAGACACGTCTCTGGCAAAAGATCTCGTTGTGGCGGCATGACTGGTTCCCGCACTGCTGAATGCCTATACTGTGCTTCCTTTGTAGCAACTGTCCTTTCAGCTGGCTTCGGCTGTTTTTAAAAAACAAAAAAGACATAATAACAGGGGTGTGAGTGACCACTGATAAAAATAGCTGAGAACAGCTGAAAAAGGTGTAAAACAGCTGAACTTTGGAAATCTCCTGTACTTTTGTACACAGCAGGTGAGGGAAAAAGCTGAAATCCATAACAAAGAAAAGCTGAAATCAGCTTTAAAGCTGAGATTTCACACCCCTGATAATATCACAAATTTTATGAGCATTGTATATTCAGTGTATCCAAAGGCTTTCAAGAAAATAATCACAAGCTTACTCGGTAAGGATTCGAACCAACTACCTCCTACTGATATGTTCAAGTCTCATTAGCGAGGAAGGTTTCACATTTTGTGGGGAAAAAAATGTTGGGAGCATCTCAAAACTGGTAACGTTCCTGGAATGGAATGGTCCATTTAAAACGCAGTACGTTCCTAGTGGAAATAATATACAAATAATGAATGTTTACGAGTGCAATGGTAAGAATAATTTCATGAAGTGACAGATGGAATGTTCCAGGTTTTTTATGTTTGCTACTAATTACAATTCTGCCGGTACCCGACCGTTACAGCACTGGGCACCTGATTGGTTGTTCCTGATTTAGCATTCACACTCATGCTGACCACCTGCTGTTCCTGTATATTAACCCTTACCCTACTAGACCCTCCAATGCATGCCAATATGTGCCTCAAGAAAATCTCCTATGTTTTTTGCATGGCCCTCCAATATCTGCCATGTCATTTCAAGGGTAACTGGACAGGCACTCCAATACATGCCACAGAGAACAATGAGAGTCCTCTGATAACAATCAAGTGCCCCCAGCTGGTCAGTATCAGGCACCCTCCAGGGCCTCCAACTCCTGCCAATTGGAGCCTTCACTGTTAAGAAACACTATCTGCCAATAAACTGCAGCTGGAGGGCATTGGCATAACCAACTGACATGCAGTAAACTACCCTCAGAGAGTAAGGGTTAAACATTGACGCGTGACAAAATACTGCCGTACCTTGAGTGGCATTTCTGGTTTGACCGGTGTCGGCGGCTTAGGGTTGATCCTGGGTTTGAGAGGAACAACCGGCTTCAGGGCGGCTCTGATACCCTGCAATTAAAAAAAAAAAAACATTGGACAAGATGTTTTGAAACCATTCAATATTGGGTTCTGCCTGACACTGATCTTATCTGATGTTCATCAGGGAACTTTCACTCGGGAAGTAACACGTCGTGAAGGGCAAAACATAATGTTTAATTTACATCACCCCGACGCAAATTCCATCATATGAATAAGAGAATAAATGCGTGTTTGGAAGGTATTACAAACTCTGTTTAAGACCAGTTGGAGTCTGGATGGGCGATAATTACCCGAGGCAAAGCTGAGGGTAATTATCAGTCCTCCAGACTCCAACCGGTCTTAAACAGAGTGTTTAATACCGACCGAACGCATATTTATTCCTATTCATAAATACCTTTTCGGTCAAAAAACCAAATCTTTTCGGTCCAAAAATCAAAACAAGTCAAAAATGAGACGTTGCCAACCATTTTGTTCAACAAATTTACTTGATGTTTTATGAAACACCTCTCTGACTATAATATGGAAAGTCGCTCTACAACTCCTAACCTTATAAGGAGATTGGCATGTGCGTCGCTCGTACAGCGCAATGTCGCGCAAAACGCAGCTGGGCTGGTGAAGTGTGAATTTCGGACTATAAAATACTGATTCACTGATAGTATTGTATGCCTGTGTGAGGAATGTGAACGTTCAACCAATGAAACGTTAAAAAAAGGCACCGGATTTCATGGGGGTTCAAATTTCATGTGACACTGGCAAGGTGTTTAAGACCAGCCAGCCATGTCTTTATCATCCATTTAAAACCGGCCAAATAGGAATGGGTAAACTGTATTAGGGCCCGCGACCATTCAGCCCCGGTATGAAAAGGGCCCCCCGGTTAGCTCGTCCCCTCCCAAGAAGTCCTCTCGTACCGTCCCAGCTACCGGCCCAGGAGCTGGTCCTGTTGCTAATCAGGAACTCCTCTATCCTGGGGTCTATTGTTTGCAAGTATTGACACATGTAATATATCCCAAAAGAAACCCACCTGTGGTTTTCATCTCTCAGCGCAAAACAATAGAACACTTTCGTCGGCACAGATCAAAACCCCTGCCATGCGGTTTCGCGCACAATGGGACCGTAAATTACCAAGGCATTATGGAAGGATTTTATCTTTAATCCGGTAAGTCTGCTATTGTTCTGCTCTGGACGTTCTCTGAAGGGCAATAAATTGATGCGCCTGACTGACTTCAAAACTTCTGGTCAGACAGGACCATGTACCGGACGAGACTGGGCTGAAGACCGGACTGGCTTTGGACCGGACGAGGTACCGGGGGGCCCTTTTCATACCAGGGCTGAATGGTCACGGTCCCTTAGGTATTTATGAATAGGGAATAAGTAAGTTATTAGAAGTTTTGGATATCACAGTCTGGAATCTCACCTTAACATCCACTCCCTCAAGAGGTGTTTCTATAAAAGGCTTTTTCCTGAAGCTGTTCCCCTCTGGGCCTTGTCTGCAATCACAACAAAAAAATTGAATTAACACGTGAGTCTTCACTGTAACCCTAACCATCTCAAATCCTTCACAATCCTGTTTGCAAATTGGAGGAATTTGCAGGATTGAGGTTACATGGCGAAATTGCGTCGCTGATTTCGGAGGATGCACTGTGTCAAGGTCTTGGGCCGGACCTTGTGTTGTTTATGCTCAGCCTAGCATAAATTTATGCTTGAAAATCCTCTGCACTGCTCCAGGATGTCACTGCCTCTGCCTCAACCTATTGACAGTCACTGCCGGAGGATTTTGCAGGATTCAGGCAGTGGTCACCCCTCCACGTATCATATTCAGGATAGAATGGAGGAATTTGCAGGATTGAGGCCATGTGCTATTTTTCCACGGGGCCAATTGGAGGATTTTGCAGGATTGAGGCTACATCCTAGCAAAAAGGCCTAGGGAGTTAGGGTTTTAAAAAGATAATCTTCCCAATGCAAGATGTGGACTCCATATAACCCCCAATGGTTACAGACAGAGACTGTGGGGAGTCCACGGGAAGGAACTTTTGAATATATCGCTAACAGTACCCGACGCTCACGTGAAGATGCTACCAGTTTCTGCATAAATTAGTGGTGCATACACAAGAACCAGTATGTGGTACACGTCCGACTGGTATCTCGAAAATGGTCACAAATAGCGCCATCTACTCGTGATGGGATATGTGTCTCTTAGGCACATCCCCACTAAAACTATGGAAACAAAACTATAATAAAACAAAAATTCATGAGAGCTTGATGATGTCTGGCAACACGCCTCACCTCTGATTATTGCTACTTGGTGGCTGTGGGGGCAGTGCAGGCGGACGACTGGGTAGCCTGGGAGCAGTCCTTTCGGCTACCTTGTTCTGGGATCCATACTGGTGACGGAACTCCGATATCTGCTGCACGTCAGCTTCCGGTGGTTGTATGTAATCACTGCTGGCTGTAGAGCAGACAGAGAGGGATAACTCTGCCACAAACAAGGATATATGGATATGAGATCATGAATATTCAACATGAACCCAACGGAGGATGCGAATATTCAGTAGAGCAGACAGAGAGGGCCAACTCTGCCATAAACAAGGATACATGGATATGGATATGAGATCATGAATATTCAATACAAACCCAACGGAGGATGCGAATATTCAGTAAAGCAGACAGAGAGGGCCGACTCTGCCATAAACAAGGATACATGGATATGAGATCATGAATATTCAATACGAACCCAATGAGGATGTGAATATTCATCAGACACTTTCAGATTTAATATGATTGCATTATTCACATTCACAAATTTGAATAAGTATCAACTATTGTTATCTTCTACTTAATATGTTGTTTGATCCTGTTACAGAAGGTGACCAAAATGCAACAACAGGCAAGTCTTAGACACAAATTATTGGGGATGACAATGCTCTTGTGCTACTGATGCATGTAGCTTGGTGGGCTGAGAATAAAATACATGCAGCGCTTCTTTCATGTGATCGCCATCATTATTGTCTCGTCATCATTGTCGTGGCAGCCGATCGATGTCAATCCTCGGCTTCTTGAGCACGTTTTCTGATGAGAGAGAAGACCAATGCGAGCACGACAAACACGCCTACAGCTTTCGTACACCAGGTTAGGATTAGCTGCAGCTTGGTCTGGTGTGGGATTTGAAGAGCACAGTGTCTCACTGGTGAGTCTACTCTCTGCAGCCGCATTGAGGTGGAAAGCCTTGGAGACTACTGTGTCACTGGAGATGTGCTGCTTCCGTTGGGAGTGCCACACAGCTGCCTACCCCCAGGTACCGGTAGTGATTTCATGCGGCATGCTATGAGGGTGAATTTCCGTGTGCTGTTGAAGCCCATTTTGAAGTCCCATGTCATGTCATTGTGAAACTCTCCACATGCAACATGCTGATAGTTTTGTTCAAATTAAACTAAATACTAATTCTTGTTTTGAAATGAGGTTCATGAATCATTATCACAGGCTGTGTCCAACAATAATGCTGACACATGTACACATAGTCAAACAATCCATAAAAGTAGAGTTAACCACTTCGCAACGGGATTATTTTGGATTTTCACAAAAGTTTCCAGCCAACTTCTGATATGCTGCCAAACCCCACAATTACTGATTCTGAATCAACTTTATTCATGGACGAGAAAAAAATCTGTCCAATTCATCATTGGCTTATTTTCCTATCTTTACTTCCTCAAACAACATGCAGTGTCGGGCATTATTGTAGTACTCATACTTGTACTTGACTCCTCGACTTTGTAGTCGTACATGTACATGTATTCACACTTGGAGTGAGATGGCCTAGCGGTTAAGAACACCGGACTCACGTTCTGGTGTTTCAGAGGCAACAGAGAGATGGGTTCGAGCCCGCCGGCAGACACTTGTGCTTCTAAGCAAGGCACTTAACCATTATTGCTTCGTCGTTCGGATGGGACGTAAAGCCCTAGGCCCCGTGTGTTGTATAAATGCACGTAAAAGAACCCAGTAAAAACTTATCGCTAAGAGAAGGGGTTTGCCCCGTTGTTTCTGGCCTCCTGTATAAACTCCCACGTGGAGTATTTAGGAGAAGAACCAACCAAGAACCAAGAACTTGTACTAAAAAAACCCTCAAAACCTGATTTCGAGCATGCATGCAGAGCCATGCCAGACAGACTACACTCACGCTGGAATGTCATGAAAGACGGTTCCGGGAGCTTGGGTCTACTCCCTGGGGATGTCGGAGCGCTGCTTCTGTGTCGGCTCTGAGGGGTGTTGATGCAACTAATGGTTCTGTCCCTCCGCTGGGGCGGAGGGGTGGGGTCGGACTGGGTTCTAGAACCTAAAGCTGATTGGTCGGGGGTGTTCAAGGTCGAGGGATGTTACCTAGAGATCATTTGTTAATTTCACAAAACTTTATGTACTGGCGTAGCTCTACTTGGTGTACAGACTGAAAATGGACTATTTTATACTGAGAAATCATGATTGTCATAAGGCCTTGTTATTGCCCAATTTATCAAGGTGTTAACAAGAAATCTGCAGCTTAATTAAAAAAAAAAACAACATTAAACGTTAGTTTACTGATAATTCCGAAGAATGTCGGGCAAAACTGTGGCACTGAATGTGGCACTGAATGTGACCATTGTATTGAGAGCGAAATGAAATCATACACAAACAGCAATCGAGAAAGCTGTGAAGATTTTTCAAATTTTTAAACTAGTTTGGCACCTCTGCCCAAGTTTCATCAAGATAACATTCAAAAACGATAAGAGCAGAATGCATATTTTTTTTTCAATGAAAGTAACAATATATCAATTAAACAATTATCAAAAGTATTTTCATTTACCTCTTCGAGCTGGTTCCGGTCTTGGAGGCGGGACTGGTAACAGACTCTTGTGAACAGGACTTCTTCTTTCCACTAAAATTCAAGAATAATAACAAGAACAACTTGTGAATATTTAAACCATATCAATCGATTACAACAATTGAAACAAAATAAGTCTGTTTATTTTATTTTTTTATGACTGTAATGCGCATTTGAACATATTTTAAATGGAATTTGCGCACTATAAATTAATAAATTATTATTATTATAACAACGATTCCATTACCGTCCATTTGCTTTTCATTTTGTTATAAAGATTGGCTGCAAGAAAGAGAATGCCAGTGCATAACTTCACAAACAGCCTTTATATGACATGGCGGACATTTTCATAAAAAAAATATATATTTTGAAACTGATGAGGCCTACAATACGCAAACTTTTTTGTGTGTGTGACAATGAAAGAAACGGTGTGGTGGTGGGGTAAAAAGATAACTATTAGCGGTTGGCTTTACAAGTAAGCAGTCTATATGATAATCTTATTGAAACAAACTAGGATCTGCCTTGATTTTAATTTTCACATTCTCCGTAAATTAATGTTCATACCTAGGGTACTTTATTGATAGTTAATCTTGTCAATGTTAATTTGGTAAGATGAGTACGTTGCCAAAGCTAATCCGAACTTAATTAAGACTTGATTTTTCTACTTGCTAATCTGCTGCACGCTCTCTGTTTGAATTGTTTACGTCTGTCAAGTGTGCAGAGAAGTATGTACACATGGATTTTCAGAGTACGCGACATGGATACATTTACGAATGTTGTAAATTGTAAACACAATACGCACTTCGAAAAAGGACACCTGGATCTTTGGCCTTACACTTACAAGATTCATTTCGAGGTGGTACCGGTAACTGTCTAGTCATTGATGCGTTAGGCCTCGGTGGAAGATAGTCCTCTTCTTCCAAGGGCTCCTCGATGTCTTCGTAGATCCCCGGCTCAAAGGCAGCGGCAGTCGTGGGGCTGGCTGGCTCCCCACCTTCCACGAACTTGGTCTCTCGGTATTTCAGCTCCTTCAGAATTCTCAGGGACCTGAATTCAAAAAGGATGGCGAACAGTCCATTGGAGACAAGAGCATCCAATTTTGGTTGGGGTTCAAATAAGACTTCAGCAATAAAAACATCGTACAGTCGACTCTCGTTAATACAAACACTGTTAATGCAAATTCTGGTTACAGCAAACATAAAGCCTTGGTCCCGACTGTGCATATTTATGAGCACAATGAATGGGACTTGCACTCTTCTCAATACAAAATTCTCATATTTAATCAACTTTTTGGCTAGGTCTGGCCGAGTTTGTATGAATGAGATTTGATTGTAAATGAGTGATTCACCCAAAATATTTCAAAGGAAAGCTCAGAATATTGACTTCCAAGAAAAATAAATTAAACTACATGTAAGTAATTATTTCAAATGTAATTTTGAAAATGTTGCACTCCATTATTTGGGATTTTTCATTGAAAAGCAAATTGTATAAATCCATTTCCTTCTGTGCAAAATCAGCACAATGAATAAAAAAAAAAGAAGGAACTATGTTAAAAGTATTGAGGGGTTCCGATGAGGAAATCAAGTACTTCTATTAAAATTTGATATTTCCCTAATGTCACAGCTCCTCTGTAGAGGCAAAATTTAATAGTCGCAATAGGCCAGATTGATTGCTTGTGGTCCAAAACATAAAAATGCCAAAATTTGTGGGGGTAGGATAATGTAAAACTGGGGTTAGGGGTCATTAAAGTTGGAAATAATTGTGTCCACAAGTCTATGGGAATGTCTCCCAAATGACCCATCGCCGGTAATTATTATTATTCTTATTATTTTTATGTTTTACATATTTATAAATGTCGGTGAAGGGCAAAACCTAATTTGATTTATATCACCCCGGCGCAAAATTCCATCTTATAATAGTTCATGCGGTACCCGCTGCTATGTACATCAGATTCGAACCAGCCAACCGATCCCGTTAGCTCGGTGGTCGAGTGGTAAGATATCTGCACTAGAAAGCAGGAGGTCGTGGGTTCGAGTCCCACCCGAGTGATTTTTTCCAACTTTCACTTGGGAGGTAACACACTGAGTATACAGTGTTTAAACGTCGTCGAAGGGCAAAACCTAATTTGATTCATATTTATAGAGTTTCGCTCTCAAACCTTATCCATGTATCAAATTTCGACAACTATTTTAATTGGTTGCTTTTGTTTGATTCTAATTAAGGACACCTTTTGGTTCTAAGAGTCCTATTCGTTATCCAATGCCTTACTCGTAATGTACGGCTCTTGGAAAACAAACATCCAATATAATAATGTCAGCCGCCTGATGATGAGGAATGACTACTGCAGTACTTCCTCATGAAGACCTTGGTCGAAGTGAGAGTCAAGACGGAAATTTCACTTTCAAAAGTGGAAACAGAAAATTCACAGAAAGGAAAAACCCAATCTTCAATGACCCCCAGTAGTGTTAAGATATTGAAGGGCCATGTATTATAATGTATTGTAAGTCAGTACAATATGGGCAAACTGCCCCACCCTACATTTTAATTGATTCAATTAACGCCCTCGTGTCTGTTACTAAGTACCGGACCAAGTCCGCCAAAATCCATTACTGACCCTGCTTCACATAATGCTTCGGGACCAAGTCCGCAGAAATCCACCACAAATCCACCACTGCTATAGGTGGATCTTGATGGACTTTGTACTCATGGCTTACCTACCAAAATCATGAAAATAGAGGAATGGATTTTAATGGATTTGGGAAGGTTATGGCTACTTACTTGTCTCTGGCTTTGCCGTGGATCGCTCTCTCCATCATCACTTTAAAAAACGCCATCCATAACTGAATAAGAAAAAAGGAAAAAAACAAGTGTGAGAATTATTCAGTCAAAACCAGGTGGAGAATTGCTGAGGTTCCAAAATGTCCAGGCAAAAAGGACATTAACCCTAACTCCATAATGTCTTTTACTAAGTACTGGACCATGTCCGCCAAAATCCATCAATCACACTGCTTCCAATGCATGCTTTGCTTTAGGCCTCCAGGCCCAAGTCTCTCATACTCCATCAATATTTAGTCACACCAAAATCCACCAAAATGGGGGGATGGATTTTAATACAGTTGGAAGGTTAGGGTTAACTTGTGGTTTTAAAACCAGAAAGCCAGACATGAGTGATTCCAAGATGGACTACGAAAAAGTGCATTTGTTTTTCAAAGCTTTCCTCATTTTTTCCCAACTTTTTGGATTCAGAAGACTTCAAGCTTATCAGCACTACCCTTGTGCAAACCCTACATGCAGTTTTGTATTTAATACCCCCGAACACTTCTGCAAAACTTTTGCTTTTGTCTTTGTATCATATTCCACCTTCAAATTATGTCCATTTTACATGTATGCATATATACATGCATTCTAGTTTATTTACACTGGATTTTTTTTTTACAAGAGACTTTGCATTTACATGTATCGACAGCAATTAATATACCAATATGGATACATATCCTTCGTACATTTTTTGTAAGTCACCGGTATATGATGAGGCGTGTACATACATGTACAAGAAATTCTACTCTGTATTTCCGGATAGGAAATCTCTGCATTATGACGACAAATTTGCTAACTGAATAAAGTGTACATTAGTTGTGACCCCACAGCGTGTACATGTTATGTACATGTACATGGTTATTTCAGCTTCCCTAAAAAAAAAAACGGCTTCCTATTATGAACGCACACCTGTAGGCCGGTACCCAACAATGGTATTGTGAATGTGTTCTGAACCAAACAGAGATCAAAGCGTCATGTGATTTCCCACGTCTAGACTGCACACATTGTTTGTGCAAAGGCTGCATACACACATAAACTGTTGCTATATGTACATCTGTACATACATGTACATGTACAAAAGTGGATGCAATTGATGTTTTCAATCAAAAATGGTCTCGGTCTCCAAGAAGAAACAACTTTCCTATTCCTCATCACAATAAATCTGACCATTCATAACAAAAACCCAGGATTATAACTACTAAGTTCTAATCCTTTCACAGCTTCTGCACCAGAAAATTAAACCATTACAGAACATTGTTTAAATTAAATCAACCTGCATATTTGGCAATATAGAAGTTTGCAAATGTATACATAGTTTCAAGTGAAACTACATGTATACTTCTTGCTATTAAAGGCTAGTCTGTTGAAGTGCCACAACCGCATACAATGTACAAAAAAATTATTGTATATATGCACAGTTGCAAACTTCATGGAGTAATATGAACCATTTGCATAGGATGTACATAAATAAAAGTGCTGTTGCAAAATACACATGTACATGTTCAAACAACTTCAGTTTTCACTGTCATCAAGTTTACATGCGCTGCTCGTAAACAAACTTGTGGGGGCCCCCAAAATGAGGAGGTCCCCAAAATAAGGGGCTAGCTTCCCATAAAAGGCATGTGCATTCACTTTAAAGGGAAAATACAACATTTGCAAACATCAAAAAATAAAACTACCAAATCATTTTGAAATACCTTGCTGGACTGTTAGTGAATGACAGTGTAAAGCATCCTGTAAAATCATGGCACCTGGTATACTGTCATTTTCAAGAAAAGTGGTATTTTTGTATCAATTTCCAACGCTGGTCGGCCGACCAGCGTTGGAAAAAACTGGCTTTTTTTCAAATACTGGCCCCAATTGACCATCGCACTTGTTTGCAATCGATTACACAGTTATGAACGGGTACAGTGTAACTATATTTGCTATATATTTCCAACCCCCCAATTCCATCCATTTCTGAAAATTACAGCAAAAGCATATGATTTATATTCCCTTTAAGGGCCCTTCCCATTTACAGTTGAGACTTGTGCAATAAGGAAATAAAGAGTGTTTTCCCTCAATTCAATTCCAAGTACTGTATCTGTAGTACAGATGGACTTTGGACTGTAAAACAGAAAATGAAAACCAATCCGTACTGCAGTAGTGCGTTACACATTAACAAGTGTATCGGTATGCAACATGTTTACCGTATTGCATGTTCAATACACAGTGCACTCTCACATGACCACAAATGACCATTCCAATACTTTTACAACATGTTAAGAATTTATGAAACCACTAAAAAGCAGATTAATTAGAAAAAGGCACATAACACTACCCTCGACACATTTCAAGTACCCAAAGTCACCTTCCAAAACAGTTTCATGTTTGTATGTTATAAAAGATATAGCAAAACTAGTCAATCGACATATGAATACCCACATACACGTAACAAGAATTCGCCCTGGGACTGTTCCTCAAAAATGTTCCCAAAATGGATGACTAGATTTTGTTATCAAGAACAGTTTAAGGTCTGAAGAAGTCAGATTTGTGAGCGAGTCACTCGCGAGTCAAATCAAAATTACGTCGTGTCAAAATAACCACGGGGTGAACAATGACAACGGAATGTCTTCGTCAGTTGTTTCAACTGCATGACTTGTATGAATTGACTTACATGTATCTTCGACCTGAAAGATGATTTTTTTTTGGGGGGGGGTCAGTTAATGTTAAGGCCTTTTCACACTAGACAAATCTCAGGGTTGACGCAGGGTTGAAAACATGTATCGTTTCACACCTCGTCCTTCGTCAACCCTGCGTCAACCCTGCGTCAACCCTGTGGCTGATTTAACCCCGGGTTGAACCCAATCCTGCTCAAGACCAGGGTTAAGATTTTCAACCTAGGCTGAAATTCTTGCCAGGGTTAAAAAACAAAAAAAACAATGGTAACCGAGCAAAATAAGCTTGGTTTGCATGAAACAAGTGTGAAATGATGCGGGGTTGAACTCCGGGTTGAAAAATAAAAAAAACTCAACCCGGGGCGGCACTGGGTTCGCCCAGGGTTGAGTTCAACCCGGGTTGAGAGGCTCTAGTGTGAAGAGGGCGTTGATCTGACCTTAGGAGCCTTACCTTCATTTCACGTTCGGATGCAGCCCCAAAGTACCACGTTCTGTCGTCTGATCTCATGCCGATGATTTTGAATGCCCACTGCTGATTGGCTGACGTCATATCCTCTGCTCTGAGAACTCTTAAAAAAAAATAGTGACAAGAAGACAGTGAAAAACATTTGTAAGATTGTTGGAATGTTATTTATCTTAAAATAAATAACTGCATTAATCTTCCAAAAGATGACATTATTTGAGTACAAAAATGTGTTCGCTTTTATTGTTTTCCTGACTTGTTTATTTTTGCCTCTACATGTATGCTATTTTGTCAATTGTTTCTCTTTATTTTGAATTGATATTCACAAAGACACGTACTATAAACCAAGACATAGTGAATCTCATAAAAATGAGTAAAGTAACAAATTATTTAGTCTTCATGACTTTCAAGAGGACTGAGTGCTATGACATTAGTTAAATAAAAAAGAGCTGTGTTAGACCCACTTTGTTATGAATGCTTCAAACAACATGTGCATATACAAAAGAATCCTTCATTTACCTTCTGCAAACTTTTTGTAACCATATTTTCATGTTTGATGATTATTTGAAATAGTACTTGTCATATCTGATTTAGATATATTCATTATACATTTACAGCAATGAATATTCACATTATAGACAACTCTGTGAACTTGTCCATGGACATGTATGCAGCACAAGTTGGACCAAAACATAAATATTTCCTTTTTTTTTTAAACAGAATCGTAGCTCCAAGACAGTGAACAAAACAATTGCCGTGTCCATTCCTTCCCCCCCCCCCTCCTTCCCTCCCCACCTACCCAGTGTTCTGCGGTGAAGTTTTGGGTGGGGCACACAGCCCCGGCACACTGGCATTGTGCGCAAATCAACAGGAATCAATTAATAACTACAGGATGAACGCATCTTGAACTTGGGCAGCCAGCACGGACTGAGGTTACTAATTCAATTAAGAGTGGTCTGACCTGAACATTTGGCAGGCTTAAATGACGTTTCCCTTCCTGAGGGGATCATTGAAACAGTTCCTCCCCTTTTTAGACTTTGTTTGACGTTGTCCATCGGAATTCATTAATTAGAACTGAGGGGAGTTCAATATCCGGCTTTTATTGTTTCTTTTTTTGTGTGAAGCGTTTCAGAGAGGGCTGAGTATAGAGTAAACCCTAATGTATACATGTACCATCAATGTACGTGCTACAGCAATCCAATTTTTTTTTTTTGTAGCATGAGGAAAAAGTAATCAAGCTTGCAAATTTTACACTTTTTTTTTTATTAACCCTCACCTTCCCAACTCCATCAAAATCCATCCCCCCATTTGGGTTTTTTTTGTAGGCAAGCTGTGAGTTTCAAGTTCATCAAAAATCCACCACTGGTCCTGAAGCGTTATGTGAAGCAGGGTCAGTGATGGATTTTGGCGGACTTGGTACTTAGTAAAACTCAGTAGTTTAGGGAGTTAGGGTTAATCATATGTAGTTTCTTTAAAACGGCATCAGCCAACCTAAATGCTGGATTTTAATGACTGACACTGACAGCTGTTGACTGCTGACTGAAGTCCGCTAATAAATATACTGGTGTGGAACCCAACCACCTGCCTGACAACACTGACAAATTAAATCAACCACACCCGCATTTGTAGTTATTATGTGTTGTTTATCATAACCAAGTACATCATAATGCGGAAACATAAATGTACTGTAAGCACACTGCTTCCTTTAACGGTACATACATGTATATCAGATGTAATTATGTGGAACATGTAATTTAGTAGCTTTGCTAATGTCTGTGGTTCATAAATCTATGTGTACATTGTACATGTATCAGTACAGCATGCAAGTTGACGTAAAAATTTGAAGGAAGAAAATAGGTGACTTCAGGGTGTGTCAAATATCTGACAGGTACAACACTACTAGTTGGATTTTATTTTTCTGACCAGACTTGCTGGGAAACCACAATAGTTTTTGTTTTTTCCCAGATTTGTTTTAAAAATAAAACCAGGCATTACAATTTATAGCATTACAATTTAACCCTAACGTACCTGAATCCGTCAAAATCCACACCCCTGTTGCGGGGGATTTCGGCGGATGCAGGATACCTCCATATTGAAAAAGTTGGGGGATTGATGGGTTCAGGACATAAAGCCTAGTGGTACTGCAGGATTTTGATGGATTCAGGATACCTCCATATTGAGCAGTTGGGGGACTTTGATGGATTCGGGATCTCAACAGATTTACTCCCGGCTAACTGGTGGATTCTGATGGACTCGCTGGCCACCAACTTTTTTTTTGCATTGCAAAATTGATGGATTTTGGCGGATTCAGGATACTTTCTAATATATATACCCAAGGGTTAGGGTTAAATTACAGCAATTTACAGCATGTTGAAAGATCAGTACTTTTTCAATTGGAAATCTAAACAAACTCCATTTTTTTTTTAATGCTAGAGCGGCAACAGCTGTTTGTTGTTTGTGTTAAATCAAAAACAATCCCTGTTTTCTATATTTGCACAACTCCAAGTTGCTGTCAACTTCAACGGCCAGCCGGTCAGGGGCAAGTCACCGGCCGGCCGGCCTGATGGCTTGCTCAATAATCCCATAACAACTCAATTTTCTTGCAGGAAGTTTTTGATCACTGTATCCCCCAGATACCAGCGTGCGGTTCCCGCAGAGGGAACTGTGCCCTGAAAACACATCCACATGGGTCTTGTCAACTGTGTCAAAACACAAACATTTCTGCAGGCAGACCTGAGTTGCTTAGCTTATATTTCAAACACTTTCAGTGACCAAAGTTTAACCCTAACTCCTTTGGGTGTGTGAAAAATCATATGAAAATTGGAGGCCTCAGGAGTAAGGTTTAAAGATGGCCTTCAACAAATCTGATATTTTTTCTCCGGCCAAATTTTCAAATTGTGTTTTAAATTTAGTGGAACAAAACTGGTTTTTCTATTTTAGGAGAAATAAGCTTTTATGTTTGGGTTGATTTTGTGGTTGCAGCATTATCAATTGTGATAGGGCGAACTTAATTAGTAGTTATTGTGCCGCAAGAAATTCACAATTCTTGTGGAGTGCATTCATGAACAGCACATGACCCTTGATGACCACTCACAAGAGAGGGCTTGATGTCCAAGCCCTTGTTTATGTATGTATGGCGCAAAATAGGCACGATTAACCCTCCTGCTGTTTGAACAGTCACAGACAGTCAACAAAATCAATCCTCTCCAACAGTCAGATCATATTTCAAGCAAGTACTGTGACTAGTCAAATTCAGTCAACAGACAAAAGTAGGCCAGTGGTAGACACAGCTGGCTTATCGACCACCCACAGTCAAAGCACAGCTGTATCAAGTTACATTTATAAACAGTCACAGCCAGTCAATCTGCTTTATGCAGGCTGGGGGCTCATAACTGTTGAAAACAGCCACCTGTTTGATTTTGACTCACAGAACAACGTGGCATAGAATGTATATTTGCATAGGAGGGTTAATTTGAATGTGTACGACCAATAACGTCTGCACGTGAGTGTCGGGTGCCATCGGCAATGCGTTTGAAAGTTCCTCCCAATGGTCTTATCCAAACTCTCCCTTTGCGACTCCTGAGAGGTTACTTCTTCCGAGTCCATAGGTGGTGTCTGCACTTTCTTTAAGAGGTTTACTGACGTAGCTGTAGATGATTCACCCAGAGTGAAAGGAACATGAGCCTTTTCTAAGCAGGGCATGTTTTGAAGATGTAAGACTTGATCAATTACCGTTAACCCCAGCGTGAGATTTGTTGAGCTTGGATTGGAGTGACTCACGGGGTTACTTTGTCGCGAAGTTGACAAACACGTTAAAGGAATGCTCTGCCTATGGAACACCATCACCACAATTTGACTGCAAAGTCACTTTAAAGTTATACTGTTAGGCATGGCACTTAGCAAGTACGCTTTCAAGAGAAAATTCTTACTTTCTGGCGTAATCGTAATTGATTGGGACCCGTGCCCGATTCCATGGCTCTGCTAACCACAGAATTCTGAGCTTACTATCATCATTCTGTGGTAACCGCGCTAGCGAAACAATTCTGTTGCTAACCCTGTATATATATATCATTACTTACATGTTGTACGTGTATGCATCAGCTAAAATTCCTCGATTACCTGTGAACAATGCTAACCATACTTGTGAAAAAAAATTCTGTTACAGTAAGCGGGGATTCTTTGCTAACTGTAACCAGAGTCATGAAATAGGGCCCTGTACTGTTCAATCAAATCCAAGATGGCCGCTCACCTGTTGTATCCCCTGAGTGAAAACACGCCCTTGGGTCGGGCACACTTCTCGTTCTTGTAGTACAACACAAACTCGTTGTACAGGATGACGTAGCGGAGCTGCCATTTGGACAGCAGGGACGGGCTGATGAGTTCCGTGAGCTGGTCGGTCACTTTCTCTTGCGCCCGTTTGTAGAGGAAGCCGTTGTGCTCGTAGTTTTCCTTGAGGATGTCTGTCACGCCTACAATTTTGGTGGAAAATATTTTAGAAAGGTTGTTTTAATGTGTTTCATATTCAGTTTGACAGGATGTTGTATATGGATGCACATTCAGGCATGAGAATGAATTTCAATAAAAAAAACCCAGGAAACTTGTGCAAAAACAGGGAACAAGATCTGAAATCAGGCAAAAAAAGCCCCAAAACTGGTTCAAAACAATCAAAAACACGGAAATTTGGGCAACAAAAAACAGGAATTCCTGTTTAAACAGGAAGATTCTCATGTCTGACATTTCTTGACACACTTACAATTTGTACTGAGTTCTATTTTGCATGATTTGTTTAAGGACTCGTTACTAAAAAAATATTATAGTTCTTGCAACTTGGTACTCATTTTGTCATGCTGTTTCATATAAATTTACTTTTAATAGCAACCTGGACTGACACACTCTAACAACTCCATGCATGCTAAAAAAAAAAGAAGACAAAAAGTCAAGTTTAAATTTTACAAATTCCGACACAAAATTCAACCAAAGCCATAAATATAGGCCCCCTACAGGAAAAAAATAATGTTGAGTGTTGCTTTTCATTGAAAATTCAGTAAAATTATGTTTCGGGAAATTGTGAGGGCCAAACCCAATTTCAAGGTTACGTCTCCCTGATGTAAACTCCATCACTTAGTTATAAAAAGAATCGTGTAACAAATAATTGGGTTATTCTATAACTTTAGGGTCTAAAAAGTGTGACATTTGTCCTGTTACCTTGGTACAAGCCCTTTGTAATTTTGCTATTGTAAGCATCATTAAAAATTACTTGAACCTATTCTTACTTGTTGGGTAGGTTGTTTGCGGTACATAATCACTCTTGCAGAAAGAAGGCAAGAAGGAGTGCAGCATTCAGACTTTACAAACTCATGAATGTCAGATTAAACAAAGACCGTCAAACAGTGTACCCTACAAATATGACCCAATTGTAGAATCACTACAAGTACCAGAAAGCACTCATGAGAAGGCAAACGGTAAAATCTGAAACACTCACTGATATTTTCCAATTGTTGCTGCGACAGACACTGCATGTAGTTATTATCCTCGTCCATCATAGGCAAGCTGGATGCAGACACCACCGACCTAAGGGAGTCTCCGGAACCAGACTGCCAGTGAGGAGGATCCATGGATGAGACGGTGATGCAGAGAGGAGTAAGGCTGATTGCTTGACGATGGTGGGTGGGGCAGGGTCACGGGGAGGAGCTTGGAGGCTACTCCATTATCTTAGGCTACATTTGGCAAAGAAAAAAAAAGAGGACAAGAATGAAATCTGGTTCATTGTAGATCTGGGGCCCAATTTCACGGCACTGCTAAGCACAAAAAAATGCTTAGCACAAAAAAGTCTGGCTTGTAAAAGCAGGTTACCGCCAAAACACATGGTTTTCATGCTAAGCAAACAACAGTTGAATACCAATTACGAGCAATCACATGGAGTTTTGGCTGGTAACCTGCTTTTATAAGCCTGACTTTTTTGTGCTTAGCACAGTTTTGTATTGTAAATCTGAATACGCACCTTGTTTCTGTGCACGTTATTTAATAATCTTCCGCCATAATGAAAGTTGATCATAAACAGACGAAGAAGTGCATTGTCATGTACAGCATTGGTGTGTACATGTACGTGCAATTTCTAAACACTACACCACGGCATATATACCTGGTTCAGTGCACACATACACTACTGTACATGTACAAACCTGTACCACTGCACTGGTGTGACACCACACCCAAGTCAAGACCATTACAAATCTGGGGGTTCCCCAAAATCTTTTGAAATCTATTGGCACATGACACGTACTTTTGTAAGGCAAGTTCCAATGGAATTTTGAGAGAGTCAAACAGACACTATGTGACTGCTTGGGAGACTAGTTGACCAACAACGTGTAGGGTCGGATAGTTCAGTTGATAGTACGGTATGGACTTCTATCTTGCAAATGTTGCAAGGCTTTCTTGAGTTGCAATTATGTTTTTATAACTTGACAATTCAAAACCATGGGAAGCATCTTAATAATCAATTTAGTAAAGTTAAGTCAATCTGTTCAAAATATCCAAGATTTTAGTCTTTAGTAAAATTTTATAAAATACTTTCTTTGAAATCACTTCAACCCCTAGTGCAACATTCAGTAAAACTAAGTTACAAAAAAAAAATCATGCCAGACTAAATGTGACCTGTTCTGTCAAAAGCAGACGCTTCTGGGCAGAGGTTGAAATTGAGATAGGGCCAAAAAATGCTGTGGGGTGATTTTTTTTCGATTTTCTAATTTTTGCATATTTGTAATCCTGAACATGTCTAAAATATACTATAAAAGTTTGAAACCCTTATTTTGAACTCCAAATATAGTATTTTTGATGATTTGTTAAGGTATATCAGTTAAAGAAAATACTGCTTTGTAACGTTTGTGGCCATTTTCTCCGTTTTCTACTTTTCGACACAATGAACTTCAAAATAGCATAACTTTGCCCAGGAATGACCGGTTTCAAAAATAAAACCACCTATTAAAAGGAAACAGAACATATTTTAACAAAAATATGCAAAAATCTCATTTTTGACCTTATGCCCAGAAAAGTCTGATTTTGACAGAACAGGTCACATATGTTCATGTTTTCATAGTAAATTATTTTCGGATACATGACTAAAACGTCCGGATGTGATTTCCTGTGTACATAACAATTACACCTAAACCCTGTGATATTCACAATTGAGTCTTGGTCATGTGATTCACATTGCACTTTTGTCTATTTTTTTGCACGGAACAGGAAATCGGTCCAAATAATTTTTAAAGTTCAACTCAAGGTCACTTCCCCATTGTGAATCTGAAAAAGTAACATGGCACTCGTATTAAGTAGTGTGAATATAACAATAAAAAAGGCGGGAACTTTTTTTTGCGGCAGTGAATTTTTCATAATGCTACTAACACACTTGGGTGGAATGTTAGAAACACCTAATATGTTTTAGTCTGATATTTACTACATTTTGTGAATAAAAGCTTTTCACTTTCATTTTATGAGTAGAAAAAAATATAAACTAGACCGAAAGACAACCGAAAGATATGATATCTTTCTAAATCAACAAAAGGGTCAAATAAAAGGCATTCTATTTTACTTTTCATTAAACATTCCTTTTGCATTAGGCCTATACAATACTTACATGTACATGTAGTTTAGGAAGTCTACATGTACATGTAAATTTGTAGTTCTCCCCATACTATTTTTGAGTTTCAAACCCCCAAAAATAGATTTTGTTTTTAAACTGCTTTTTTTCCCAACAATACAAAAGTCATTCACATTTGAAAGAGGCATAACACACACAAAAATCAGCCCACGTTGTAACGGCTTGAAAAGCAACCCAAATTAATTTTTTTATTTAGAGTGTTGTTGAAAACAAGTTGCTTTTTCTGTTTAAATAAAGCATACAAACTTGTTGAAAACAAGTTGCTTTTTCTGTTTAAATAAAGCATACAAACTTGTTGAAAACAAGTTGCTTTTTCTGTTTAAATAAAGCATACAAACTGAAAAATCTTTGAGGTGGAAATACACATTGAATAGGCTAAATAGCACAGGCAAAGCAACTTACATGTAAATACTGCGCACACTTGTATCGCATTCTGGGGTGGTTTTTTTGGACAGGAAGGCTAGTAGATAGATTACATAACACCTTCCTGGGAAAGTGGACAAGACAAAGAAAAACCTTGGCCTCATTATTGCAAAATGAGAACAGGAACACATTGTTCTAAAGCCCGAAAAGTGAGACAATGTACAATCGTCTTCAGGCCGCTGTGGCAGTATCAACACAATATTGAATCCCATACAGTCTTTGGAACTTTGGCAACCCGACCCCAGCATGCCTCATGCTAATAGCTAAAATTGCAGGAAGTTTGTTCAGAATTGGTTCATCGTGTTGACCCTCTAGTTCCATAGCGGCTTGACTGCGCTTACTATTATCAAAGTTACCCAAGTCCAGCCTTGGACCACGACTAGTTTAAACTTGAAACCCTGCATTTTTACACATACATATGTAGATTTGAAATTAGGTAAGGATATTACATATATACACATTTAAACATTGACACAAGTTTAAAAAAAAATCTGTTTACAAATTTTCTAAAACTTTTAAACCAAACCTGAAATTTACTAAAAGGGACCTAGGTTCGCGCAATATTTTTTTGTTTGTTTGAGTCAAACACGTATACATAACACACATAAAATTTAACAATGTTTTCAAATCTATTTAATTTACAAAACCATAGAAGCACCTCAGTATTTGATTGCACTCGGGTGCACGTAGTTAAGTTTTACTTTTTCAAAGAGTGCCCGTTATTAATTAAAAACAACCATTGTAGATTTATCATGTCAATCACGCCGGTCTGCATACCGTACATAACGTTTAAACGGTTCCTAAATTGTCTGCTAAACGTTTACAAAGTCACATCCTTAAAATTCGGTTAATAGTAATCAACAATTTTTAGGATAGACTTACCGTGTTGTTCAACAAGGAAGAAACCACTACATTGTGAACATTATACAGTACATGCAACAATGCAAGTGTACTCATACTTTAACAAGCCTTATACATGTATGTAGGTATTCACCTGGGTATGAGTGTTCACAGGGCCAACCACACATTAATTGGTGAACTCAACCACACTACCTCATCATGAGGGCCATTGTCCGCACACAATGGATTTCAAAATCTCTGGCACCCACTAGACACAATGAAGGCATACATGCTGGGTAAATATGCCTGAAAACTTCCCACTCACAAAAAGTCCCTCGAAAGAAAAACCCACTGCACTTGCTTCAAGCTTCATTTCCTCCATGGGAAATAATATACCGGGTACACTGAACAATTCAATCAAAGAGAAGGTTGCCTACAAATGTACCCCCAGTACAGAAATTGATCATTCGGTTGTGAAATCACTGAAGTTATAGTATCATGAAAGAAAAAGTCTGGTAAAAAAATTTTTGTGCAAACTACTGGTTGACCTATAGGAAAAACAGAACATTGACTTTATTTTCCTCCATTACTTGGGCATTAGTCAAGGTTTAGATGACTCAAATCATTGGTGCTATCTTTTGATGTACTGTACAATGTACGGTACATGTAACCTTGACATGTGGAATACATGAACATGTACTTCCCATATTCTCTAACTTCCTTCATTCACATAATAGGGCCTAATTTAAATTATGTATGTACACAAGCTGGAACACTTTTACTACATGAGATGTTGTTAGTTAACTGCAAAATCAAGGTTCAGTGTGAATATTTCGGAAGCATACATAAACATGTAAGAAATACATGTATGCATAACAGCACTTTACATGAGAATTCAAGATTAAAAGTTGCCAACTATTATCATTCAATAAAACATATCCTGCTTGCTATCATAGCAAATACATTCATTCAAAATATTTTGAACACAAACAGATATATCACTTTCACATACCAGTGTGATGTAATATGTCTGTAAGTTTTCCCAGGGAAATTTTACAGATACATGTAATCCAGTTAGTTGTGCTTTACCTCGATACACCAATGTGGTACGCATACATTATAACATGTACAATGTACACATGTACATGTATGTACTCTACATGTAGCTTGAACAAACAGGATATCACAATACCCACCAAGCCAGGCCGGGGAAGTCCACGTATCGAAAACTTTAAAGGGTTGTGTCAAATGACACTCTACATGTAGTGACATTCCTCGTTCAGCCCAGAAAAAAAATGTTTACATCAATTAAAAAACATATGAAATCTGTAGTTTATTGTTTTATGTACCGGTAGAGTATAGACTCTGACCATCAATTATGAAACAAAATGGCCCAATATTGGCATTGTGTTGTGATATTCTTTTGATAAAAATAAATGAATTTGTAGGAGTACTCGCTCTTAGGGTCAAAATATATTTATTAAAAAGTCTGATTAATTATCAATGATAAATCAATATCTCTAATTACTATTAAAGGGACACTACATGTATGTCATACTCCAGGAATGTGCCAAATTAGGCTACAACAAGTTTTAAATAAAATGATGTTTAATTGGAAAGAGCATTTAAAATTAGGATATAAAGGTCCACACAAACATCCTTTAAAAACTGGGCATTTTGGAGTTATTCTTGCGAGAACCATGGGAGAACAAATTTTTGGGGTAAAAATGTTGACACTCAAAAATTGAGTTGTTGTTAATAGTGCTAGTTGTTAATCCTGTTGCACAGTGCATTGCATTCTGCAGATGTGTGAGAAACAACAAATGTGTATTGCTGCTGTGTGTATTTATGTGACACACATAATGCGTACCATACGGACACGGCTGAAAAATACGCATATGCCACAAAATGTCCGCCACGTCTGATGCAACAAAGAAGGGTTTTGGGGTTTTTTTCCTCGGGAACAGTAAGACAAATTTACGTTAGTTTCCTTTCAACCAGACCTTTGCATAGTATAAGTCAACAACCCGAAACATATAAGTTTCAGGGATTTCAGTCTGTAATGCCCCTGTAGATGTGCCTTTACAGGAAAATCCCACCAAAAAATTTCCGCACTGTTCCAAAACAAGGGAAACAATATTAAATGGTTCTGAGGTGAGGAAGTACAGGCCATCACAAACATGTTCTCATCGATTGCCAGTTTGTGGGTATGGGTAACAGAGAATGAGCTAATTTCCTTGCTTTGTCTGTGACGGTCTTTCCCGAAAAAACCAATTCCTGGCATGGTCCCAAAATACATGTAATCACACTGCCGGCTGGATGGAAAATGTCAGTTAGGACGTAACCCATCACGAGCATTGACATCGTGACATCACATGATATCTGGATTCTGAATGGTAACCCGCTGTTGCCTAGTAACTTAAATGTAGTAGGTCCTATTTAAAGCTTTTTACTCGCAACGTCCACACAGCACTGCCCATGTATAATTGAGTGTCTGTAATGACACTGTTTTTCGGTCCAAATACCATATAATTTGTTCATTTCAGTACCTTTATTCAATATTAGAGTAAAGATTATTTTTTTGGTAGTTTTAAGAATGTACACAGAATCTAACCTTACAGTGGCCGATCGGGGGGGGGGGGGGGGGGGGGGGAGTCGGGGGTTCCAACCCCAGCTCAGCCTCTTACATACTAATGTTACACATATGTACACATGTAGTAAAATGGGGCCCGACAAATTACTAAATGGAATATAACAGTAGTTCCTATTTTTTTTCTTGTCAAATTGCCTTGGAATGCAGGAGAAAGTATGCCCCCGGACCACCCTATAGCACGCACCCTACCCCCCCCCTTTCATATTAGTATCCCTCCCCCGTCATATCAGTAACCCCCTTCATATCAGTACCCCCCCCCCCCCCTTATAAAATTGACAGGCTTTCGAGTCACAGTGTTTTATTATACTTTTGTCAATCCTGGCCAGCTTGGATTGGATTGTTTTTGTTTAGTCTTGTTTACTTTTGTGGATTACTTGTTGTACCGGTATCTTGTATTTTGGCCGAATAAATAATAAAATAATAATAATAATATCAGTAAACCCTCCCCCCCCCCTCCCATTCATGTCAGTAGACACCCCCTCATGTTTCTTGAAGCTCCGCCCCTACCTTGCATCAATGGTGTTATTTTAGTGTCATCATTCCTCGCTTCACCCATGGCCTACTGACCATGCCACCATGGATCTAATGATTCCTTTAGTTTAATATACACCGGATACCTCCCGAGCATGCACACTGTAGTGTACGGTACATGTACTTCATCCTAAATCTCACCTTCATGACCAGGTCACTAGGCTACTGAGGCATTCAGGAAATAATTGATTAGACCGTGTCAAGATTCCATCGGAAAGGGGAAAAAACGATGATCAAACATTATAGGGCCTATACATGTACAGGTACCTAAATGACCATGTTTATGGCTTGCAAATATAGCAAACCATTTATATCAGAAAAAAAAATTGTTGTAACCTGACGCCACTTTTTTCTTCACATCATCTCAATGAAGGTCAGTCATTGCAAAAATTTTAAAAAGACATGAATCTGGGACTGAGAAACTTTGTTTCCAATTTCAAATAGGAAATTACTAAAAGATTGTCTGGACTCTACATTGACTTTGTACACAACCACTCTACATTGACTTTGTACACAACCACTGACATGGCGTCTGGATATTCTTTCTCATTATTTTTATTTCAAAGTGTGGAGCCCCATAGTTCTAGGGGAACTGAATGGTAACACATAGCAACTGATGAAAACAGGTGTGCAAATGAATAGATCTTTTCATTCGATGTCAGGCCCCCCCCCCCCCCCCCCCGAAAAAAAAGATGGAGCTGTCTACAAAAAGTACAAACAACTACTGAACTAGGGTCGAGTTGTACTTTTATCAATTATTGATACTATTTACTAGTGACCGGCGGTATATTAAAGGGAATATACAACATTTGCAAACATCGAAAAATATAACTACCAAGTTTTTACGAAATACCTTACTAGGATGTTGGTAAATGACAGTCTAAAGCATCCTGTAAAATTATGGCACCTGGTGTCAAGTCATTTTCAAGAAAATGGTATTTTTGTGTACATTTCCAAAGATGGTCGGCCGACCACCGTTGGAAAAACCTAACTATTTTTCAACTACTGCTCCAAATTTACATTTTTTTTTCAGTCCAAATTGGACTGGTTCCCTTACCTTACAATTTTCCGACATCTATAAATTGATCCATTTTATCTTTAGTGGAGTCAGGGAACTAGACTACTTAAACATTTTTGTTTTTCTTGGTTTTTCAAGCATTTGCGAACACACAACTTCAAACATGTGAGTTAAACAATATTTGATCTATTATACTAAACTGCTCAAATAGTTCATTTATGAAAAAAACAGCAAAAGCCAATGATGTACATTCCCTTTAAAGGTACTACCGGTACTCCTAAAATTATGATTTTGTTAAAATGCCACGTATACAAAACTATAGATATTTCCAAAAAAAAATTCTGACCATTACAAAATGATCGACATTGAAAGTGGTGAAAAAAAATCTTGAAAAAAAATGGGTTACATACAGTAGGCCGTACACTTGAATAAATTCTTATTAAAATTTAATAATCAAGACATTCAAGACTTAGTGATCCGGAACTGTCAAGCATGATAAAAACTACTACTACTATTAAGCTAGACTCTAGAGCAAACATGTACATGTCCTCGACGCTCCATTATAATCTGTGCAGGTAGGCCTAACGCTTGCAACACACAAATTGAAGGTGAGTGCGTAGAAACAGGACCGCGTAGCTTTGGGGGGTCTGATGATACATGTCCAAAATGCTCTAAACAATTAATTGACAATTGGGAAAAAATGTTGCAACCTGACGCTCACTTCTGTGGTTGTCAAGACGGTTGTGTACAAAGTCAATCAATATAGCAATGGAGAGTCAAGAAAAGTTTCTAAAATTGGAAATGTTTCTCAGTCCAAGATTCATGTCTTATGTTTGCAATGACTGACCTGCAATTGAGACGATAAAAAAGCAGCGTCAGGCTGCAACATTCTTTCCGACAAATGGCCCCATATGATAACTTATAAAAACTACGATGTACACTACATTACATGGTGTAGGAAATTGTAAATAATCATGTGATGCACACAAGCAGGCATTGAAATTCATGTTCTCACCACATTTTCACCTGTTCAGTACAGACTCCCACTTGCACAAGTTTGTCATGCAGGCATGCATGCCATTGACATGCTCAATCGTGAAATTCAGCAGCAGCAGTAGAATCCAGTAAATTTTAGAATCACATCATCAAGAAGAACAACTGACTTTGGTCTAGATAAAACGACAATCCAATGTACAGGCTTCCCCGGAAACAGTGGCCGATTCAGTCACAGAATTTCTGAACGGAACTTCGCACAGAAACGTACACAAATGCAACGTATTCGAATTCATGCACGTACTGTACGGTTTTAATTCTGTACACGGTAGATAGATCGGACTAGACTTTTTTCATGCCGTAAAGACAAAGTTCAACTTTTGTCAATTAATAACGTGTACCTCATGTCACAAAAAGTATTAAAGAGGATGTTCGAAGTTGCTCTACTACTACCCGTGTTAATGTTCTTCAACATAATTCCATTTTATTTTTTTGGTCAAAGATGCATTACCCATGCACTTTAAAATGAGATTTTTTCTCCCTAACAAATTTTCAATTCATTTGTTTTGTTTTAATGAAAAAAAATATGTATTTCGATTTTGGGCAGCTGCAGCCCAAATTAAACCTGTGAGAACCAAATTATTGTCTGGCAGCTCGCAGGCTAGCCCGACTGCGTCTGGCCGTACAGTACTATCGCAAGCTCTGTAGTACGGCCAGACGCCCGATGCTTCCACAGAGACTGAATTTTTTTGGCCGCCGATGTAGCGATTTTGCTACATCTTTCGATCGCGATTATCTTTTCATCCAGGACACAAATTTCCAAAGTTAAGGTTCGTAGTCGTAGAGCAACTCATACCTTTTCGAAAAAACGTTCTTTGGTCTCAATATTTTCATCCATCTGGCCACAAGACGAATTTCAGTCATCAGATTCCACAAATATCGTCCCCCATGCGATCCCCCATGCGATTTCAAAATGGCGGCCGCGCTGTAATGTATGCATTATGCGAGCGCGCTTGGGCAAGATAATGAATATGCATTATTTTGTTCATGACCTCGTGTTTGTATGGCCAGCCGCGCTGAGTGTCCGACAAACGTCATAAACTATGATGCATACTCATCATCTTGCCCATCATCTTGCGCATGGGGGACGATATTTGTGGAATCTGATGACTGAAATTCGTCTTGTGGCCAGATGGATGAAAATATTGAGACCAAAGAACGTTTTTTTCGAAAAGGTATGAGTTGCTCTACGACTACGAACCTTAACTTTGGAAATTTGTGTCCTGGATGAAAAGATAATCGCGATCGAAAGATGTAGCAAAATCGCTACATCGGCGGCCAAAAAAATTCAGTCTCTGTGGAAGCATCGGGCGTCTGGCCGTACTACTATACAGAGCTTGCGATAGTACTGTTCGGCCAGACGCAGTCGGGCTACTCGCAGGCCATCGAACTTTGTGAAGAAACAATTCAATAACTAAACGCTGTTGGATTTTTTTTTATCAACGTCTAATTCAAAGTGAACTATTTTGTTTTGCTAGGAAAATAGCATTAAAAAAACAATTCTATTTTTCGAGGTGAAACCCCCCCAAAAAGAGTCCGTGGAATACATTTTTAAGCAAAAAAAAACCATCCAGGTGTTTCCCCTTTCGGACGTTTTCAACCCTCTGAAATTATGTTTTTATATTTGGTTTAATAATTGTCACGCTACATGCAAAAGTTTGTAATTATTCAATGTGGGCAGAATTTATGGTTGATGTCTCATGGATACATTTTTGTGGTGCTGAAAAAAAATGCTTTTTGAAAACAAAATCGAAAATAACATTTGTTTTTTTAATGACATTAAATGATATTTAATGATATTTTAATTTATATAAATTTGACAGTGGCAGGCTATAAAGGAGACATTCACTTTAAATTACAATGACAACGAACTACACGTTTATAAATAAATTCTGAGTACATTGGCGAATCGCGGGAGTTTCAAGATGGCGTCGAAGAGGACACTTTACAAACCGGCAACTTTGCAAGATATCGGCAGTCAAGAACAGAGGTTTGTTGATCAAGTTTGGAATAGACATCAAATAAAATGCAGTCCCAAGGGTCCCCTTTGTGACTTTGTTTTATGATTGTTTAAATGAACGTAGGCCCTATCGACCGTTTAACGGCTGTAAAACGACGTGGATCTATCGACGCAATTTCAATTCGCGTTGGACAACGCGCGCGCATTGCAAGCGTTACCTGCGCCGATTATGGTGACTCGAGGATACGCAATTTTCATCTGTATTGTCAGATCCCTATAAACATTATCCTCGAGTCACCATAATTGACGCAGATAACGCTTGCGACGCGCGCGCGTTGTCCAACGCAAATTGAATGCGAGTGCGTCAAAACATATCCTCGTCATATTACTATTAAAGTATTAGGGGGTCTGAAGATACATTGTATAACATTTTATGCTAAAGCTACGCGGTCCTATTTCTACGCATTCAATATGTGTGTGACAACGTTGCAAGCGTCTGCGCAGATTTATAATATATGGAGGGTCGAGGATAAACATAGGCCTAGCCCCATAAATGTGGCGAATAGCTGGACCACCTCCGTTAGCAGGTGAGTCTGTAAATAAGGGTCACACTTGGAACATGTAGGCCTACCCGAAAATGAAGAACTAAATTTTTCATTTTTAAATTTAGACTTTTTTTAGTAGTTTATTTACGCTTTAGAAGCACACTCACCCGCTTTACAGCGATAGGAAAAAATGTCCGGCCTTTCTCAGACGTCTGTTTTTCGTGTAATTTCCAGGTTTGTTTGCACATGTTTGCGTATCTTATTTCCAACATCGAAAAGATCAGCGCGTGCTGGATCTTTTCTGCTGCCAGTGCGAGTCACGCAGACTTGAGTCAAGGTGCACGTGGTAACCTGGACATGAAAAAAAAAAAAACACGCTAGTCACCACTGCACTTGCTTGGTCCAGTTTACCTGCTTGAGTAACCCCAGCTCCAATGCTTATCGCATTTAGAGCTGGAGGTACAACTATGTTAAAAAAAAAACTAGATCGTAAGAGGCCCGAAAAACGCGACTGTTTCCTTCAACTTATCTCGGAGATATTGATTCCATTCTTTTAACAGGAGAGGGTTGGCCCAGGGTCGGCTCGTGAGTAAACCCATTCTACCAGACACCATGACTGTGTTTGCGTCTCCAAGAGATTTTAATCTGAATGCTTCAAACATGGATACAGGTAGGTCAAAAATCTATTAATTTCTCCCAACTCAGGTAATTTATGTAATCGAAAGTTAAATTTATCTACTTGAATTCAATTCTCCGTGACATTTTGTTACAACCAAAAAAAGTTATATCTTATGCAAAGACTTGATATTTGCTCTTGTGATATACATTTATAATGAGGATATCTAAAAATAACTTCAGTCCAGTAGCAGCCATTTTAATGTTGGCGTATCAGAAGTATATTTATTGTTGTATGTTGTGTTATTTTATATGTGACCTGTTTGTACACAATTTCTGAACACTGATGAATGTTGGTGACTATTGAAGACTTTATTTGTAGTCATTTATTACTAGCAAGATTCAAGTCTGTCAAAAAAAAACAGAACAATGAATTGCAAAAGAAAGGACTGATATTCAGTTGTTATTAATCATTAACTGAGTATTTATTCATCGCTACAAATTTGTAATAATTAATAGTGTATTAAAAGGTATATTTGGTTAGTTTATCCATGTATCTGAAAAACCTAAAATAATATCAATTTTGGTTTTCTGTGCACTAAAAACTTTGTCTTCAAATTCAAATAAATTGATAAAAATGCATTTATCTATCAAAAGATGGATAACCAATATCTAATTTTAAAAACTTAATGACTAAATAGACTTTTAAATACATAAATAAAACGAATAACAGCATACAGAGTGTTTTCAAATATTTGGAAAAATTATGCTCAACCGGTCATGGCAATATCATTTTCAACTTATCGGTATCAGCAACTTTAAACATTTTCAAATGATTATTTTTGCAGGTGATATGACAGTGACCCTGCCTAATTGTGGCTACCCCGTAGAGGGCTCCGTCACCCCTCCCAGGCAGTCCCTGGCAAGGGCTATGACCGGCAACGGTCCCAAAACACCAGACGACATCACACATCGATCCAAATCGTGAGTTATTATACAAATAATGAATGTTTATGAGTGCAGTGGTCAGAATAATTTCATGAGGTGACAGCTGGAGTGTTATATTCCACGAGGCGAAGTTGAGTGGAATTGAATATTCCATCTGTTACCGAATGAAATTATTCTTTCCATTGCACGAATGTGAGACATTCATTATTTGTTTTCTGCCCATATATTGTTAACGTTTTTAATTTTAAACCTTTGTTAACTTTGAACAAGCTGAACAAAAATACTGGATGCCAGAACACAATTTTGTAAATTGTGTTTGTTCTTATAGTTTTATCCTCCAATCGAATGTTATATAAAACAAACAATGAGTGTTTTGCATTCGTGCAATGGAGAGAATATTTTTGTTGAATGTTCCGTTCAACTCGGCTTCGCCTTGTTTTTAATGGAACATTCCATCTTTCAACTCATGGAAATATTTTCACAATTGCACTCATAAACATTCATTACTTGTATACTGTTCTTAATCCATTAGTGCCTGTACCGCCCCAAAGCGCCCTGTCTGTTAATCCTTAAACTGCCTAAAACTGTCCCAGCACCCTTTGTTTTATGGATTATCAAGCAATAAATACAGCCTAGTACAATGTAATACAAGTGCTAATGAGATAATACAATACACATACTACATAGGCTAGCAACTGGACACAAAAACTGCTCTGATAACATGAAATACAATGTAGCACAACCAAATTTTGAGCTGTCCCTTGCAGAGTAACAGATTATTCCACTAGAATGCAAAATTCACTGTACAGAATTGACCTGAGCACACTTCATTTCCCTTGGACTAATCTTTTAAACGGTCCAATAATGTTCAATCTCAGGCGGTCAATACTGAGAAATGTGATCGAGTGGTTAGAGTTTGTGACTCATGAGCAGAGGGTTAGGGGTTTGAATTCAGCTGCTGGTCATATGCTATGTCCTTGGGCAAGCCACTTCACCCCCACTTGCCTCTCTCCTCCCATTAGCTTGGGAGCAACCTGTGATGGACTGGCATCCCATCTAGGGGGAATAGAAATATTCTCAGCCATCTCATTCCAGTGAAACAGAACATAAACGCCAGCCTTATGGGTCATACACAAATGTAAATGTATGCTCGTGAGTCGTGACTGACTTTACTTACATGTTATTTTCAAAGAAAGTCTCACTGTTTTTTTTTATCACCAAACTATTCATACATTTTGTGTGTAATTTGAATGACACAATATCCATCTAGTGTTCCCTGTACCTTAAAAATTACCTTAAAAATACAGTTTTTAATACACATTTAAGTTAACACAGCAAAACATTTGCACTTCATTCATATGTACTTGTAGCCTTTATATGACTGGTCACACTTCAATTTCAAATCAGATATAAGATACAGACTACAATAATTCGAATTCTTTAGAATTGTCAGAAAATGTGTATTATACAATAGGTAATTAGAATAGAATCTGGAGGAATTTAGAACCTCGGTGCTCACAACACAAAGAGTTTTTCCAAAAGTTATCCATCACACAAGTTAGGGAAGGGTAAATGTTGTTTAAAATTCCATCAAACCTGTGAATACCAAAATATTTGTTGCAGTTACAAATTGAAATGTCAACGTGACCGCTTACACTTGCTCAGAATGCACGTAATGGCTTTGCGGAGTACCTGCCTATGCTCAGCTTGAATGTACGTCAGGAACGTTGTCCCAATGAAAACGTGACAGATCGGATTGATGGCCAAAAGAGCAGACACTTTTAACTGCTGCTCGGTGACCCTCCCATAACAGGCAAAGATAGTGCACGTTATAATCATTGGTACCCACGCCACGACGAACGAACTGAAATTGATGAGAAAATACCGCATTGTCTTGCGATTGAGGCTTGGATTTTTTTTATTGGTTGGGCCGGGCCTGTTTGCATTTGAGTTTGCTTGACTTTGATCCACAACTGTCTGTGACACGCTGCGAGTTTCTTGATGTATTTTTTTTTGTTGGTTGCGAGCAATGCGCGCCAAGGACGAACACAAGACGGCAACAATGAAAACACAGGGGATGCTCACAGTATCAAAGCTGACGTTAAAAGTCACCACAATGAACTCATTCTCTGCCGCGTGTACGATTTGGATCGGCTCAACAATGCCTCGTATCGGGCTACACGTGAACGTAACGGCGGCCAGAACGGATGCGACTACCGTCATGATAAACCACCCTAGAGCGATTATAAGCAAGCTTCTCCGATCGGTCATCAGACGCAAATACTGCATGGGCCGCGACACCTTCACGTACATGTCCCCGGCAACCAAGATGGAATTCACAAAGTACATGGCGATGAGGTAGTTGAACACTAACATGAGGGTCACGAGAAACGAAATGTCGTACATTTTGGTGTTGTCCCCCATGAAGGGGATCGTGCGCAGGGACAGGATGACGCACAGTAGCTCGGAAAGACAGAGGTTGGCCAGAAAATAGTTGGAGGGCTTGCGGAGGGAGTGGCAGAACGCTACGGAAAGTATAATCCAAATGTATACGATGGCCATTATTGTAAGGGGTACTATCATGATGAGTAATATTGAGAAATTCAGTCTGCCAGGGGGTTGTTCATTTTGCGTGCCATTTACTGGACTCTCCGTCCCGTTCATTAAATCTCCAGCATTTTCCATCTTGGCTTTGCTGTTTCTCCTTTTCAATCTAATCTAAATTTGAAATTTGTTTTTTTTTATCAAATTATGCTTATATATGTACTTGTACTATACGTACTAGGCTTGTTTATAATTATGAAGTTTTAAAGAGTTTTTGTATTTTCAAAATATTGCACACACAAACATTGCAAACAATTGTCTTACCTCAAATTCACAATGATGCTACATGTGTATAAAATAAGATTTTAACAAGTCGACTGATAAAACTATTTTACACCATAAATTCCACAGGAGGATCAAACGCAGAAATTTGGAGCTTCCTAAGAATACCCTCAGAGTCAGAAGTTACATATGCCTTTTCAGACAATACGTTCCAATCCAGGTAGTATTGCACTGTTTGCAAATCCCGGTTCTGGTCGTCTTCAAGAAAATGCGCCAATGTTACATACAGGACTTGGTCCTGTTGATTTGAGCTCTGGCTGGGTGTGATTGCTGATCGTCAATAGTTGAATTTCTGTCGGTAATTTTGTCATGAATGTTGTAGACGACTACGTGTATATTGAGTCCTCAGTTGAGTCTCCAAATGGATGAGATGAGATCAATCTTGTTTAGCTCCGTCGTTGGTTTTAAGACTGGTTCGAGTCCAGCTCCGGGCCTCTTTTCATTGTCGTCACAAGTAGTCCAGGTGAGACTTCTGCCGGTCTTCAGACTGTTGGTTCGAATCCTTGTTGTGGCATATCTCAAAAGAAACGCGTTTGTTTTTAGATGTTAAAATCCTAGTCAAGGCTTCTTACTATTAGCAGACTCCTCCAGCAGCTGAGATGCGAGCCATTTAAGCCTGCTATGTGCACTTAGGCCTATAACAATTCTGTTGGTCTTCAGAAAGTAGGTTCGAATCCTGGCTGTGGCATATCAAACTTTTGTTTCCTCAGAATAAGTGCCGGGCGAGAATCCAGTTGTAAATCTCAACTGTTGGGATTGTAAATGCGTAGTTCAAATTTCAAAACTGTGTGTCGTATCCTCAAGCGTCAAGAGAAGTCACAGCAAAACAGCACACTTCAAAGTTTGCCTTGAATCGTTAATTCTGCTCACTCGATCTTTGATTTCCTCATAAATTCCACTTTGTTTAATATCACATTCCGCATGTCTTTTGCTTTGAGAAGAAGTGACTTTCTAGAGTGTGTCGGTCCTTTTCCCCAACGCCGGAATAAAAAGTTCCTTTGACAGTAAAATGCTCACAAACTTGTGATCTGTGGGAGCATTTTGAGGTCACACATATGGCACACTGTTGCCTTTTGTCGCGGTTTCACTGTTTTATATCTGTTCCACTCCCCGGTGTTAATGTTTACCCATTTTGTTAGCCGACCCCATTCCCGTAGTGTTCCGCCTCATTTTGTCATCGATCATATCGCTGCGTAAACATGTCTTGTCGTTGTTGCAGAGATATTCCAAACGAACGCAGGAAAATGAGAACTCTCGATTGTCGTAGCCCAGTTGTAGTGTCCATATAATACAGATTTAATCATTGGTAAATAGCTGATAAGTACACGAGTACCTGTTAGACATGTGAATGCTATCAATATAAAGGCTAGTTTATGCGATTGTAAGCAAAAGTGAAATTCATTTTGTTATTGGATATTAACATGCCTTTTGACAATGCTAGGGTTGTTTGTTTAGCATTAATTCATTCATGGACTATCAGTTCCGAGAACCGGTCAATTTAAGAAATACTTGTCTTTGAATATTAAAAGGAGGATATTATTGACTGCGGAGCTGACATGGCAAGGAATTTTTTCCAATGAATTGTTCATTGAATCCTCTTTAAAATATAATTCACTGCTCCTTGACTTTCGCTACCATTTGTCGCTTCACAAAATATTGATTGGTGCAGGATGATATTGTTTGTCAAGTTGAATTGGCGAGAGAATTTTTAATGTTGTATCCCCTGTTGTTCCTTAGCTTAGATGATTTTTTGTTTTGATTCACGGCTCTTTAACTTTTACTGGCAGTTGCATCAGCTAATATTGATTGATGTGTTTGCATTACCGTTTCGGTTCAGTGTAGCCGACAGGTTGCTTAGGAACAGAAAGCAATTTGATTTCATTTTTGTACATGCGGGCCATTTAGGAATTTACAATGTCCAGATTTATTGGAGCAAAACTAAAGAAAAGAGTCTGAACCAATTATTATTATAATTGTTTTAGGTAATTGAATGGGGAGTGGACGGACAAATACATGTACTTTGGAACCATTTCTCAGTGGCTTTTATTTTGTCGACTTTTTGATTCATTTAATCAATTGAGCTGTAGAGTAAATGCATTACGTACAATTTTTAAAATGTTCAGATCAGTGCTTAGCCACCAACTGGACTGCTATATTTAGCATGGGGATTTTATTGCAAGTTTATTTGGTTTATCTACATGTATCTGGGTTTTTTTAAACAGAACTAGGCCGATGTTTTCCAAATGTCAATTTTAACCATGAAAAACAATTAAGATTTTACTAATCTTGTACATATCTTGAAAAAAATCAACGTTTTTCAGTTTAAACTTCATGGTTCAAGATTCAAATTGGTATTTAAATTGTGTTGCCTGGCCTGTAATCTGGCAGATTTGCCTAAAAATAAAAGCAGCGTTATGATTATAGAAGTATCAGAATTTCCAGTTTTCATATCTTAATTTGTCATAACTGGATATTGTTCTTTTGACGTGTAGGTTGCCATTTGGTAGTCAGTATGGGAGTGGCCATGGAGCCACGCCCAGCTCCCCCTCCAAGCCGACGCCCTCAGCATTGCTAGAGCTGTCAGATGCTGAAAATGATCCAAGCCATAGCACATCAAAGGTGAGATATGCCCAGCCCTTCATCCAAAACCTGTCGCATTTATTTACCTTAATTAAAAGTTCTATAAGCCTTATGCCTTTGCAGGTACTTCAGTGGGTATATGGAATTTGCATCGGGGGATATAAAATCAATATCGGTTTTGCCCTTCACCATCATATTTTAAACTCTGTGTACTTAGTGTTGTCCTGAGTGATTGTGAGAGAAAAAAATCACAAAATATACTTTGGTGGGACTCAAACCCACGACCTTTGTAGTCACTGGGGCAGGCGTCTTACCACTCAACAACCGAGCTTGCCGGGGTTGGCTGGCTGGTTCGAATCTGATGCAGCAGCATGTACCACTAAAAAAAAGGGCAAAACCCGATATTAAATTTAGTGGTTATGGTTTTTTATTTAAATGTTACTCATGCATATCTTAGCGAGACAAAACCACTGACCTCTAACTCCGCCTTAACGCATTATGTCTATTCCAACAAGTTCAGCACCAGTTTAGGCAGAGTTCCTTCTTTAACTTGTGATACTATAATACTAGTCTCCCTCATTGATCCATGGTGCGTTCTTTTTCCATCGGCTTCGCATCGGAAAAACAAAACTCCATGGATCACCTCAGGAGGCTAGTCTTACTGTACCATTTTTAGCAGTCAATATTTGCATAAATATGTGTAAATTTTATTAATTTTTATTTTTAAGCAGTCCCCTATACTACACGTCAGACATCTGACTCCCTCCCCTGTGCTGTTTGTGGACGCGTCCGGAGGCCGTGTTGACCCAGACAGGTCAGAGGTCGAAACCAACACCAACCTGGTCATCTCGCCAGCTAAGGTCATATGTCACGCCCCGGCGGTGGTTGAGAGTGACCTGAGGTAGGTATAGGACTACGAAATGCAAATATTGTGATTGTTAAAAAAAACGTTCTTGTTTGTTGTCATTTTTGCAGAATGGACATTCAACTTAACAAATCTATTAAAATCTTAGATCCTTTCCAGAATTTCTTACATTTTTCATATCTTTTGTGAGAAAAAAGTTGAAAATATAATTATGTCAAGATTGTATTTGGGAGCTTATACAAAGTTATTTTATTACAAAATTAGTCTTTGCTCCAGAAAAATAGGTTTGGTACAGTCCCATGTCCATATAATCGCGTCAAATTTATGAAAAATCTTAACGTATTTCTTGAGATTTAAGATTGCCCGTTTTAAAAATAGTTGAGAAATCAACTTTACCCCACTGTCTTGACTGTGACCCTTACATGAGCCTTTGTGGCCCTACATGTACTTACTAGTCAAAGGAAACATTGATTGCAAAACCTTCCTGCCCAAATTATTGCAGCTATTTTTAACGCTTCTGTGATACTCCGGCCGTCTGTCACACCTAATTGAATTAAAACTTTACTTACGTACCAGAAATGATCCCCCTCCACACAAAAAAAATCCCGGAATATTGGCTTTCAGTTTAGTTTGACAAAAACATGGACATGCCAGGAATGTTAATTATGATAAGAAAAAGGTATTCCAAATTGGTTGGCAGTATCGCTTTTGAAATCTTGGTCCGGCAACAGCTGTTTCCTAAGAAGAAAATATAAAATCTGAATTTACTCTTCCTTACGTGAACTTTTCCACTTGAAAGTGAGGTTTGAATTGGTTACTTTTCCTGGTTTTTTTTCTGTCCTCCCCCCCCAAAAAAAATATTCTGTGTTTTTTTTTGTCTCCTGTCTGACCCTAAAATTTTGGGTGTAAACAGTGTCAGCTGATGACTTTTATATTATTATTTTTGAACTGAAAAATCTATACATTCATATGAACAAAATTTAAACAAAGTTGAAAATTGGAAAAAATTCTAAGTTTCCGACCCGTCCTTTTATTGTCAATGTTACTGGAAACACAACATTTATTTGTTACTATTATTTTTATTTTTCTAAAGGGGGGGGGCCTAATTAAGTTGTGCTGACATGATAAGGCTATTTGGTCTCGATTTTCATTCTAGAGACACGGGATATACGCAGGAAACAGCCAGGATTAAGGTAGAGGCTGTACCGACCGTCAGCCTGCTCGGTGACCTCGATGTGACCCAGGTCAAAGGTGACAAAAGGTCAGCTTTAAATCCTGTCACTGCTGCATCAAAGGGTGGCACTAGAACCCCACTGGTTGTCAAGGAGAATACGCTAGCAGGTTAGGCCATAATAGGGTAGCAACAAAAAGATCTTGTAATGAGAAATGCTTATTACTGGTTTGCTTAGCATATGAGATTTCTGGGAAAAGTTTTCATTATAGAGGGCTCTCTTACTGACTCACGTGACCCGGCCTACATCGGGGTACCGGAAAGTCAGCGCCACCATTGCAGTAGGCAGTAGGCAAGCCTTCACCGCTGTGATGGATGGCAAAAACTGCGAGAAAAATGTGGAGCCAACACCCAGTGTTGGGTTGGCACGATTGGGTCAGAACGATTAGGACAATGGCACAGTTAGTGACCATTATGCCATTTGATAAAGAATTTGCAGTTATTTTAAGTGAGAATATGCCCTACTGTCTAGTTTGCAACGCAAGACATGGTTGCTAACAAAATGCTTGCCTACTGCAATGGTGGCCAATCATCGGTGAAACTGGATGGTCACATGGTACTCTGATGTCATACGATTGGAGCCTGTAGGAAATTGACCTATCGTGGTAGAATCGCGATAGAATCACGTCAATGCAGCTTGTGAAATATTGTCCAATTACATGATATACAAATGGACGTGGAACGCGCCAAATCTTAGACAAACAAACTTAGTGTACAAAAACTCCATAGGGTTGTCTTAGGGACGTGGCTAACTCGCAAACGGCGATAGGTCAATAGGAACATGTTCTTTGTTGGACCATTGAACAAAAATTTGGCTTAAAATGTCTTAAAATGGACCACCTAAAAGTCTTTCTTGTACAAAGTCAGGTACGTGTAAACCTGCATGCTCTTTTATTTAGACCAAAATATTCAAGATAAATTTGTGAATAATATCTGAAAAGCACTGTAATCAGACAAATTCTTTCATGCCTGAATGCAGGGGTCAACAGTTTTAATCCCAAGTGTGTGATACAATTCATTTTCCTCTGAAAAGATTAAATTTCTTTAAATCAAGGACTTTGCAAGAAGCTCGAAATCATTGATCATTCTCCTTCCGCCTTCCCTAATTCCTAGTGTACTGCCTCACGGGGACACGTGGAAATTAAAGATTGAGTTCAGCTGTTCCAGATTCGGTTGTTTGTCCATGCATTTTTGGAGGGTGATTTACATCAAAGGATTACTGTAATCTAGATCCAAACACTGGGAGGGGGGGGGGGGCGGTCAGGGCATAATAAGATGTGAAAACAAGAACAGGAAACAAGCTATAATGATGCCCAAGGTTAAAATCAAACTTGGCTTGACGTCATGTAAGCCAATCGGCAAGGTATTGAAATGCTGTTTCAACTGCTCCCGAGTCCCGACTGACACTATAGACCAAGTGCCCTGTGACGTCATGCCGTCAGGAAACCACCGGGCAACCCATACATTTAAGCATCATTTGCATGTTATTTGGCCCACATTGAACAGTATATTCCAACACTTCTAAAAACGATTCATCTTTCAAGAGATATACATGCAGTGCAGAAGGGAACCATTTGCTTAAAAGTTGGCATCATGTGACCAAAACATGCAATTTGTAAAAACAAATGTCACCTGGTCTATAGACACTTATATAAGCCCTGGAATTGCTGGTCTGTATTGAGCGGTGACCTTTAGGGTTAAAGGCACACAGGTCATTGAAGGAGCACGGAGGTCAGTTGACGGCTACCGCAACAGTGTCAACAGGATATGGGCTTAAGTAGCTTTAATCCTGGGAATAATCTAGAGCCAGTGAACAGTTTATGGAGAAGGGCTACTGGCTTAGTTTTATGTCAAGTCAGTGACGATACATTTATAATGTACATGGATTTACTTTGGCACTCTAGCGAAGAACAAAAACCTGTTCTCCCCGTTAGTCTCTTAAAAAATAATCCAAGTTCTGGAAAACAAATAAGATACTAAAATTAAATTTAGTGTTGCTTGTTATTAAAATAGCTTTGCCTCAAATTCAATTTTCTAATTTGAAATGTTGTTAATTTTTTTGTTAAGTGTGAAATGGAAAAACCAACAAAATTAAACATTTAATTAGCTATCAACTAAAAATTCTGGGAATTTATTCAGGAAAAAAAACATGTGTATTCAAAATTTACAATATATTGCCTTATTGTTCTTTTTTTTTTTGAAGTGGATGCATACAGGTCAAATGAAGTAACAATGATCTGAAAGAAAAATGGTTTGATTGCTTTTATTTCCCGTTGTTATTTTTTACCAATCTTGCCTGCAGGTATTTCACAGGATATATCACAGGCCCTGAGAATCCAGGATGCGTCCAGAGATGGGGATAAGAATGCATCAGTTGGGTGAGAAATATTCTGGACTTTTCTGAGTCACAGTTTCACTTTTAACCAGTTTGTGCCGGAGGGCGCGTGTACAAGCAAAAGCTTTCCGAAATTGATGTGATGGAATCACAACAAGAGTACATGTTCTCTAGGATGTTTGTTAAATTTAATCATTCTGTTTTTAGTTCCAGCACCAAGACAGAATCCACCCAGAAGGACAAGAAGAAAAAGAAAGGTAGCTAACAGTTTGCGTCTTGAACATTCGTCCTCAACTTCCCAGAACCCATCAAAATGACTCCACAGCCACTGTTCTGTTTTTATTTTAAGTACAGAACAATCTATCATAGGTGGTGACAGCGAGAGCCTTCAAGTTCTCATTGGACATATGTTGTTTAAAATTTGCGTGAACTCTTTCTAAAATGCATAACATAGAAACCTGTTTCATTGGTCATGATGGTCAGTTATCGACAATATGTCACAAATTTTTGAGAAAGCAAATAACTAGAGAACTCCAGCAGCCTTAGATAGGGCCATTCCCCTTTCTGCCTATTCCCCCCCCCCCCCCCCCCCCCATGCCGCCCCCCCCCCGGCCCATGCCGCCCCCCCCATGCCCCCACCCCCTTCATGCCCCCACCCCCCTTCATGCCCCCACCCCCTCCATGCTCCCACCCCCTCCATGCCTTCACCCCCTCCATGTTTACAGAAGTTCTAATTATTTCTGACGTATCGTCTCCTAGCCACGTTTGTACCATCACGGTACATGCAAGCTGCTACCAAGCCTGTGTCCGTTGGATCCAGTTCTATGGGGGAGACAACCACGGTCCCACCGCGCCCAAGATACAGCTCAGCCACCCAGCACCCTAGAGCAGGCGCAACCAAAAAGGTAGCTAGCAAGGTCACATATGAATTAAGATAGAGGTTTTGTTGCTCTTTTACCTTGATATGTTTTCTCCTTTAAAATCTCTGTTTTAGAAATTTGTGTCCACAAGACATAGGTCGGCAAAACTTTTCAAAATTGAAGAGTTGAACTGTGACTGAGACATTTTCTAAGTTCTTAATCTTCACTATTTTTTCCCCTTCTCCCAGCCTTAAAATTTAAGACTTAAAGCTCTTTGTACCAGTGTATGTTTCAAGGAAGCCATGTTTCAATATTTACTACGTTGATAACATGGCAGTATAATTCACGTTTTTGGACATTTTGTTACCATCCGAGCTCTTGTATCAGAAGTTTTATATAGAGTTCCCCAAAAGGGTGTTTCTTTATAAAGATAGACTAATAAATTATCAGACTTGTGATTTTCTCTAAAATATTTACATGATTCACAGCAACCATCGCATACAAAGAGAACAGTCAGTTCGTCTGCCGCCAAGCGACCAATAGGCAGCCAGCGCAGCCAATCCACCAACCAATCACAGTACAGCTACACCCCAATGCCTCGTGGGATGCACAAAGGGGGCGGGGTCACCTCAACACCAGCCATGAACGCCTCCATACTCCCTCCAGCTGGTAGCTTGGATGCATCGGCCATCGGTTCATCCATGATACAGGGCCCTGATGTATCCATGGCGATGGCCCCGGCATCAGGTTAGTATATGGTCCTATGGTCACTTAAAGATGCGTTAAACATCAGTTCATCCATGATACAGGGCCATGATGTATCCATGGAGATGGCCCCAGCATCAGGTTAGTATGGTCCTATGGTCACTTAAAGATGCGTCGTCGGGCATTGGTTCATCCATGATACAGGGCCATGATGTATCCATGGTGACGGTCCCAGCATCAGGTTAGTATATGGTCCTATGGCCCCTTAAAGATGCATCAGACATCGGTTCGTCCATCATACAGGACCCTGATGTATCCATGGCGATGGCCCCGGCAACAGGTTAGTCTATGGTCACTTAAAGATGCGTCGTCAGGCATCGATTCATCCATGATACATGATATTTTTTGTCTGTATCCAAAGTTCTCAAACTCCTAAATTTCATAACTAAAACTGTCTGTAATCTGAAACTCGGTTGGTACCCTTCTTCTATCTTACAGGCATTGCTATGTCATTAGCCGGTAGACTGGACAGCACTAAGAGTACTTCCCACCAAGAATCATCTGCTGCAGGTATTGAAATGTCATTACAAGACTTTGTCAGACTTTAGTGCTATTTATAAGCACGATCTTCTCCAAGATTATAGACTGTATCCACCCTATCCCCCCCCCCAAAAAAAAGAAGAAAATTACCTCCAGTCGACATGATGCATCGTTACATTTTTCATTTTTTTCAATGCAGATGTTGACCTTCAGAACGTGAGGAATTAAGAAATTTAAAGTTACCTAAATTGATTTATAATTTCCATGAAAAAGGGCAAATTTATAGTTAACAGGGGGGTGGGGGGGGGAGGACAATGCATACAATCCTATCAGAAGTCGTTTGACTCTCGTTTATGGTGTTTTCGCAGATACATCTGTCTTCCAGTCTGGTATGTCCACCTCAGCAGGGCAGGACTCAGCTTATGTCTCATTACCAACCACACACAAGGCATGTATAAACCATCGACTTTCTCCTTAATTTTCTGGATTTATTCACTGCGAAGGACCCTCAAGTTAACACTCCTTAATTATTTCTTGATTGTCTTTCAACAAAACTACTACTCTAAAGCATAAAACGTAGAAGAAAAATGATGGAAAACAGTTAAATGGATTGAAAATTTTCTTTCTTAGCTTAGAAAGCATCAAGAAATGTTGTAGTCAACAGAAATGTTGTGTATGGCAGTGCTAAAACCATTTTTTTTTTTTTTTTTTTTTTTTAAGTTAAGTAAAACAAGAGTTAGGTCTGTGAAGGGAATGGTTCATACAAAAAAATAATACAGGACTATTTGGTTGTTTTTTTTGGTTTCACAGAAGAAACGAGCAGCTGTTATTACCCAGGATTACCTGGACCGGGTGTATGCTCGCTACACGCAGGCTCTGTTTCTTGACTCCAAGGTAAAGGGGAAACAAATACATGAAAAATAATACAAGAAAAAATCTGGAGGGGGGTTGGTCTTGAGCCATATGGGTAGTCAAAACCTGGGCCAGTTTTCGAAGAATAAACAAAACTTGATGTTCTCAGTTTTTTTCTATCCAGGAGGGGAAGCTATTCAATAAATATGCTCAACAGCTCCATAATATTCAATATAATTTCACTTTCACTTTCACTTCATTTCACTTTATTGTCCACACAAAGTACAAAATTGGTTGAATGTCGGTTATTTTTTAACCATAACATGTGGATGGGGCCCCTGAAATACTACAGCTGCTGTCAAGTTCTTTTGAAGGTACTGCATTAACCCTAATTCCCTAGGCATTTTTGCTGGGATGCAACCTCAATCCTGCAAAATCCTCCATTATTTCTTGAGTGTGGTCCTTGGAAGGGTGACCACTGCCTAAATCCTGCAAAATCCTGCAGCAATCACTGTCAATATGTTGAGCCAGCCAGTGACATCCTGAAGCAGTGTAGAGGATTTCATGCATGATCTAAATATGTGTACGGCTGAGCATAAACGACACACGGTCCAGCCCAAGACCTTGACACAGTGCATCCTACAAAATTTTGCACACATTTTTGCCATATAGCCTCAATCCTGCGAAATCCTCCATTCTCAGAGAACATTTTGGAGGATTTGGGAAGGTTAGGGTTAAACAAGCTGAATGACATTTTTTTCATTGTATTTTTTTTCTCTCTAGCTGGAGAAATCTTTAAAGGAACAAGAGAAAGAAGCGATGGTGAGTAGTCCCCTCTGTTTCCTGCATACATAATTATGTTTTCTGTCAGATGTACATTATGTATTATGATTTCTGGTAATGAATACAATTGTTCCTCAAAACGTGAACAGGCACCGAGCACAGGAAATTAAAGATGTACACAAAGACATTTTCAGATCCAAAAATGGAAAGGAACACTCCAGAATTATATTCTTGAGGGAACCCACAAAAACAGGCAACTAAACCTGAAGGCATCTTTAGAAATAAAGAAATGTTTTTATGAATCTAGAAGTGGGAGGGGAACCCTAGAATTATACTCAGGTGGACCACAAAAACAGACAGAAACTGAAAATCCAATTAAAAAGTTGGTCTGAGTAGGATTCGAACCTGGTCCAGAGAGGTGAAAGGCAAAGCAAATACATCTGCACCAATCTAGCTCCCTGACTGTTCTTAAAAGCCAGCCTTAGGTTGCCTCCAAACCACTTGGTTACGGCTAATAGTAACTCAAGCATCTATAGGAAGTGACTTAGCCGATTAGCCATGCGTTATCATTGCCAGCCATTGCCAGGTCATTCAGACATAAGTTTTGCTTTGCTCTGACTCTCTCTAGTCTGAGATGTACGGCCTGTGGCACGAGAACGAGAGGCTGAGAAACAAGAAGCGAGACTTGGAGCTGGAGTTGGCGAGTGGTCGGCATGCCAACCATCTGGATCAACAGCTGGATGTACAGGTAGGCATGCTAATTACTCAGAAGAATTACATCAAAGCTACTCAACTGCTGAGTTGCAAATGGAGATTTCACATTGAAGCTTCCAAAAACTATTGAACAAAATATGAGTAATCTTTACTTTTTTATGTCAAAACCTAAATGCTGATTAGTTTCTCAAAAGGTCAAATGTCACATTTCACAGCCATTTTTGGAATGGATGATCCCAAATTGTTTAAGGTGTCCAACAAAACCCAGGCGTGGGATTGTTTTTCACTAACCTCGTTGCCAGACGGGTTCAGGCTGTCATCTGCCGGTAGCACACCTTGATATTTCCGGCCTCGCTCGCTGGGAGCGGGTCGCAGACAGATATTTCCAGCCTCGCTCGTTACATGTTTATCCATCATCCGTTTGCGTGTAAACACGTCGTCTGACATGAACTGGTTAATAATGACTAAATTAATGACAAGTCTGATGCATTTCAATTCAAAGTTGTCCTGTTCTATTTTTGCTTAGATTTCGGGTCTTGGCCCAGTTGTAACCCATCTGGATGAGCTGAAGAAGCAGTACAGCACCTTGGCCCATGCCCTGGATACAACCAGACATCAGCTGGGAACCGTGGGTATCCATGTTCCTCAAGATGAAGACGGTTATCATGGTGAGAACTTAGAGAGGTTAAATTATGAGTTTTTAAACTCTGGCAGGGGCTTCTACATGTCACTTCGTGGTCGGTCGGTCGGTAGGTCTTTCCTCGGAAAATTGACCAAAAACGGGCTTCCCAAAAAAGTTTCCCATAAAATATAACTACCAAGTGACCAAAAATCGACCGACTGCAATGCCGTCGTCAGTAAATGCACTCTTGGCGAAAGTTCTCAGAACACGCCTCTTTGTTTCAATCGATGTGCATGCGCATCTATTTTTCATATGAAGTGAGACATTCCAGAACCGGGCCAGAGCTTACTGTGCACTCGGGCTTGTTACAAGAACAAGTATGCGTAGGTCCTGCAGTGCATGATGGAATGATACAATTTTATTTTTACATTTGTCATTTACCTCTCAACGATATTCATTGAAATGTATACTCATTGCTGTTGGGAGCAGGTGGTACTGGTATTGAATGGAGTCATTGACAAGTAATGTCCAAATATTAAAAGTAACAAACTTTAAAATAAAATGTAAAAAAATCAAGGAAAATCCAAAGTCCAATAAGTACACAATAGATGAAAATAACAAGATTATGTTTTTCCACAAAATAAGTATGCTCTGAAAAAAATGTGAAATTGAAACAGAATTACAAATCAAGATTGTAAATTGGCTCTGGCATGTTTGCGGGAAATCTTAGTAGGTATACAAAAAAAGTGAATGGAGTTCTAAATGTTATCTGCGTTTAAAAAAGCAGGAAGTCTTGTAATTGCAGGTGAGTTACAACCCAGAAAATGTTTGATTTAAAACCGGTTAAATATTTCTCCTCAGGGTCGCTAATTAGTGCCTTAGCCGAGAGCGAGAATCTCCTGGGGGAGATCAGCGCAGCTACACGGACTCACCAACCCAAAATCACCTCCTTCGCTACCGCCATACAGGCCTTGCAGAAAGCCGTGGACAATGAAGACAAGGAACTCAAGAGGTAAGCCATATGCAACAAAAGAAGGTGACATCCCTCCATCCATTGTCTGTAGTGTTCATTTCTATCATTGTCTCCTTATACTGGATGTGGTATAAGATATTAAATAGTAATAAGGAAATATACTCCATGCATCAAAAGGAGATAATATCCCTCCCTCCATTGTCTGTTGTGTTCATTTCTATCATTGTCTCCTTATACTGGATGTGGTGTAAGGTGTTAAATAAAGGAAAATAAACTATCCATCAAAAGGAGATAACGTCCCTCCTCCAATTGTGTGTAGTTTTCATTTCTGCCAATTTAACCTTATACTGGATGTGTTGTACGCTTGGACAAGGAACTTAATGGGCTCATATCAGAAAGACATCAACTCCCTCCTTAATTGTCTCCAATGCTCAACTACCTGTTACTATTGTCTCCTTGTATCTAATGTGATGAAAGCAATCATCAGTACTTTATGTAGCAGAGCTGTTTAAAGCTTTTACTTTTGTACTGTGTGATTTTTATAAATGCAAAAACAAAAATGTTTAGTTTCTCAAAAACAATTTAGGCTGAGGTGGAGTGGCTGATCAGACTTTTCTGTGAACATTCGTTTTTCTTTTCTGCAACCCTGTTTTGCACTTTCCACAGTATGTTTTATTTTGGGGGATTATTTGCACACAAATAAATTGATTCTAAATATTTTGTTCGTTTGCTCATTTTTCATTTTCCGGTAGATGTCAGGAGCTTCTGGCAGCAACCAGCACCTTAGCCACACAGGAGGGGTCTTTACGGATACAACAGATTGAACAGTGATGACGTCTTTGCATCCAGCACCCACACATGAGATTGCCTTGAAGTAGCAGCTGCATCTTATAGACAGCGTGAAGCTTTCACTGGCCCAAGTAAACATGCTTGACGTAACAACCCACGCACGATGAGTGTGCATGCCTTCCCAAATCTGGATCCAGTTAAGTGACTGAACAGGTTTCACGCCGTAATTTCACAGACATTTCATGTGTTCCTGGGCCCGTGGATAGCAGTCAGCCAGTTCTGTATTTCAACTGTGCATGTGCACAACGGTATGGGTTACGGGCCATTCCGGATACTCGAACGATCGAAGGTGCATGAACGCGCGAGCGCACGACGCTTGCGTGTCAATTACTAGCAGAATGGTCATTCCGGATACTCGAACGATCGAAGGTGCATGAACGCGCGGGCACACGACGCTTGCGTGTAAATTACCAGCAGAATGGGCGTGCGCGTAACATCACGTAACATAATGTCAGCAATGTTATCCCGAATGACCTCGGGTCATTGAAATACCGAACTGGCTTTTTAAGTAAAAATGGCTTTTTAAAGAGGTTGTGGAATGCTCGAAGACATTTCCGTCATTTTTCGGGTATATGTAGCCTAAGGTGTGATGAAATAAAAACGACTATTGTTTCTGTCATAAAATGAGTACAAAAGGTACTTTTGAGAACTGTTTTTCAAGTCCTGTCATGCCTGTTTCGACCCGAACGTGCAATTTGTGTAAAAGTCGTCGTTGCGGGCAGCAAACAAAACACAGTAAATCGTGACGTAATAAACAGGACTCCCGATGCAGAGTAGCATAAACGAGTCCTGTTTATTACGTCACGATTTACTGTGTTTTGTTTGCTGCCCGCAACGACGACTTTTACACAAATTGCACGTTAAGGTCGAAACAGGACCTGAAAAATAGCTCTCAAAAGTACCTTTTGTATTCATTTCATGACAGAAACAATAGTCGTTTTTATTTCATCACACCTTAGGCTACATATACCCAAAAAATAACGGAAATGTTTTCGAGCATTCCACAACCGCTTTAAGTAAAAAATCTGAAAATCATAACAGAAACAGTTGACTATGAAGCTAGATAGCTCAGTTTGCAGAACACTGATAAGGTATTCTGTAGGTGGCGGGTTCGAATCCAGCTTTGTTTTTGTTAGACCAAACCCTGTTAGAGTATATGTAAAGCCTCAAGAGAATTTTTTTTTTTCAGAGAAAACTTGTTGAATGCAGTGTATTCTCAGTATGAGGCATTGTGTTCATGATTCTTTTTTTTTTTTCGTTTTGAAAATCGTTACAAACTGATCTGCAAATCTGCGTCTATATTTGATGAATATTTAAGTGCCTTTGTGATGATATATAAAAAAAGATTACATGTCACTTCTTGTCATGTACTCGGTAAAAACTGAAATTTTAAAGTGTTTTTTGAAAAGCTGTTTAAAGTTTACCAGTGTATTTAAAAATAAGACTGAAGGATCAATTTCATAAGAGACAACGCTTTATTTTAAGAGTGTGCATGATTGTTTTTTCTTAATTTGCTGTATCAAAACTGTTGCTGTTTATTTCAAAAGGGAAGGAAATTTGAGTAAAAGTTGCTACAACTCTCAATTTAGCGAACTGCTTTTCAAAAGAAGTTGTATTCATTCAAGGTTTTATTGTTTAAAACATGTTCGTGGAAACCAAATGGCACAATTTTATTAAAAATGTAAGGCTAACCCCTTGCTTTTTTCAATTTTGGCCAAAAACTGAAATTCCTTGAAACTTGCAGGAAAGATGCCTAAGGTAACCCTGAACACATTCCAATTCGATTTGAATAATGATTGGTGCTCCACTCGTCTCCAGAGGAATTTCTGCATTGTTTGAAGAAAAATCAATTTTTGGCCAAATTTTCTTAAAAATGTAAGGCTAACCCCTTGCTTTTTTCTCAATTTTGGCCAAAAAATGAAATTCCTTGAAACTTGCAGGAAAGATGCCTAAGGTAACCCTGAACACATTCCAATTCGATTTGAATACTGATTGGTGCTCCACTCGTCTCCAGAGGAATTTCTGCGTTGTTTGGAGAAAAATCAATTTTTGGCCAAATTTTGTTAAAAATGTAAGGCTAACCCCCTTGTTTTTTTTTCAATTTTGGCCAAAAAATGAAATTCCTTGAAACTTGCAGGAAAGATGCCTAAGGTAACCCTGAACACATTCCATTGGTGCTCCACTCGTCTCCAGAGGAATTGCTGCGTTGTTTGAAGAAAAGTCAATTTAGGCCAAATTTTGTAAAAATGTAAGGCTAACCCCTTGCTTTTTTTTCAATTTTGGCCAAAAAATGAAATTCCTTGAAACTTGCAGGAAAGATGCCTAAGGTAACCCTGAACACATTCCAATTCGATTTGAATAATGATTGGTGCTCCACTCGTCTCCAGAGGAATTTCTACGTTGTTTGGAGAAAAATCAATTTTTGGCCAAATTTTGTTAAAAATGTAAGGCTAACCCCTTGTTTTTTTTTCAATTTTGGCCAAAAAATGAAATTCCTTGAAACTTGCAGGAAAGTTGCCTAAGGTAACCCTGAACACATTCCAATTCGATCAGAATACTGATTGGTGCTCCACTCGTCTCCAGAGGAATTTCAGCGTTGTTTGGAGAAAAATCAATTTTTGGCCAAATTTTGTTAAAAATGTAAGGCTAACCCCTTGCTTTTTTTTCAATTTTGGCCAAAAAATGAAATTCCTTGAAACTTGCAGGAAAGATGCCTAAGGTAACCCTGAACACATTCCAATTCGATTTGAATACTGATTGGTGCTCCACTCGTCTCCAGAGGAATTTCTGCGTTGTTTGGAGAAAAATCAATTTTTGGCCAAATTTTGTTAAAAATGTAAGGCTAACCCCTTACTTTTTTTCAATTTTGGCCAAAAAATGAAATTCCTTGAAACTTGCAGGAAAGATGCCTAAGGTAACCCTGAACACATTCCAATTCGTTTTGAATATGGATTGATGCTCCACTCATCTCCAGAGGAATTTCTGCGTTGTTTGTAGAAAAATCTATTTTTGGCCAATTTTTTTTTTTTTTTCAATTTTGGGCAACAAATGAAATTCCTTGAAAATTGCAGGAAAGATGCTTAAGGTAACCCCAAAACACATTCCAATTCGATTTGAATACTGATTGGTGCTCCACTCGTCTCCAGAGGAATTTCTGCGTTGTTTGGAGAAAAATCAATTTTTGGCCAAATTTTGTAAAAAATGTAAGGCTAACCCCTTGCTTTTTTTTCAATTTTGGCCAAAAAATGAAATTCCTTGAAAATTGCAGGAAAGATGCCTAAGGTAACCCCGAACACATTCCAATTCGATTTGAATACTGATTGGTGCTCCACTCGTCTCCAGAGGAATTTCTGCGTTGTTTGGAGAAAAATCTATTTTAGGTCAAATTTTGTTAAAAATGTAAGGCTAACCCCTTGGTTTTTTTTCAATTTTGGCCAAAAAATGAAATTCCTTGAAACTTGCAGTAAAGATGCCTAAGGTAACCCCGAACACATTCCAATTCGATTTGAATATGGATTGATGCTCCACTCATCTCCAGAGGAATATCTGCGTTGTTTGTAGAATAATCAATTTTAGGTCAAATTTTGTTAAAAATGTAAGGCTAACCCCTTACTTTTTTTCAATTTTGGCCAAAAAATGAAATTCCTTGAAACTTGCAGGAAAGATGCCTAAGGTAACCCTGAACACATTTCAATTCGATTTGAATATGGATTGATGCTCCACTCATCTCCAGAGGAATTTCTGCGTTGTTTGTAGAAAAATCTAATTTTGGCCAAATTTTGTTAAAAATGTAAGGCTAACCCCTTGTTTTTTTTTCAATTTTGGCCAAAAAATGAAATTCCTTGAAACTTGCAGGAAAGATGCCTAATGTAACCCCGAACACATTCCAATTCGATTTGAATACTGATTGGTGCTCCACTCGTCTCCAGAGGAATTTCTGCGTTGTTTGGAGAAAAATCAATTTTTGGCCAAATTTTGTTAAAAACGTAAGGCTAACCCCTTGTTTTTTTTTTTCAATTTTGGCCAAAAAATGAAATTCCTTGAAACTTGCAGGAAAGATGCCTAAGGTAACCCCAAACACATTCCAATTCGAGTTGAATACTGATTGGTGCTCCACTTGTCTCCAGAGGAATTTCTGCGTTGTTTGGAGAAAAATCAATTTTTGGCCAAATTTTGTAAAAAATGTAAGGCTAACCCCTTGCATTTTTTTCAATTTTTGCCAAAAAATGAAATTCCTTGAAACTTGCAGGAAAGATGCCTAATGTAACCCCGAACACATTCCAATTCGATTTGAATACTGATTGGTGCTCCACTCGTCTCCAGAGGAATTTCTGCGTTGTTTGGAGAAAAATCAATTTTTGGCCAAATTTTGTTAAAAACGTAAGGCTAACCCCTCTTTTTTTTTTCAATTTTGGCCAAAAAATGAAATTCCTTGAAACTTGCAGGAAAGATGCCTAAGGTAATACTGAACACATTCCAATTCGATTTGAATACTGATTGGTGCTCCACTCGTCTCCAGAGGAATTTCTGCGTTGTTTGTAGAAAAATCAATTTTAGGTCAAATTTTGTTAAAAATGTAAGGCTAACCCCTTACCTTTTTTCAATTTTGGCCAAAAAATGAAATTCCTTGAAACTTGCAGGAAAGATGCCTAAGGTAACCCCGAACACATTCCAATTCGATTTGAATACTGATTGGTGCTCCACTCGTCTCCAGAGGAATTTCTGCGTTGTTTGGAGAAAAATCAATTTTTGGCCAAATTTTGTTAAAAATGTAAGGCTAACCCCTTGTTTTTTTTTCAATTTTGGCCAAAAAATGAAATTCCTTGAAACTTGCAGGAAAGATGCCTAAGGTAACCCCGAACACTTTCCAATTTGATTTGAATATTGATTGGTGCTCCACTCGTCTCCAGAGGAATTGCTGCGTTGTTTGAAGAAAAGTCAATTTAGGCCAAATTTTGTAAAAATGTAAGGCTAACCCCTTGCTTTTTTTCAATTTTGGCCAAAAAATGAAATTCCTTGAAACTTGCAGGAAAGATGCCTAAGGTAACCCCGAACACATTCCAATTCGATTTGAATAATGATTGGTGCTCCACTCGTCTCCAGAGGAATTTCTACGTTGTTTGGAGAAAAATCAATTTTTGGCCAAATTTTGTTAAAAATGTAAGGCTAACCCCTTGTTTTTTTTTCAATTTTGGCCAAAAAATGAAATTCCTTGAAACTTGCAGGAAAGATGCCTAAGGTAACCCCGAACACATTCCAATTCGATCGGAATACTGATTGGTGCTCCACTCGTCTCCAGAGGAATTTCTGTGTTGTTTGGAGAAAAATCAATTTTTGGCCAAATTTTGTTAAAAATGTAAGGCTAACCCCTTGTTTTTTTTTCAATTTTGGCCAAAAAATGAAATTCCTTGAAACTTGCAGGAAAGATGCCTAAGGTAACCCCGAACACATTCCAATTCGATCGGAATACTGATTGGTGCTCCACTCGTCTCCAGAGGAATTTCTGCGTTGTTTGGAGAAAAATCAATTTTTGGCCAAATTTTG